TGATGAATCTAATTTCATCAGAAACTCTTTTTTTAATATTTTAAAAGAAATAAATGAAGATATTTTGAAATTCTTTCATAAATAAAGATATCAAAATTTAATTAAAGAATATAGATTTATACTATCAGAATTCATAAATTAATGAAAGATATTTTTTAAAACAAAACAAAAACAAAACAAAACAAAACAAAACTAAACTTGAAATTTAGTTAGATTTATCTCAAACAAAAATTTAATATTCTAGTTTTTTCTATTTATATGAGAAAATTTTGTTTCTATACTTTTGATATCACAAACAAACAAACAAGAAAGGTATTCATTCATTCCTCTTTATTAATAGCAAATATCTTAAATATTAATTTGCTAATAAAATGAAATATATTATTATTTATCATATCATAATCAAAAAGATTAGTTGTCTAAATAATAAAATTTTGGTGATAAAAAAGTGGTGAAAAAAGGACAAATAAATATAAAAATATCTGAATAATAAATCTAAAAAATATATGTTTTATTTTCTTTATATTTGATTTTAAAATGCTTACAAAAATTAATAAAAATACAGAAAACTGTTTTCAAATTAAACAAAAAAATTTTCATAAATAATATAATTAATAATGGTTTGAAATATCGCAAATCATAATATCATTAATTAATGAATGGAATGCTTGGTGATATTTCAAATGTATGTAGAAACAACTATATAAGTTTTAAATAGAAATATTAATATTTAATTTTGTATGTTATACTAAATTTTTTGTGATATCTCTTCCTAAAAGCAAATTTATAAATTATTATAATTATTTATTTTTCTATTTCTCTCAATTAATTTTATAAATAATTATATTTATTTATTTATATAGTTATTTAATTAATTAAATTTCCAAAAATTGTTATTCATATTTTAAAGAAAAATTAATAAATAAATAAATAAATAAATGATGTAAGAAATAAAATAGTTTAAAGATCTATAAAAAGTAATTATTTATTTTTTATTAATTTTGTTTAAAATTATTTTTACTAACAAAAAAAGTTTTTAAACTCTTCACTTTAATCGCATTAGGCTCTTGATATTGATCTGTTAAGCAGGTAAATTTGATTTATTAATATTAATATTTTTATGTTTTTTAATAATTAATTTTCAATTTATTTACAATATTATTTTATAATAGAAATTCTCGTCTTGGTGTAGTTGGTGCATCAGACTTAGGTTAAGGATTAGGAAAGTGCACTATTCTCACAAATTTGACACTTTCTCTTGAGTAAAAACAGTTTATTTGTTTTGTTTGGATTGTGATATTTTTGAATATAAAAATGAATTTAAAACAAAATAACAAACTCTTTAAATTTATTTATTAGCTTTTTATTTTATTTATTTTTTTTTATTCTTCTTGTATTAATTTTTTGTTTCTTTCTTTCTTTATTTATTTTTAATTTCTTTTTTTAATTTTCAATTTTTTCTTGAATGATAAACTAATTAATTTGTTCATTTATTAATTTATAATTTTTCTTTATTTTTTCTTTTAACTAACTAATTAACCATATTCTTTTTTCTTCAATATTTAAAAAGTGGAAATTAAATTGGTGATGAAGGTACATCAGGCTTAGGATCTGGTTTAGTAAAGTGCACAATTCTCTCAAAGTTGAAGCTTGAGCTTAGGTAAATCAACTTTTGTTTTAATTAATATTTATTTAATTTATTGATTTCTTATTATTACATATTTTTCTTCATTTTTTCCTTCTAACTAACGAATTTACTTATAATTTTTCTTCAATATTTAAAAAAGTTGGTGTTAAATTCGTGATAAAGGTGCATCAGTTTTAGGTTCTAGTTTAGGAAAGTGCTCTAATCTCTCAAATTTAACACTTAATCTCGGGTAAAAATAATTATTTATTTTGGAAGGTGATATTTTTGAATATAAAAATATATTTAAAACTATATTACTAACTCTTTTAATTTATTATTTATTAGCTTTTTATTTGATTTTTTTTCTTTTTTTCGCTACGCTTGTGTTTTTTTTGTTTGTTTGTTTGTTTCTTTTTGTTAATTTAACTCATTTTTTCATTTTCAACATTTACTTTTATTATTAATTATTATTTCATATTTTTTCTTCATTATTTCCTTCTAACTAAATAACTATTTAATCATATATTTTTTCTTAAATTTATAAAAAGGTACAATTAAATTGGCGATGAAGGTGCCTCATGCTTAGGTTTAGGCTTAGGAAAGTGCACTAATCTCTCATATCTGATGCTTTAGATTTAGTAAAAAGAGTTTATTTGCTTTTTATAGTGACATTTTTGAATATAAAAATGAATTTAAAACAATAGCATACTAAATATTTTAATTAATTTATTTCTTAGCATTTTATTTGATTTTTTACTGCTTGTGTTTTTTTTGTTATTTTCTTCTCTTACTAATTTAACTCATCTTTTCATTTTCAACTTTTGCTTTTATTATTTGCTAATTAATTAATTAATTAATTCATCTCTTATTAATTCGTATTTTTTCCCTCTAATAAATAATTAACTATATATTGTTTATTCATTAAAAAGTGGAAATTAAATTGGGGATGAAGGTTCATCAGGCTTAGGTTCTGGTTTAGGAAAGTGCACTAATCTCTCAAAATTCATACTTTTAATTTCGTAAAAACAGTTTATTTGTTTTGGATTTTGATATTATTACTTAATATAAAAATGGATATAAAGCAATATAATAAACTATTTAAATTTATTTATTTGCTTTTATATTTTTTTTCATTTTTTCCTTCAAACAAATAAGTTAATTTTATATTTTTTCTTCAATATTTAAAAGGTACAATAATATTGGTGACAAAGGAGCATTAGGCTTAGGTTAAGGTTTAGGAAAGTGCACTAATCTCTCAAATTTGACCCTTTAAATTAGGTAAAAACAATTTATTTGTTTTGAATTTTGAAATTATTTATTATAAAAATGAATTTAAAACAATAGCATACTAAATATTTTATTTAATTTTATTTATTAAATTTTTATTTAATTTTTTTTTCTATTCTTAATTTTGCTTGTGTTTTTTTTTTTTTTTCATTGTTTTTTTATTAATTTAATTTTTATTTTCATTTTCAACTTTTTCTTTTATTACTAATTAATTAATTCATTCATTCATTTATGATTATTATTTATTTTCTCTTCATTTTTTCCTTCTAATATATATTTATTCTTCTATAATTAAAAAGTGAAAATTAAATTGGTGAAGAAGGATTATTAGGCCTAGGTTCTGGTTTAGGAAAATGCATTAATCTTTCAATTTCGGCAGTTCATATTTGGTAAAAAATGTTAATTTATTTTAGATTGAGATATTTTTTAATTTAAAAATGTATTTAAAAAAATATAATTAACTCTTTTAGCTTTTTGCTTGATTTTCTTTTCATTTTATTTTAATTTTTCTAACTATTTTTTAATAATTAATTCATTTAAAATATAATATTTTATTTTAAAAATTTTATTCTATTTATTTATGTGGTTTTAGTTATTTATACTAATTTATATTAAAAGCAACAGCTTAATTGATAAATCAAAATAATTGAAGTTAAAGTGCATAAAATCAAAAAGATTAGTTATCTTAAAAATAAATAATAATTGATATAAAAGTGGTGAAAAAAAATAAATATATTTGAATAATAAATATATTATATTTGTTTTATTTTATAATATTTTGGAATTGGATAATTTAACCTAAAATATAGATAGGTAGGTAGATATATAGATAGATAGATAAATTTATTATTATTTTTATATTTATAAATATCATAAACAAAAAAAGAATGAATTTAAAAATAAATTTGTTTTTTTTTCTTTTTTTAATCTAATTATATTATATTTATATATTTTTTTATAAAGAAATTATGAATACTTTAATTTTATTCATATAATCAATAAACAAATTAGTAAATAACTTTTTACTTTTTATAAAATTAAATTAAATTAAAAATACTTTACAAGTAACTTGCTAGCTACAAAAGAAATAAATAGCAAATAGCAATAAATGATTGTATATTTATTAGAATAATTACTTAAATGTTAATAATTTCTTAAAATCAATTAAAAATAAATTTTTACATGTACATTTATTGATAAAACAAATAAATAAATTATGATAAGTAGATAAAGATATTGACAATTAGAATATGTAATAAGTTATATTGAAAAAGATAATAGATTTGATCAATTAATACAATAAAAATTTATGTTAGTTGAATACTTAGATATAAAATTTTGAGTGAAATGATAATAAGAACTGAAAAAGATGTAAGCATATATGCATCCATCCATCCATACATACATGCATATATAATATGGATAATACAAAGAAGGTATTATAGAGAATAGGCAGGTAGATAGATAGATTTATTGATTGATAGACTTTATTATAAATGTGTATTGATAAAAATTATAAATTATTTAATTAGTTTAATCAATCAAATTAATAATTAGGTAGGTAGGTATATTAATTACTTTTAATAAATTCTTTTATTTATTTTATATAATTTTTTATGACTATTTTAAGTTATTTTAAAACATGCTTTAAATTGATTTTAATCCCATATATTAAAAAAGTTCCTTCATTTTCAACAGGGGCAAGATCCTTGTTTATTATGTTAATTGCTATTAACTGCAAAAGATTAACTACTGACATTTTTTTTCATGCTGTTTTATATTTTTTACTACTCGATTTTACTAGCTAACTTCATGAATAAATCCTAAATAATTAATCAACCAATTAAATTAATGAAGGAATTAAAATGAATGAACGAATAATTAAAAGTTTATTTATTTCAAATCATTCTAAATGTATAAAATGCTATTTTTACATTGATTCCTCTGTTTTCTTTGGCACTAGTCAGCTCAAAAAGGGCGTCAACTTACTTTTTAGTTTTTTAATAAAAGAATTATTAATTTCAATTAATTAATAAATTGCTGCTTTGTTTAGTTTGTTCTAAAATTATACCTTAGCGAAATTCATTGCATCTTCGTAAGGAACTTCTTATTTATCCTGTAAATCTGATTTATTGCCGACTATTGCTAATACTATTTTTATTATTTATAAATACAATCAATGAATCAATTCTAGTCCTTAATCATCTTAATTTTATTTATTTACTCAAGTTTTCTGGGCCTTATTTTTGTAATTCTGTAATCCAAGTCTTTAATACTCCAAAAGAAGCTAAAGAAGTTATATCATAAACTACAATTCCTATTCTGGCCTCTTTTTATATAAAAATAAATTTTGCAATTTTAAATTAAACTTATAAAGTTTACTTACCTCTATAGTAAAGGGGTGCCAAAGATTTATACTTCTCTTGTCCTGCAGTATCCCAAATCTGTTCAATTAATTAATATGTTTGTTTATTTCTTTCTTTCAATATAATCAGTAGAAATAATTTGTTACCTAAAATTTAAATTAATTATCATTTGTCTTGATTATTTTTGACATAAATGCTGCACCCATTGTTGTTGGCTAAGTAGCTGAAAACTCATCCTTGACAAATCTCATCATAATGCTGCTTTTTCCAACACCTTTTTTAGAATAACCAAATAGGGTTAATTAATACTTTTGTTTGGAATATTGTCAAAAGTTCTAAAAAAAACCTGAATTTCCTAATATGACAACTTTAATTTCTTCTGCGTACATTGATAATCAGTATATACTTATTCTTTAAGTGAGTTATTCTTTCTTTTTTCTTTTTGAGAAATTTATTTTTGTTTGTTTGTATGGCTTTTGGTTATTTTTGATATATATCCTTTGAAATAAAATCTATCCTATTGACTACAAAATTAATTAGTTGAATAATGATTATTAATCTAATTATAATATTTGATCAATATTAAAGTTGATATTTTTACTATTAATATCTATAAACCAAACAAGCAAATAAGCACGCACAATCAATCTAATTAGATTGATATTTTTTTTTCTTTTTAAATTAATTAAATTTACTTGCTTGCTTGCTTGTCTCTAGCAATGTGTGTGCCTATCAACCTATATTTTTCTGTTCAGAACTTAATTTAGTTTAATTAAAATATGAATATAAATTTTTTATCTATATTTTTTTAGTTTTTGATAAAATCTTTCCAAGAAAGAATTAAAACTTCTATTCTTCTATTTTAACTAAATCCTAAATTAAATACTTGGATAAAAGGATTCAATAAGTGTGGTTTATTGGTAAATTTATTAGTCCTCCAAATTGCTGCTCTTCCATTATTTAATTATTAATAAATTCACTAATTTTATTTGTTTGAGACTTTTGTTTTAAAAATTTATTTAACAAATTTAGGATTTATTTAATATTTTATTTTAAAAAAGTAAATAAGAAACAACAAAAAATTAATTTTAAATTAAAAAATATTTAAGTTTTTTGATAATTAATTATTTTATATATATAAAAAGTCAAGGTTAACTTGTTTGCAAAAAGTTGAATGAATTTCTTACTAATTTTCTTCTCAATAAATTATGTTTTCTTCAGAATCAATTTTTATTTTAGAATTATTTATAAATTTATTTAATGATTTCTCAACAAATTTAGAATTAAAATAAATCAACTTTAAATGATAATATTCTCTGACTTTTATATTAAAATTTTTTAAGTATTTTTTAATAGAAAAATTATTAAAAAGTTGAAATTAAAAACACTTTTATAATATAAAATGATATATTAAAAAAAATCTTTTGGTAAACTTGAAGATGTAAGAATTAACTTATTATTTCATTCATGATTTTAAAATTTAATTTCATAACAACAAAAGCTATTAAACTCTGAATTATAATCTCATACTATTCTTGAAATCGATTTAAGGTAAAAAAATTAATTAAACTCACACTGTGTAATCTCATAAATAAATTAAATGTTTTTTCTTTTTGAATTTAAGGCTAACAAAATTAATTTTATAAAACAAAAGTCTACTTACTTAAAATAAATATAAATAAAATTTAATATCTTATACCATATATTCAAATTGAAAAATTAGAAAACAAACAGAGTTTTTATGACAAAAATTAAAATAAAATAATTTATTTTAATACTTAATTATCTAATATATTTATTTATATCAAATCTAGCTATTTAAATCTTGTGTATCTATGAACTTTATTTAGAATATAAAACTTGGAAGTGTATACTTTATAAAAATCAATATAAAATATATAATAAATTTATCAAAAATCTTATAATATCCAAATCACTATTAGATTTTTTTTGATATTTATATGTTAAAATAATTACTAACTTAAATCCTCATATATTCTCTTTAATTTTTAACTATCAATCTATTTATCTGAAATAATTATTTTTAAAAGAATTATTATTTTTTTGGATTTGAGCTTTTATTTATTTTTCTTTGATTACAGTATTTAAATTATATCTATATATGCTTTGAAGTAGAAATAATTAAATTGTTCCTTCTTTTTTTATTCGATGTGACAGTTTATCAAATTTTATTTAATAGTGATAATTAAATTATTGACGAAGGAGCAAAGTTTTTAGGTTCTATCTTATAAAACTGTATAAATCTCTCTAATTTAACTCTAGATATAAGGTAAAAGTTTAAATTTTATCCTATAATTTCAGTTTTTACAAATAATAAGTAAATAAGTAAGTAACTATTATGTATAAAAAGCAAACAAAAAAGCAAAATTTTATTTTTTACTTCCATTTGTTAAGGTTCTTTTTATTTTTTATCATTATATTTTAATTTTTTAGTAAACTATTAATTATATTTCTTATTTGATTGAAATTCTAAGTAATCTTATAAAATTTAAAGTTGTAATCAAATTGGAAATGAAGGTATTTCATGCTTAGGTTCTGCTTTATCATAATGTGTTAAACTATCTACTTTTATACTCAACCTAAAGTAAAAATTAATTTGTTTATTTATTGTTTACAACTAATTGCTAAAAATAAATAAACAGCACCAAAAACTCTTATTTATTATTTTGGCACTATTTATTTAGCCTTTCTTGAATTATTATTTTAATAAATACTTAAAACTAATATATTTTTTAAGGTATAATCATATTGGTGATAGAATAGAATAGAAATACTCGCACATATAAATGCACTCAGAATACAACTTAAAATTAATTTTTAATATGTATATTTATATATATTTTTTGTTTTTTATTTATTTGATAATTATTAAAGAAAACCATTTAGAACAATTTATATCTAATTTATGAATATTTTGCATATATACCCATTTTCCTCTTTTATAAAAAAACCTAAAATTTGATAAAAATAAAACGTAAAATCGATATTAGGTACCCACATGAATTTAAAACTGGAAATAAATTAATACTAAATTGAAAGTATAGAGTATATTATAAATTTTCAATAGATACATTTATTACTAATTATTAATTAAATAAATAAATGATTGTTTAAAAGGTGGTAAAAGTAATGATTAGTTAAGCATATTTTAAAAAACATATATTTGAATAAAAGGTAGATAGATAGATAGATAGATTTCTCTAATACCTTAATATAATAATTTATTTTATTAAAAATTAAATTGATTTGTTAATTATTAAATATTTTATTTTTAAATATTAGTTTAGCTTTAAAGGTAGGATTTATTTACTTATTTAGTTATTATTATGTGTATTTATGGAAGCTTAAGTTTGATGTTATTATGTAATAATTTAATAATGTATTTTGTTTATTAGTTTATTTATTTGTTTGTTTGTTTATTTTATTTATTTTGTTTGACAAAATTGCAATTTCTTAATAAATTATTAATTTATTTCTTAAAAACTGAAACCATTAACTCCATTTGGAATTTTTTTCAGTCAATCAGCAACAGGATGGTTTTTTTTATTCTTAAGGCTTCATAATTTTTGTGGCTTGCTTTTATTTAATTTGCTCAGATTGTGATTACTCTATTTAAACTGCTATCTTTTAAAAGACTTCCTTTGATTAAATAAGTAAATAAATGAAATAGGTAAATTTTTGTTTATACTAAATAAATTCTACTTGAACTCCTGTTCCTTCTCTTGCACTTGTTAATACGAGAATAGCATCGTTAGTCTTATTAAATAAATAAATATAAAATTAATACCAAATATTATGTTCTCCTAATTAAAATATTTCTAAATATTAATAAAACAAGTATCAACAAATAAAGACAAGTTGCTTGTTTTACTTTAGCCATGGTTTGTGCCTTGTCTAATTGGACTTATTATTATTGACTTAAATCCATTTTGTTGCCAATTATAATTTTTACTATTTAAAAAAATGTTATTAATTCCTAAGAAATAAATAAACAAGAAAATAATTTGTATTGAAGGATTTGATAATTCATACTAATATTTTCTTTGGCATGCTATTTCAACTCTTTAAACCAATAATTTAAAACTTCAAACGAATTCCTATTTGTTATGTCATAAACTATGCAAGCCACAGAAGCATCTTTATAGTATAGCTATGTAAGAGAGCGAAAGCGTTCTTGTCCAGCTGTATCCCAAAGCTTAATAAACGAAGAAAAATAAAAAATGATTAAATTAGCTGCTTAAATAATTCTAAATTAACCAACTTACATGAAAATCTATTTTTTTATTGTTGTAAGTGATTGATTTAACTTTAAAATCAGCTCCAGAAGTTGCCTAAATATTTTCATCAAACTAATCATCTATAAATCTACAGAGAATGCTGCTTTTACCTACATCTAATTAAAATTAAAAAATGAAATTTAGACTCAATCACACCATTCATAATATGTTCTGATTACTTGCATCTCCTAAAAAAACTGTTTTAACTTATATCTATTGCATTTACATTGACTCCTAATTAATTTATGGCTTTTTAGTTTGTTTCCTTATTTCTTTATTAAAAAATTATTGATTATTAAATTTAAGCAATTATTTAATTATTAATTTTGCAAAAATATTATTAATCGCACTGATAAGTATCTATCTATCTATGCATGTATGTATGTATCTCTAGCTATCTCTATCTTTCTATTTATATTGTTTGAAATATAAACTACCTAATCATTAAATTAAGCTTGCTATTGACCAAACCATCAAATAGGGAAGCAATCAAATCTGGATATTTAAACTTCAAATCTTTCTCTTACTAATTATTGATTGATTCACAAAGAATTAGTTAAATTGAACCACTAATTATAGTATATAGTTAGGTGTTAAGATTTGACCCCATTGACCGTTCTAAAGAAGTAAGATAAATTTGAAAGAAATAAGAAGATATTAATTGTGTATTTATTTAAGCTTAAATTGTAAAGAAATATTTATTTTTTTTAGAATCAATTTAATGAATTAATAATAACCTTACAATTTAATAATAATTCTAAAAACTTCATTTATTTATTTACATCAGTTGAATACTTTAAATAAATTGTTAACAAATATATAAATATTTTATTCTTTCCCTTTATTTTATTTTATTTATTAATCCTTACTTCTTTGTATAAAAAAAATATATTTATTTTGTTTAATAAATTATTAATTTATTTATTGATTATATATTACATAGGAAATGAGCTAAATGTTTTAAATCAATTATTAAAAATAATCAAAGAATATATTTTAAACATTCCCTTTATTTTATTCTATTCATTACTTTCTTCCTTCCTTCTTTTATAAAAAAATGTACTTATCTTGTTTTTTTAATTTAATGAAACGTTTAAGTTTTTTTGGAATTAAATTAATGAATTAATTACAACATTGATTGGTTAATAATTTATAAATTTAGTGATACAATTTAATTATAATTCTAAAATACTTCATTTAGTTTATTCATTTTATTTTATATAGGAAGTGAGCTAAGTGTTTTAAATTAATTGTTAATAAATAAATAAATATTTTATGCATTCCACTCCATTTTTATTTCATTTCATTTTATTCCATACCTTTCTTCTTTATATTAACAAATCTTTTTATTTTGTTTTTGATATTTTTTTATTAATTAATTATTTTTCTTTCTCAATTATCAAGCTAATAGATGGTTTTAAATTTATTTTTATTAACAGTTTTAATTATTTAAGTTATCGTTAAATTTTCCATCTGTTAAAGCTTAGAATCGAGAAAAATTATTATGTTTCACTCAATAAACATGGCATTAGATTTATTTTTTTGACTTGATTTAAAAGATTAAATAGTTGGAGTATGACTATAATCAAAGAAAGGATTATTATTAGAACAGCATTTGAAAGTAGGCAAAGCAGTCTCTTCGTTATCAGAAGCTATCAAAGGAGATTTTGTTTAAGCTTCTAATTTACTATTTTTTGATTCCATTTTTTAATTGTTTTGGAAATCACTGATTTCTTTCTATTCTTATTAAGGGCATTCTTGTTCAATAAAATTATTAGATAAAAATTCAAATTTATTTGAAAATGAATTCTTGTAGCAGACTTAAGAATTATCATCCTCTTTTACAATATCTATTTTATAAAATATTGTCTTAAAATAAATTAAATTATTAAAAAGGCGAATTTTTAGATGTTTATTTATTTATATACTACTTTTGTTATAAAAAGTAGCATTATAAAAACAAAAACTTAGTATTTTCTTCTTAGATTATAGAAAATTAGAAAAATTTAAGTCTTATTTTCATGGGGTATTAAAAATAGAAAATTTATGTTTATTTATTTATTAACTTTTTAAACAAAATATTCGCCATTAAAATGAAAATTAATAAATAAATAAATAATTTTACTCTATAATTTATTGGTAAAATTAAAGATGTTATTTGATGTAGATAAAGGCGAGTTGCAAATATCGTTGTCTTCATTAAAATGGCTCGATCTCACTGAAGATGACCTTGAACTTTTTTAAACTGAAAGTCCAAATAGATTTACATTTTGGCTCTCATTTTGGTTGCTATTATCTTTTTATGTTGTCGCTGTTGATCTTGTTGAAATATGTTGTTGTTGTTAGTTTAAAATATTTTAAGGATTTAAGTTAAAAAGCTGAATATTTTAGTTTTATGATTCTTAATTTTTGTTAGAAAAATTTATGAAAAACTAGTTTTATTCATTTTAGAATTAATTTTTAGAGCTTGGTATATTATTTTTCTAGTTAAATATGGGAAACGAGTTTATGTTTTATTAGGAATTGACAGGAATATTGCCTTCATTTAATTATTTATTCTCTGATTGTCTTTGTTAAAATTCAGATTCTTTAACCAATGAGTTGCTATTAAAATTATTAGAAAATGAAGCAAGGTGAATAGAGGTTGACTTCTTTAAATTATTTATAGATTGGTTAAAATTTGAAAATATAGATTAAGATCTTATTTAGACTGTTGGAGTTGACATGCTTCTCTTAAGTGTAGTTAAATTATTTTGATTTAAAGACTGGTCTTATTATTATAATTTAATTTAATATATTTAATTTATCAAATTTCTTAAACTGCTTATAAATCTTATCAATTGTTCATAGTTTTAAGGAAGAGCCATCGCTTTAGAGTCAAGAAGCTATTCTTTTAAATTGTATTTCAAGTTTTCTGTTGGACAATTGTAGCTTTAAATTTATTCTAATGTCCTTTGATAATTTTCTTCAAGCTTTAGGAATGCCTTTTGATATGCTACTTAAGATTAATAGGCTAAGTTTTGTTGTTTTTGTTTATCCTTAGCAGCAATCTAATCAATTTATTAATAAATAAATAATTAAATTAAATTTTTATGTTTATTGATAAAAATTGAATTAAGTAATCTATCTAACTATTCATTTATCTTACAAAAGACTTTATAAATTATAATTCAGAGATTTTTTGACAGGAAACACGATAAATATTATTAAAAATAATCAATTAATTTAATAAAAGAAATAATTTACATTAAATTTTTGTTAAAAGAGTTAGAATCGAATTATTTACAAACAAGATGTGATAAAAGGTAAATTGTTAATTTTTTTTTGTTTCAATAAGCAATTCTTGACTTTTTCTAAGCAGTCCTTTTGTTAATGTGAAATAAATAAAAGAGTTATTCTTTGCTAGTTAGTAAGACAAGAAGATAGATTTTTTTATTAATAAATAAAAAAATAAAAAAAGAAAGAAATTAATAAATAAATAATATTTTGTAATTACTGTGTGCTAGCTATTTAAAATATACTTTCTAACAACTTAGGTATTCTTTATCTTTTCTACCAACTTCTAAATCCTTTCCAAATGTTTACTGATTATCTTATATTAAACTATTTTTTAAATTTATTTTTTATAAATAGTCTTTAATAATGTTTATGAATGTATATTTATGTATCTACTGAATTTATTATTAAATTAATCCACTAATTTAAAATTCTAGTTTGCTAAAAAGTTTTTATTTAAAATTTGAGGCAAAATATAAAGTTCTGTTTTTTTTTTAGGGTAAAAAGTACTTATTTAAGGTAAATAAAATTGAAATGATTTATATTTATTTTTAATGTAAAAAATTATTTTAATCTTATGATTACCATTTTATGAAGTTAAATTGGGAAATAAAATAGAGTCACTTTTTGGATTTGGGCTTTAGTTTTGTTTGTAAGCGTGTATCTTACGCTCTTGTTTCACAGCTTAATTATTTGAATTATTATGAAAATAATTACTAAAAACTGGAGATCCCTCAAAAAGCTATTAGGAGCGCGTAAAAAATTCATTTGAAACAGGGTTTTACTAAGTGTAATAAGAATTAGATTTATTGATAGTATCTGTAATCAAACACTTAGATTAAGGAGATTGGTATTAAGAAGTGAATCCTGGAGTATTTGCTCCTCCTTCTTCGTTTTCTTGGTCTTCTTCTTCGTATCCATTGCAGTATTCTGATACAGCACATTCAAAGTTCTAAGACAAAAGCTCATCCTAGAAGAATGGTTATTAATTGCATTCTTCTTTTTGATTGTTTCCAACATTAAAGTTAAATTTATTCTGATTGGATTCTATTTACATTGCTTACAAATTATCAGAAGTATTTTGATTAAGATTGAAGGTGTCATTGCATAAATCTTCTTCTTCAGTAAAAGTCATTTTTCTCGACTTGTAGATCTACCTTTATTGGTTGTATTTCTCATATTCGTTTGGATGTGCGTATGAATTTATTTCAGCTAGAACTGGGAACTTAGAAAAGTTTTTTTTTTCTTGTTACTCTTACAAAATTTAGAAGAACGAGCTGAATGGATTTTTGCTAATCTCAGAGATATTTTTTATACTCTCCAAGCTGCTCAGCACGCCTGGCTTTATGCAGCTAGATAGTTCCATATACAAAATATTAGTTGCAGATACTCTCAAGTTTTCTCTTCAGCAAAAAGTTAAAAATTTGTTTTGCAATTTCTGTTGCTTGAATTTCTTTATTGAGTGCTCTTTATTCTAATGAATAAACACTTTTTTGTTAGATGAGATTTTGATTGTTAATTAATTAATTTATTTGTTTGTTTGTTCCTTTAATTATTTATTGAGTTGAATGATAGATAGATAAACTATTTGCTCAATTGTTTGGTTTTATTATTGATGTATATTTGCTTAATTAGTTATTTAATTTTCAATTTATTTATTGTTTCTTGTTTGTTTCTTTGATTGTGTATCTCTTTTTTTGTTATGTTTTTATTAATTTATTTACTAATACAATAATAAGAAACATCTCATAGTTGTATAAAAGCAATTATCAATTGATTAATAATAATAATAATTAACAAAAAAACTTTCTATTTTTCAATATGAATCAACCATTTAATTGTTAATTGGTCTAGTTTATGATATTTTTTTGTTTGATTCTCGCAAAAAGAAAAAAAATATATGTTGTTAGATATAAAAATTGCAGTATTCTTTCAAAGTGCGCAAAAACTTGTAAAACCTGACAAAAAATATCTAAATATTAAGCCTAATCATTAAATTGTTATTTATACTCTTTATCTAATCGTCATATGCAATTTTCTTTTAATTTTGAATTGTTTAAAAAGAGTAACTCAATTTTTAGGAAACCTACTTTTATTTTAATTTACAGTATTTTTTGGAATAACTCAAGAACCATCTACTTGTTCACAAAAATGCTTTCAAATTTGAGAGAAAATCATAGAATTGATAAATAAATAAATTAATAAATAGATAGATCGATAAATATAAATTAAAGCTGTGTAATATATTATTTTCAAATATAGAACAAATATTTTTTAATATTAATTAAAAGGTAAAACTGGTTGTAAGATTGATTTATAGCTTATTAGCCTGTATTTTAAGGGCAAAGAAAATGAGCTTTAATTTAGATAATGGTATAATAAGAATAAACAATAAATCTTTTTTTTTAAAAATGTGATCTTTAAGAGAGATATTTTAGAAATTTAATACAAAGGCAGCAAAAATACAATTTGATAAAGACCTAGAATAAATCTAATAATATTCTATGTATATTGAAATATATTTATTTATTTACTTATTTTTTAGAAATTAGTTTGATTTAATTAATAATATTTTTTATCCAGATTAATTACTTTCTTTTTCAATTTTAAAGTCAGCACACATACATACTCAAACATCTGTTACAGTAAAGAACAAGGTGAATGTTAAAATTGTATATAAACCAAGAAGGAAACCACAAATGTATTTAGCATTCTTTTCATACTATCCACTCTAAATCGGCTTTGGAATTACAACACCAGCTAAAATACCAGTAATCAAACCACCTAAATGTCCATAGTTATCTATATTTTGTGAATAACCTGGAGTAGTTCCATATCCCATAGAAGCTCCGAGCAAAAATATCATTGCAACCATTAAAAAGGCAAACATGACTAAGCAGCATCTCAATTATTGCATAAATTCTAAAGCTTTCCAATTTAAAATCAAAAAAGCTATGTACAATCCGATCATTCCCATAATTGCAGTTGAGGCACCAACTGAAAGAGCTATTTTTAGTTAAGTAAAAATAATTAAAATACATGACAATTTATTCAATTTACATTTAAATGATAAAATAATTTTTATTATATTTTATTAATTTTATTTATTTTTCTAATTTTTTTAATAAATTTATTAATAAAACTATTTAAAAAAAATTAGTTTTTTTTGTTTATTCGATATTTATTTAATCAAAAATAATCATAATAGTATATTCAAATAATTAAATTAGTCAATAAATTCATATTTAATTCAAATAATTTCCATTTTTTAACTTTGAAATTTTAATGCTTTATTCAAAATATTTTGTATTTGCTTCTATTTAAATGGTGAAATTCATTCCTTCATTCATAAACTTGTTTGTATTTGTATTTAATTATTTATTAATTGCTTGATTTATAATAAAAATAATTTCATTTGATTTGCTTTTTGATTTAGATTCTATTTTTAAGCTATTGCTGTATATTAATTAATTAATTTATGTATATATATATATTACAATTAGGTGAGGCAAAGTCTGCAGAAAAGATATTTCCACCAATACCAGAAATGATCCATATAATGAAGGTTACAATAACTCCATAGGATCTTTCAATTGAAGAAACAAAGATAAATGTTGAAAGAGTATTGAAGAAAATGTGATAGAAACTGCCATGAAGGAAAACTGCTGTGATTAATCTCCATACTTAACCATTGTGCTTGATTTTTGTTGGATAATTAGCTCCAAAATCAATTAAGACCTACAAATAATAAAATTAAACATGATTATTATTTAATTGTTGAAAAGAGTTGTTTAATAAATTCTTACATCAGGTTTTTATTAAAGAAGCAAACTACCATCGGTATTTTGTATTCCTTGAGCTGATGTGATTATAAATATTATAATGTTCACAGTTGAAATAAAAACTGTAAATGAAACCAATTTTAATCTTGGACAAAAGTTGATTTTCAACATGTCCCAGAAGCTCTCTTTTCTAGGGCTAATAGGTTGAGAGTCATCTAAGTCTATTCATTCATAAAAGAGTGTTTTTGATTGATTGATAGATAACGCATAAAAATTTAATTTCAAAAAATATATTTTATATCAATTGAATAAATTTATTTATTTAATAAATTACTCATCAAAGGTATATTCATAGCCCTTAATCTTTGCATGTCCTATTACACATCTCCGCCACCGAATTGGTTGTAATTACCATTATTTTAATTTTCATAATCTCCTATTCTATGAATATTTGCCATTTTGATTTTACTAATAAATAATAGACCAATCTATAGATTCTTTTTAGTTTTTTGTTTGATTATATTGTTTTCTCTTACAACTAAATAAATATATTTGTTTTATTTAATGTTTTTTATGATAACAAAGAAAATAAATATATGATTATGTATGTATGTATAATCTTTCTTGTCAAAAATCTTCATTTATTTTAAAAATAGATAGAATGTCTTTTATTAGAATTGTTTGTTAACTCTTCTATTAATTTGCCCATTATTCTAATTTTCTGCAATTTCTTTGGCTGAGCAGGAGTGCTTCCTATTAACAAATTCTTTCTTATAAATGAGCCTTAGACTTTAATATTAGCAAAAGAAATAGATTATTAAAAGTTAACTAACTAATTTAATAACAATAAATTGTTTGATTCTAAAAACAGCTAACTTATCCATTTAGAAACACAAGTGTATCTTTAAATGCTATTAATTTTATTTATTTTCTTTTGATATATTCGTTTTTTTTACTTAATTTTTGTTTAATTTAATTAAAAAATATTTTTTTTGAAATTATTTGTTTTTTTTTTTTTTTACTAATAATTAAATTAGAAATGTTTAATATTTATGATGTAAAATTTTTTTAGTTTTAAATTTTAAAATAAATTTTTATATATATTTATTATTGATAAAAATGGTAATATTGATGAAGAAAAATTGAATTTGTTGAATACTTAGTTAAGCATAATAACTAATTGCTATTATAGAATAAGCAAGTAATTATTTTACAAAAAATAATTAATTTACTGTAATTGAGGTCATTTTAAATTCAGTTTTTTAAAAAATAGATCTTTAAAAAATTTTTATAATTTAATATTTGAAATTTAAATAAAATAATTTTTATAGCATTTAAATGTTGGAATTTAAATTCTTAAGAAGAATAAATAATCATAAATTTTAAAATTAATTATAAAAAAATGATATTTATAACTTTTAAAAATGGATTTTATTACTTAAATAAATGATTTTAAGGATAAAAACTTATTGAAAAGAATAATTTTTGTTGTATTAAACAAATATTATTTTTATTATTTCATTTAAAACATTAATAAAACAAAGAATAATAGATTTTGATTTTTTTATTGAGTATGCATGATTTAATCAGTGATAAAAGATATAATTCAAATTTTAATAATATCTTCTAAAATTTATTAAGATTTTTAAATTATTTATTTTTACGGCTAACCATTTATTTAAAAATCGGCAACGAGGGAGATGTTACTAAGCAAAATAATAAGTAATTAAGAAATATTTATTTCGCTTAATTGAATGTTTGCTTGTTAGTAATTTAAAATAATTCAAAAACTAAATTATAAGTTTTCAAATATTTTTTTTTAATTAAATTAAATATCAATTTATCTCTCTATCTATCAATCAATTTATCAATCTATCTTTCAATTTTGATAAAAAAATATTTACAGAATTAACTATCAAGAGAAAGTTCAGTAAAATATAGGGAAAAGAGGGGACCTTTAAACTAATAGTAACCACAGTTTTTAGTATCAAAGCAAAATAACAAATAGAATCAACCAGTAGAAATGGATATGCAAAATAAAATTTAAGAAATTCTTTCTTTTCATCTAAGACATTACACAAATGATGAATAGTAAGATATTATTTAGCGCTTGGCCCTAATTGGATTAAGAACTTTGTAGCTAGAATAAAAAGAGGCAGTTTAAGTTGATCAAATAAATAGAATTTCAAGTAATTCAAAGAAGATATTTGTTTTTATTATTAGGCAATATTTATTTAGTTATCTTTAAAATATCTGCATTTTTTTGATGGAAAATCAAATTTTATTTTAAAAAAAGATTAAATTTTTGAGAAAATGGATGAAACAGGAAATCTAAGAAAAGAGTTATCAAACATAAAGGAATAGTTAAATAAATTGTCAAACAAATTTGAAACTCTGAGCTCTGAGAAAAAACAAAACACTGAGCCTAGCTTTAACTGTAATAATTTATCTAGCATTTCTGCTAGTTCTATTTTAAAACCAACTAACTCTATTCCTCCATAACCTCCTTCAACACGATAAAATGCGTTACCTTCGAAAGATAACAGATCTAATTAGTTTTTATCTTAGCAAAGATTGCAATCTTTGCCAAATTAATCTAACAATAATAGTAATATTGTCAAAACTCTCAACACTCCACAATAAAATTAAAAGTAACAAATCAACTTTTAAACTAGTCCTGGTTCTTAGCACAAATTGTTTGAAACAGACTAAAACTCTTTATTTACAGCAAAAAGTAAGCTAATAAATATTATAATTTTATAGCTTGTATTTATTTCAAATATTTGTATTTTTTTAGATATGACCAAGAAACCTTCTTCAGCTTGGAGAAATGGAGAAAGATCTAACTCATTAAATCAATAATCTTCATAGAATAATGGTATATTTAATAAGTCAAAATCTATATTTCTGATTTAATTTTTAGAATAAGTAAGGAGCAATAGCGAAGAAGCTAGTTCTTTAGTGCTTTAAGGTTTTAATGACTCAGAATCTTAAGATATTTAAAAAAGAAAATTTATTAAAAATCATGAGCAAATAGCTCCAAAAATCACTGAAACTATCCCCTCTACTATAAAGTATGACTCAGTAAAAACTACAACAAGACACCACTTAGATGACAAACACATGTATTATTTTTTAATTATGATTCTTTCTGTTTTGTAATAAAATAAATTTTATTATTTCAAGTAAAGATGCTTTATTTTGCATGAAAGAAGAACCTAGAGTTTAAAATGCTGAGAATTTGAATTAACTCTCAAAACAAAGAAAAAAATGGGATTCTGGCTAATAAGAGCTTCAAAAAAGTGAATAAGCAGAACCTTTTAAAAATGAGATTCATGAATATGTGTCTCTATCTTCGCATTAACAGTTCTTACCTACTTAAATTTAGTAAAGTTAATAACCTTAAACTTAAAATTTTAATAGTGTTGGAAGCAATATTAATATTGCTGCTTAGTATCAAAACTCACATTAAAAATCAAATAATGCAAACTTTACTTCTCCAAAATTTAAAGATGGAAGAGAAAACTCAATAAATACACAATACAATACTACAGATTAGAAAAAAAACGGGTTCTCATAAAATAGTAATTAAACTATAGCAATAATGAATTAACCTCCAAATACAAATCAATATTCTTCTTAGCCACCTTAATAACAATAATAAATATAGCAGAAAAAAGTAAATAGTAATTAAGGGAGTTAAAAAGAGCAACCATAAATATAATAACAACAACAAACAAAGTATGCAACCACAAAGTCTCTTTAGAAAAAAGTAGAAATAAACAAACAGAAAAAAATGGAAGAATCTAAAAAGCAGACTTAGAAAAAACAGTAGCAACCTACTTATTTGAAGAATGTTACTTCTAAAATAAAGGATGAAATAAGACTTCAGAAAGAGTCTTTGAAAGGAGGATTTAACCATGATGTGTAATTTGTCATAAAGGAAAAAGGTGCTATGAATATGCAAGGAAATAAATCACAAACTCGTGTTGTGAATGGATCTGAATTAGAAGAAGACGAAATGAGACCATATTACAAACATGATTTACAATTTAATTAAGGTGGCTAAGCCTATAATGACTATATCTATTAGTAATAGTATAACTAATAAACTTACTAACAAAAGATCAGCAAAGGAAATGAACTCTATTCTAACTTAGATGAGCCAAATAATGTTGAAGAAAACAACAACAATAGCGATGATGAAGATTCATCATACTAGATTAATAACTATAATTTAAGAAGAAATCAACATAAATTGTTGAAGTAAAATTCAAGCAACTAATACTAAAACATAGAGTATTAGGGTAAAGAAATTTCCGAAGAAATACCACCTGTTCCAATGATAGATGAGTCATATAGCGAATTTAAGAATATTTGCTCTTAGTCTCAGAACCAATAGAAGTACTACTAATTTTAGAATGAGATGATAGAAGATTAGTATTCCAATTTTGACTAAAAGTCATCATATACTCCAACAAATTATCAGGAAGCGATGAGAAATAACAACTTTAATGAAAACAAGCAAAATTATAATGATGAAAATTTCAATTATATGAACATGCCAAATAATCCTCACGATAAGTCTACTAACTCTAATTATGGTGAATAGAATTCATTCAATTACAGATATAACGATCAAAGCAGTATTTACTCCAATAATAATGCTAAGGGAAATTATGAATAATATAGCAACAACATAAATAATACAACTTCAAATTCCTAGAACTTATCAGCCATTGCCAATAATATGCTCCATAGTCCAATCATCAACCATTTCTCAAACTTAAAGCCAAACAAAAAAGAGACCTGTATTTCAGACCAAGATATTATATAACCTGCTAGCAAAAAGTATTCGCAAAGCAAACCAATGTTTTCAGATCAATCTACCTATCCCTACTCAAATAATGGGTAAAACTAGCTCAATTAAAACGGGTTTGATTAGCTAAACGATTCATATCAAAATTCTTCTTATCTCTAATAATCTGCGAATGACATCAGTTATAAAAAGACACTCATGAATCCTCCTCCATACTAAAAGAATTTATCTGATAATTTAGACTAAAGTTCAATGGCACAGGATAATTGTAAATAAATTAAATTTATTATTGATTAAATAAGACTAATTTATTTTAATGTAATTAAAAATAAGATGACCAACAAAATAGAAGTATAAATAGTTCTTTATCCTCATTCAAGCTTGATAACAACATGAAAGAAGTACTACAAAAAGATAGATTATTTTTCTAAAAAATGTTTGAAGGGGAAGACTAATTTTCTCAATAGAAATTCGATAACACATTTACTTCCTATCATTAATCTAACAATAACTACGGAAATATTCTCAATAGCAAATCTCAAACAAAGTAGCAGATAGGAGACTACATTCATAATAGTAGTAATAATAAAATGAAAGATGACTCTGTGATTGATCATAACCTAAGAAATCCATCTCACTACTCTCAAATATAATAAAAAATGGACTATAACTAATCAGCAAACGATTATTAATTTGGAGACGAAGACATCAACAACGGAAGTACTATGATGGATAAAAGACTATGCAACTTCTTTGCAGAGCAATCTTGAGTTGTTTGAAAAATATTTGAAAATAATCATTACCAACTTTATTTATCTTTAAATGCAATTAATTAGAAAAAATTATAAAATATTTCTCCCTTAAATCAATAATTGCAAGTGTACTTTCCATGCAATAATAAATAACAAAATTATAGAAATAGTGGAAATTATTTTATAATTTTCATATAATTCCAAGCTTTTTATATAAAATTAATTTTCATCTCTTCAATGAAGTGTTTCTTAATTTAAAATAATTATCAAAGTAAATAAATATATTTGAGAATATATGAATCTAAATTCTTAAAAATAGTTAATTAATTAATTCTTTTTTAAAAAAATTAGAAGAGAATTTAGTTTGATTTCATAAAATAATTTTTACAAAATAATTAAAAAATACTTGAAATAAATCTAAATTAATAAAATTATAAAATTTAAATTAGCAATTTATAATAATAATAATAAATAGAGTAAAATTAATAATTTTTTGTTGAGAATGTTTATCATTTATATGTGTTTATTTATTAATTAACCGCTTTATCAATAATTCTTTTAGTAGCAACTATCAACCTAAATTATATCTTTTTGAATAATCAATAGAATATTTTGAATCTCAAGTTCTCTACATATTATTTGAATGAATTAATTAATTGGTAAAATGAATGTGCAATTATGAAGAGAGTTAATACTTCAATTAATCGTATAAATCAATAAAATAATGAATGAATTAATGGCAAACTGAAAAATCTTTTGCAATAATAACTATTTCAAAATTGAATTTAGCAATTAAAAGAAAATTATTCAAAATTAAATATAGTGATTGATAAAAAACAAATAAATAATTAATTAATCAATTTCATTCATTTATTTATTAAGTCCTTTTTTTAGTTTAAAAAAACTAAATAAATCAAAATAGGCAATACAAAAGTGAATCTTTAAGTTTGAAACGGTGAAGGCTTAGCTTGGAATAACATTTATAAGAATTAAACCTAATTATTATCATAAGTTATGGATTAAATAGTGGAGGAAAATCAGTTCCTCAATAACTTTCTTAAGCAGTTTAAAGGAAAAAATCAAAAAGAAATATTAGATTCATTGTTAGTTATTGGAGCAGATTCAATTATTTCTAACTTTAAATTTTCTCATAATCTTCAAGAGGATATCCTTAAAGCATCGAGTAAATTTTATAATTTTAATAAAATTATTTGAGAGGGTTTTGTTTATATATGAAAATATTTTTGTCTTTGTTTTAAACTTATTTTTAGAAAAAATATAAAGCTATTTTGTTTAAGGAGATCAATCTTAGCTTAAAAATGAAATTGAATCTTTAAGATAAGAACTAACAAGGCTTAATTAAAAGTTTGATGGCAAATAAGAAAAGATGGTAGTAGCAGCAACAGCAACTCCTGTTTTGCAATAATTTTCTCCTCCAACAAAAATATAATTTTCCAACTAGCAAGCAAATAAATCTGAATAAAGAAAGCAAGGAGTAAAAAAAATACCTTTCTAAGAAAAAAACTAGTCAAGCTTATCAAAGTTGTATTAAGAAAATTAGGAAGCAAGTATTAACTAAACATGTAATTTAAATTTACAAAATTGCAACAATAATGAAAAATTTATCTCTAAATATAATAGAAAAGAGAATTGGAAGGAGCTCCTCTTTGTGTGAGGTAAATACAAGTGGCTCAAAAAGTAAAAAGCCTATATAGTAAGTTGCTCTAAAAGTGACAGAAGTAACTCCAAATATCCCAAAGCCAATTAAATACACTCCTAAATACCATCACTTAAATGACGAATAAGTGTAAATAATTTATTACAATAAAAATTATTGTATTGTATTAAAATAATTTTTGATTATTACTTAGTTAAAAAATATTTTTTTAAACTAATTTTAAAATATTTATTTTTTAAGAAGTGAAAATAATATTTTATAACTCTTTAAATATTTATAATAATTTTAATTTTACAATTTTCTTTTTTTTAAATTTAACTCAACCAATTGTTATTTAAAGTTATAAGAAAGAAAGTATTATTTTTTGAGTACAAGAAGTAGTATTTTTTGAATAAAAGAAAATATTATTTATTGAATATAAAAATAGTTTAAATAAAAATAGAGTTAATTATGAAATAAATTTTTAGGATAATTTTTATATATCTACATTATAATATTTACTTAATTGAATCAATATATAAATTAAATAGGAAAAGCAATTTTGAAAATTATAAGCAATTCAACATAGAAAATGATTAACATTAAAGCAACAAATAAAAAAGTAATTATCGTCAGTTTAGTTAAGATAATAACTTTTAACATTAGAAATACTAGTAGAAAGAAGTTTAAAATCAATTTTAGCCTGTAGAAAAATAACATTAGCATGGTAGTTAAAACCACTTTAATGATATGTAAAATAAATAAAGCAATAACGCTAATGAACCTGAAGTGGTTAATAATTATAGAAAAGGTTAAAACCAGAACTCCTTTGAGACTCTGGATTAAAATAAAATAAACCCAAATTATTATTAATATTAATCAAATAAAGAATAAAATAAATTTAATTTTAATGTTTAAAACTAATTTGGTATTCAAGGATAAATTTCACCAAAGTTTAATGATGCTATAGCAAATTATCATACTAATTAGCTTTCTTCGAGAAATGATTAGCATTCTTTCAATCAAAATGACCATAACAGTCTTCATAATTACAATAAGAATAATATTCATGATTAACAGCAATCTTTTGAACATGCTTAACCTAACAGCTAGTCTGATCATCCATAAAGAATTAAAAATAGAAGTAACTAAAGCTTTCATGGCAGAAGTAATCAAAGCTTTCAGGGAATAAATAAAGGATCAATAAATTAAAGTCCTTAACACTAGAAAACTCGCTAAAAATCAATGAGCCAAAAAGGTTCAAGAAAAATATATTATGATCCTCGTAAAATGAGAAAAGGAGATATTTTTAACCCTGTAAATAGCAAGAAAGAGCAACTAAATGTCCAAAGAGCATAAAGCAAAATAAAGGGAGAAATTTAAGAGCGCAAGCTAAACTAGAAATAATTTGGTAAAAAATATGAAGACGTAGAAGTTTTTGTGAATCAACCACCTGGTTATAGTGAATAAGAAAGCCAGCTTGCAAATAATAATTCTTAGCTAAATAATTCATATCAAAATGTCTCTAGCAGCAACAATAATAACTATTACAATTAAAATTTCTAGCCTTCTTCATACAATTTATAATCCTAATAATAGAACATTTCTTCTTCTTCTTAAATTTAATCCCAGTAGCAGTAGCAACTTTATGATATCAACGAAGATAGTGCTCAATTTGAAGATAGACCCAGATAAATAAATAATTACAGCGTTAACAGTGCAAATAACACATTTTTGAATAAATCTCGCAGTTACACAGCTACAACTGCTGCAACCGGAGATATACGCTAATCCTAAAACCTTTATTCTTAAAATTTTTATGGAGCAAAACAGTAAAATAGCTTTAAAAATAATTTCAATGACTTAAGTGATTATTAGAACAGAAATTCTTAGAATCCCTCAGCATCTAAGTAATTTCATTAGGAATCTACTGGATCTTTCGCAGTAAACGAAAATCATAATCATCAGCTTAGATATACAAATGATTAAGTAGAAGTTTCTCCCCAAAGAATAAATTAACTTTACGATCCTAAGGTAGAAAATTAAAGCTACGGCAAAAATTAAATTCAGTAATAGTAATTATAAGGGCAAAGGTATTATGATGGTGATGAAAGCGATATAATTGTCCATGATGATGGATAGATGCAAAACACTTTTATCCAAGACAGTGCTAACCGCTAAAGTATGAGCTCAAGATTTGTAGGAAACCAAACAAATAATAACAACTAATAATAATAATCATAATTTAACTAAACTGTGAATGATAGTATTAATAATAGGAGCTATTATAATTATTAGAATTTAAACTAGCACCTTACTTAGCACTATATTAGATCAAACAATTAATCTCTTAATGGACCTCATCCATATCTACAAACTTCTTAGGCCTTAGGCTAAAATCAATAAATCAATGAAAGAAACTCACACAGGACAGAGAATAGTTTCCAAGACTAAAGCTCCATTTTACAAAATCCATTTGCTACGGCTGCATCTTATTAACCATAAAGAATTCACTTTAACAAATAAAGAAATATGAATGGGAGCTTTTCTCAAATGAACCCATCATATTAAAACCAGTATGATAATTCTGGGTACATAAACTCAAGCAATAACTATATCTAAAATCCTTTCAGAGATAATAACAATAATAACAAGACATACGATTAAAATAGCTACTTAGGAATCGAAAGATTGTCGAATTCTTAAATAGACAATAGATAAAGTATCAATGACGAAGTAATTTCAAGCGGAAACTATTTGAAAGGTGGGCTGAAGTAAAGCCAAAATATTTATGAATAAAGATATAAAGAATTAGTGCAAAAACAAGAGAAAGTAGGCAATTCCTAGCAATTAGTATTTTCTGACTAAATTTAGCATTAATAGTAGTAATAATAACAATAAACTAAAAATTTAGCAAGTTAATATCAAAATAAATATTAGAATTAGTCTTATGATGCTTTGAAATCTGTGAACAACTATGCTGATTACAGTTAAAATAATCTAAATAGCTCTAATAATTATATAATTCCAAATCGTCTTTAAAATTTAAATTCAACTCAGCGCTCCAAATTAACTACTGAACGCTCTCCTGACTAGCAAAACTCGATTAGTAAAAAATCTGAGCAAAATGTCTCTCCTGATTTGAGCAATCGCAATAATCGCTAATTAGCTGATCAGAAAACTTACTATTAAGACCCAACTTCACAATCAATTAATAAATAAATTTAAGGTAAGAGCCAACAAAGAGCTGCTGTTCCTCATTTCTAAAAAAACGAACTTTAAGACTCAGCTGATAAATATTAAAAAGAATTCAGCAGAAATTTAGAATAAAACAATAACAATAATTATTATAAATAGTATAAACCTCATGAAACTTTTACAAATCGCTAAGAAAATATGTGTGAATATTCAATAACTTCCAGAGATCCACAGTCACCACCTTTGAAAATCTAAGTTTCTGGTGAAGGTAATTAAAACTTTTAAATACAAAGAAAGTGTATACATAATAAAATTCAATAGAAAAATAAGTAAAAAGCTGGATTAGTTTAAAATTTTTATTTTTGAATATTTTATTTAAATTTACCTCAAAAATGAATAAATTTTACACCAAAAGGGAAATTTAATTTTGCATCAAAAGGGCATTTTAATTTTGCTGATTTTTTTAAATATTCATGATAAATTTGAAAATAAATTAATGCAGAAGCAATAAACTAATTTTTTAATTTATTTTAATAGGTTCAGTAGAGAGTGAAGACTTCTCCCCATTTGAAGTCACAGAGTAGAGAAAAAAAGTATTTTAAGATGATAAATTGTTTTTCAAGGAAAGCTAATAGTATTCTCAAAGCAGGTCTCAAACAACTAGATCAGAACAGTGAATAGAGCTTTATAGAAAAATACTTATATTTTTAAAGTAAAATTGGTAATAGAGTCAATGAATTAATTAAATTTTTATTTTACTATGACATTCATCAAGCAGCTAATCAGCTAGCTTGCTATCCAGTAGCCAGTGAATAGATAATAAATATAAATTTATGTAATATTAATAAAAAAATTATAATTTTGGAGATCAATTTCATAATCCTATTTATCTCTCTATTTTTATGCATGTATGTAAATAATTTTTGTTTGTGTTTAAAATTACTTGAAAAAAATTCTCAAAAATGCTTAAAAATGAATCTAATCAGCAGATTTTAAAATATTGATTATTAATAACCCATACCTATCAAATTTAAAAAATATTTATATGATATGATTGTGATTAGAACAAAAGAAATTTCCTGTTATTTATTATATTTTTTTTATTAAAAAAGTAATTAGAATTTAAATCATTAAAATTAGCGTAAATTATATCTCGATAGAACACTTATATTATTCATGTATGATTTTTGAATCTATTTATTTACTAATTAATTTCTTGTTAGTAAAAACATAAAAATTTAAATAGTTCACTTTTTCTTTATAAAAAACCAAAGCAGTAAACATAATCTATTTACATGAAAATTATTTAATATAACTATATGTTTACTTATTTATCTATCTATAAATTAATTAATGCATTATCTGTTTGTGATGCTCATTCTTTTTTATAAAAATATCGTAAGCATAAATTCTATTTGAACTGAATTATTTGTAAACTTTTATTTTATTTATTGACTTTTAACTAGAATAATTTTTAACTAGAATAAAGTTTAAATGATAAGTGTTGATAGTGTAAATTTCTTACTTTCATTAGTATTTTTATTTATTTAATTAATATTTTTCTTAAATAAGACTTATAATAGAAAATTATGTTTACAATATTAAAAAAAATATTAAATTCAAAAAATTAAGTCAGCCTAATTGAAAGAAAGAAACTTGTTCTAAAAATTTTAAAAGAGAGTCTTTGCTTTATTTTCAAAGATAATGATGGCTTATACAAAATACACTTTGAATTTGAACAAGAAGAGAAAGAGTAAAATTATTTAGAATGATAAATTAATATTTTCTTTAAATAATATTTAAAAATAAATAATAAATGGAAATCACAATTTAAGTTAATTTTTAGAGAATATAGTGCGTAAATAAATTATATTTTACAGAATTAGTTGGCATAGTGTTTATTAATTAATAATAGCTGTATTCACATATACTGTATAATAATATTACATTAGAATTAACAAAAAGCCAATTTGCTCATTTCACTGATTTATTTATAAATAAATAATTAATTTACATATTAATTTATCGCTAATCCGCCAAACCATTCATTCATTAATTAATTTATTTATTTCTTAATTAATAAATTTACTTGTTAATTTTTTAAATGCATTGAATTCAAACGAAATCTTTTTAAATAACTTGATCAAGCTAAAAAAAGATAATTAATAAAAATAATATAAAATTAATAAATTAGATACCTTAATTAAAATTTCATAATTATTATTATTTGCATAAAACAGTATCAATCTAATCATCAATAAACACTATCTATTAATTGAAAATGGGATGCACTTAAGCTCACTCTAATTTGCAATACAGGGCATATAACCTTCACAGTGCTTACTTGGACATAATTGGTTAGTTAAAAATATGCATAGAAAGCTTGGAAGCTGCCTTTAACGACCCCAAATTTTCCTGCAATCTAAAGAATTTCTCAGATTACCTATAAAAAAAACTTGCGAAAATATAAAATGAGAACATACTTAAGTAGATATACGCAGTGCTAAACGAAATAAAATCATTAAGATCGAGACTAAATGTCTTATTTGAAATAAACGAATAGCTTGACTCAGAAATATCATATATCTAAAAAAAGAAAAAGTCTTCCTCGTGGCAAGAACTTGAAGAAAATATAACCATCACTAGAAATTCCGCTATTATTCTTTATCAATTTCTTTGTATTCCAGATATATGCTTCGATGATGCTAAAACCCTTATATTGTCAAACAACTATCTTTGCTGATTTAATTTATCAAAGATAAATAAATAAATAACTTTTATACTTACACAAATACTCAAATATAATATACAAATTCATTCATCTTCTCTCTTATGCTCTTCATAAATATAAATTCTACCACACTTAATAACATTTCAAAACTAAGAAATAACTACGTTCAGTTGTAATGCTTGCTAAGATAAGTAACTAAGAAACTCATATATTATCTTTTCCCTATTAATCAACAAATAAATACATATATAAAATTTAAATACTTTTTATAAATCAATAAAATTTTGCTGTAATTTCAAATGTATATTTATTTATAATCTATAGTATATCTAAAGTAACAAATTCAAATAAATACTAAAATCCATTTTTCAAACTCCAAATTACAAATTATGCTTAACAATCATTCAAGAAATATTTAAATTTATCAAAACTATTTAAAGGGTGAGAGATTACTCACTTTGTTCTTTTGATTTATTCATCAAGAAAAATAAATGCTGAGGTTTTAATTTTATATTTATTTTAGTAAGTGTTTACTCTATATTTCATCTAAAAATCTGGTGCGTAAATATTTTTAATATGAATCATTTATCAATATTTACATCGAATAAGCAAATAGTTTGACGTCTTAACTAAATTATCACATATTTTTTTTTATCCACAAATAAATGATTGATTGGTATTTAGTCAATAAGTTAGGTAAGTAGATCATAGCGCTTTAATTTATTTTAGAAAAATTTGATTCAAATATATACAAATATCCGCATATTTAGTAAAAATACTCAATTCATTTTAAAAAAGTAAATATTACTATAAAAAATATATTTGAAATAAAACATTTTTAAAACTTATTTTTTTTATTCTCAATACTTAGGATAATTTCTTAAAAGTATAAATTAACAATAAATTTAGTTCCTAAAAATTATATAAACAATAAAAAATAGCTAGCGAGCTAAAAAAACAATCAAAAAAGAAGGAAACTAAGGCTGGCAAAAATATTATTATAATTTTACTTTTAATTTTGACTTATTTTTTTCTGTTATAGTTTAAAGTATTGAGAGGTGATTAATGAATGAATAAATAAATATATAAGTAAGCAAACAAGCTAATAAAGAAAAGAAAAAAAAAATTAAAAACATTTATCTATGAACAGGTCTTTATTTTTACTTGAATTATTAAAATAATAATTTGCTTGAATTCATTAATTAACACAATTTAAAAAATCCAACCAAATCAAACAAAAGAACAAATATTTTTTTGATTCCATTGATTTATTAATTAATTAAATAAATAAAATAAATTTTAGCTCTGTTTTTGTGGATATATGGGTTTCTTTTTTTGAACAAATAAATATTTTGCTTACATATTAATAATTATTAATATCAAATATTATAATTTTTTTAATTTAATATTAAGAAGGAGCATGATTTATTTATACATATTTTGAAAAAAAAAGAGTAACCAATCCAATATTGTTACCCGTATATTTTTATTCAAAAAGTTACTTGGTGTAATAATTTAATAAAAGCAATCATATTATTTAAAAATATGCATTTTAATTTAATCAAAATGAAATATTACTCTCTTTTTCTAGTAACGCATATGTATTCATAGATATAAATACGAATGCTTTGATTGACATCTTCAAAAAAAGATTTATGTCATTTGATTAAATAACTCACTTCGATTCTCATTCGTAATTTGAATAACATGCAAAAAATGTATAAATGAAACTAAAAACTTAGAAAATGAATCCAAATCGATCTCTTGAAACCAAATTTTTTGTATAAATATTGTCAACTAACAGCTTTAAGGAAGAGATAATAAAATAGTCTATAAAGCCAATTATTGTTTATAATTAATAAGTCATTAAACAAATAGAAATTAAAGTTATTGAATTAAAAATATGAATATTTGTGATTAATTAACTTTTCTTTTTTAAATTATAATGAATGAAGTTTAAATATAATTTTGGAAAATACAATCTATCTAAATAAATTCTAACTTACTTTTGTTTCAAAGTGTCCTTCTCATAACTCTCATTTAATATATTTCAATTTTAATGATATATTTTATACTTTATAAAAGTATCTTTCTTATTAATTCTTAACAAACCATTAAATTATTTCAGCTTTCTCTTTTTGTATTCTCTTTCTATCAAAATATGTGCTACCAAAAATGTTATTATGTTTATATAAAATTTTTTGTTGTCTTACATACAATTATAATTATTAATTAATTTAAAATTATTTTCATTAAGTTATTTTGTTCTCTTCATTCATGATATTCATGATGTAAATAACAATTATTATTTTTACCTAATACAATTAACTGTAGCTTAGGCTTTTATTAGATAATTTTAATAAATAGAGATTTTTCTTTTTTAAAAATTAAGTAAATTTTTTTTACCTATCGAAATGTATTTTTAAAAAAATTATAATAAAGCTAGATAAATTGAATAGAACATAATCAATAGAGTTTGTTATAAATAAATAATTATATTAATAAATTAATTGTTCACTCATTCATTAAGAGAATCATTAAATTAAATTAAAGTAGAAGTAAAATAAATTATATTAAAAGTAAATATACTATTGATTAATTAATTGATAGATAAGTTAATAGATTGAATAACTCAAATTTTAAAATTCAACGGAACAAAAAATGGAGAAACATACACTTAGGTTCAAATCAAAAAATTTAGAAAAGGAATACCAGGAACAAACAAGAAAGTCTAACATAATTATATTCATTTAGCTATCTTATTATTATATGGGAATAGTTTCTATTCCCAATTTTATCATGTCTATTGTTTAAAGCGAGATGTATATTTTAGCTTTTAGCATAGTGTCGGTAATTTGCTTGCTGATTTTAATTTAGATTTTAAAGAAAATACCTAAATATTATAATTATTACATCAATATGTTATAATTATTTGCTACCTCCATTTATGGCTATCTTATGTATTACCTTGGACCTCAATTGAAAATTAATGATCCTTATGCATTATTTTTTTATTCAGCACAGATTTTCTAAATGCAGATGATTCTCTTCTTTTTCAATGAAAATTTTTTGAGTCAAATTTTTTAAGTAGCTTTTAAATTGTCAGTGTAAATTTTATTTCAAATTTAATTTTACAAAATTATATTTTCATATTTTTATATTTTTAAATATTTCTTTAAGTAGCATTTTCATGATTAAAAATGGATCTACTTGGTTATAAATAAATGTATTAGATTCGATAGTAGTAAATATCTTCAATTTTTATAATAAAGTTTTGTCGTTATTACATGGAAAAATGAAATATATGCTATTAAGTACAACTATTTAGTCTTAAATTTATTCATAGTTGTATTTTTATTTAAGTCTTATTAATGCAAGAAAGAATCATTTTCTTTAAAGCAGTCAGAAAAGTAGTGGGCAAAGGTTGTCAAATTTGGACTTTCTACTAGTATAATGACGGTGAAATATGATTAAAAACAGAATTTTATTACTTTGGATATTGTCAACTAACATGCTTAAAAAATATTTTAAGTTAATACAAACGATTCTTTCAAAATATTCTCAAGAGCAGTTAAAGTCTATCCTTCAGTCAAAATGTCAGAAAGAGTAATCAATTTTGATAATTGATCTATTTATTTCATAATTCAATAAGCAAATCAATAAAATTATATATTAATATTAAATAAATTACCTTAATTTTAGGATGAGATACCTTGTTCGTTGGAGAACAAAATTATTGAATACATAAAAGCATTTATTGAATTCCACAAAAAAGATAAAATGCAAAAAGGATAAAAAAGTAACAGCAAAACTAATAATATAAGACCAAAAAACTAAAGTTTAACTTCAGGCGAACCAAGTAAGCTAAAGTAAAATGCTATTTTACTGTATTCTACATACTAAAGAAACGAGTCAGAAGAACCCTAAAAGTATAAAATAAAGCTATCTACTTATTTCAATTAAAATTGTTATCATTGTTGCATTGAGCTAGAAGAAGAAAAAGATTAATAAAAAATCAGAAATCTATAAATAGCAAAGAATCATATAGAGCAGAAGTTTTACATAATGTGCTTAAAAATGGGTATTTATTTATTTTCTTAATTACTTTTATACAAAATATTTTATTTAATCACTTCTTATCACTCAATTTTATCAAACTAAACTTACAAAAAAAATTAAAAATATTAAGTATTATCAGTCACCATAAGTTATCTAATCACATATTTTTATTCATTCGCTTATTTTTTTTATAATGCTGAAGCAAAACTTCTTAATGTCTTTTTTTATTTTTAATCTTTCATCTGCTTATGAATAAGTCAAATAACTAAAAAAATTTTTAACTTTAAATTATAAATACCTATTTTCAAAAAAAACAATTCAAATTTATGAATTAATATCAATACCATCTATATTTTTTTTTTACTAATTTATTGAATCTTTTATTTATTCAATAATATTTATTTATTAATTTGTAAATTTTTAAAATATAATTTAAGGGGAAAAACTTTCAAAAATAGAATAAAATATTTCAAATAAACGATTGATTCTTTCAAACATCAGATTGGCTCAGCTTCAGCTACAAAATATTCATGACCATGCTAGATTAAAAAAAAAAATGCTAAATAATGAAAATCCTTAAAGTTTTAATGACATTACCATAGGAGAAATAGTATAACATATTTAAGAATCATTTCACTAAGCTGTTGAATAAAACATGATAAAGTTTATTTTTGAAAACTGCAATAAAAATACTGTTTTGCACACTTTAAACACTAGATTTTAGTAAATACTTCACAATTTTATTGAAAACTCTATAAGAGCTATATAGATATCGCAAATAGAATAGAAGACAAAAAATTAAGATATCAGCAGAAGAGTAAGCACAATATAAAATGCTTTCAAATTTTAGAAACAAAAACTGTAGATAAACCCAAAATAATAAAATACAAGTACATCTCCTATCGAATAAGAAGAATAAACAGGAATGTCTCCTCTACTTTCATTTAGAGATAGAGAAAGAGCTAGGAAACTTACTTTTAATAACAATAACTAATATTACAACTCACTACTTAATAAATCATAAAAAAGTAATACTAATTTAAGTGCAAATTTATTACCGACTCCACAATTATTTTAGTTAGATAGTAGTAAAACTGATATCTAGTAAAAGGATCCTACACCTATAAAAGATTAATTTTAAGATGGCTAATTTAACAAGCTAAATATTAACTTACAAAAAGATACAAATGAATTTTAGTTAAGCACTTCAACAATCATTTAAAAATAAAAAATCAATATTAAGTTTTAGCTCCTCGAAGGGTCAAACAATATGTCTAACATTTTGAAAATATCAATCTAAGACAATGGGTTAATTTTACAGTAATCCAAATTGCTTACTATTTTAAAAGAAATAGGAGATGCTGAAAAAGACGAAAATTACTAATAATTTAAATTTTTAGGGTGGAAAGTTAACTAAGGTCTTATAGGAAGGATAGGTCCATATCATGATTTCTTTGCCTAAGCTTGTATGCCAAAGGTAAATATTTTAATAAATTAATAATTAAATAAAATAAACTATTAAAATAATAAAATCAATTTCATTTCTAAAATTATTTACAATTACTTTATTTTGAATTGGAAATAAATAATTTTTTTTATTTATACCTCTTACTTAATTACCATTTAATATTTAAAATTTTTAAGGTAAAAATATTTTATTTTGGAAAAGGGGATAGAAGTTCACTTTTATATATACCAAAACTTAAAAATAACGATTGAAGAAAACAAAGATATTCCTTTTGATAACTTAAAATTTGTTTAGCAATTAAATATCTCTAAATCGAATTTCTATTCAACATTTTCGAAGTAACTCTTAAATAATATTGAAGACATTAACATAGAAGAAGATATGAGAGATTAAAATTAACCAAAATTAAGACCAAAGCAAGTTTCTTAATTCTAAAATAATTAAAATGAAGAAAATACTATTATTTAATCTTCTTAAATTGATGAAAAATTTAATGACTCTGAAATTTTAAAAAGCTCTACTTAAATAGTTTTAGATTCAAGTGCAGCAAATAAAATTTACTCTGACCTTCATTACAAAGTATCTTTGTTGAAAATGAATACTATAAAAAAAAGTGTTAGTATCTATAATACCATCAACCAAACCAAAACCTGCCTTTTCAGATAGACTTCCGATAATTAGTAAAACAGGCATAACTTTAATAAAAATGATCTTATTACTAGTAATACAAATACAAATCTAAATCATTTGTAAAGTAATTTGACTGGAGATGAAACCACAAGACCAATTTTTTAAAACAACGAATCAGATAATAGCACTTTGATTAATTGAAAAACAAAACAAAATAAAACTATATAAATAAAAAGATATTAACTAAACTTATAAACTTTAATAAATAAATATATTAATAAACAACTCTTTTTGTACTTTTTCTATTATAAAACTTATTTAGTTTATTTTTATATTTTTATTACTTGATCAAAATGTTGCTTTAAAAAGTGTTAATTTTCATTAAAAAATATTAATAAATTGATAAGTATTTTTTTGAAATTTAACGATATTTCTATTTATCGTAAAAACTAACTCTTTGTCTCTTTTCTTACTTTATTAAAAATAAGCAAACAGATTAGGCTGATGTAGTTTGAAGTAAAATTTTAGGTAAAAATTATTTATTGATAAGGAAAAGATAATACATACCATAAAACCTCGTTAACTCGCAACCCGCAAATTCAAAAAATCTTCGATTTATTGAGGTTTATTTTTAGACAATTTATTGGATGAAATAAATATTTGTGTTTGGAGTTAATTATTTTATTTGCAGTAAATATGGATGATTGATACTTGCATTTTAATTGAATTTTTCACAATAATCAAAATAAGTAAGCAAATAAATTGGTGTTTTTTAATTATAAAATATTAACATAAATATGTTTAATTTATATAAAAATTGGATATAGTTTGCATATTAACTATTTCAAAATAATTAATTTTTTTCTATCTAATAAAAGTATTACAAAAATAAATAGATCACTTAAAGATTAAAGAAAGAAGCAAAATACATTCATAAATAATAACAAAATATACATCTACTTTGCTTTTAATTAATTAAAGTTGTTTATTAATTTATTTAATATGGGTAAATGCTGCAGTAAATAAAAATATATTCACATAAAGTAGTAAGTCTCAAATAACTGCTTTTTAAAAAATGAAATTGACATTATTTTAAGCTAGTTAAAATAGTAAAAAAAGTTTTACTAGTTTCTGGACTATGTTAGCAGCTAAGAAAAATATGTTATAGTTAGTGCATTCAACAAATATACTAAAAGCAAATTACTAATCAAAATTAATGACGATTCATATATTAATAGCAGTGTAAACCTGCTTAATGATACTAAGCAATAAAATAATTGTTTGCTAAGTTAAGTGTTTGAAAAATTTCCTGCAGAAAATTGCTACTAGCTTTTGAATAAGAAAAGTAAATATGGGTGTTTAGAATTTAATGATAATAAAACATTAAGAAATATATGGATACAAGAAATTGATTTAAAGACAATTTAGCACAAGGAATAACTTTTTACAGAAACAACAAACTTCAAAGATGTAATATACTAAATATTTCTTTTAAGCCCAAATCCACTTTTTTATTCTTTTCTTTCTTGATAAAAAGCTATAAAATTTAATTGGTTATCACAATCTCATTTAATACCTATTTGTAAATCTATCAGAGTATTTAATTACACATTTAATTTTCAAAATTTTATAAATTGCAATTGTAAACTGATCTTTTAATTGAAGGTCCTCCGATTTATCTAAAGAAGTATATGAATAAATTTGCATCTATTTAAATAAATGTGTGAACACTAAAATTTTAAACCTAGATTTAAAGTAAGGTTACTCAAATAGTTAATATAATTCTAGTATAATTAATTGTATATTAAAACAGAAAATCAATTCATACAGAAGCAATTCTGAAATCTATATCAAGGATTTTACCTCAATTATATAATTTAAACACTTTTACGCTCAGTCTAATGTAGTTGAATTATAAATAAAATATTAATTTATAATAAAATAAATTAAATTTAAAGATATTACAATAAAGATGCCACATTTATTTCAATTGCTTAATCTTTATTTAAAAATGAAACCGTAGAAAATGTAACTTTAAATTTAAAGTAAAAATTAATATAATTATTTAGATAAATCAATTTTATATTTTTAATATTTTCATTATTTTGAATTAGAAACTTTAAGTTACCGTACAAATTATGTAAAAAAGCATTTAAATAAGCTCTCATATGTCAAAATCTGAAATAGTTACAATTAAGTTTAGAGTAAAAATAAATAAGTTTTCATCTACTTAATTATTTATATTTAAAAACAGATACTCATACATTCAATTCAAGTCTTTAGGCAATGCTATTTTTCCATTTATTGCTAATTAGAAATATCTTCGTTCTCTAAGTATCAATATTAAGTAGTTTTATTTACAGTTTTAAAATTTTACATTAATGAATTAATTAAATAAATAGATAAAATTTACTATTGGAATAAACGAGTCAAAAAATAATAAAGCTACATCTTGATAATCTATTGCTACTTGAAAAATTAACTCTAAATTTCAAGTATATTTATTCACTAAATAAAAACTAATTAGCTAACTATCTTATTTCATTTCATTTTACTTATTGCAAACATATTGATTTTCTTGTGATTGATAAAAATTTTTAAACTTTACCATTTTAAAACAATAAAAAATTAATCGATACTTACTTTTAACTTTTAGGAAATTTAGTTTAATTTAAAAGTAGTGATTATTTATTAAATAATTAAAAATATTAAGTGAACCAATACAGTTAAATTAATTTAATTAATTTGAAGAATTCAATATAGAAACTAAATTTGCTGGCTATATTTAAGAACTAAGGATTAACTTAAAGTAAATATTTATTAATTATTTCTTTATTTTAATCAACCTTATTAAATATAATTAGTTAAATAAAAATTAGTAATACTTCACTAGGAACTTTGTTTTACTAAATAAGCTAATAAAAGTTATTAAAAAAGTTTTCATATAATTCGTTGTAAGCATCTATCTAAATTATTTTAAGATTATTTAATTAATTTTTACAAATCTTCAAAAGAAATAATAGCAAAAATAGTTTTGAGTAACTGCATGAGCTATTGACTTGTGTCACAGAATGTTAAAATTTGATTTAATTAGAAATAAAATACAAGTAAATTTAAATTAATTATGATATTTATCTCTTCAATAAGACCATATTAATTTGAATTTAAAGATTGCCAAGTATTCAAGAAGATTAAGTTTTACTAGTTGCTTAATAATTGTCGAATCTCACAAATCTTGAATAACTATTTATAGATTTCGATAAATACTTGTAAATAAATAAATGCTACTTTGTTTATATTTAAAATTGCTAATAAAATAAAAATAGTTTATTAGATGAAATAAAAGTGTTCAAGTAAACTATTCACATGATTTCTAAGCTAGAAAAACTCGTTGATTTAAATTTTGGGATATTGTATGACCTAATTTTTTTTAATTTAATATTAAATTTGGTTTATTTTTTTTTACATTTCATTATTTTTATCAAATTTATATTTATTAGTTTCCTTTTTTCTACCGAGGATTAGCTGATATAAGCATTATATTCTCTCTAAAACTTCAGATCACTGAAAAATCTATCTCTAAGCTTGTAAATTCATCTTTTAATATTTGAGTTTGTAATGAAATATTTTTATTTTTTTAGTCAATTATAGCAAGAACTAAGCGTTAATGATTTATATATAGCAGGAGTATCTTAATGGTTGCATTTAGAGACTTTGAATCTATGTTTAAAGTAAAATTTATTAATTTAGATTAATTAGAGGAACCAAAATTTTTTTTTGTTAATTAGTGAATAATAGTAAACTAAAAAACTATATACCAAACTCTTAGTCGATTAACTATCTGAATGTTTGACTCTTAAAAATTTAACTTTAAATATAACGTACTAATTAATTAATTTTATAAATTAAAAGTTTATATTCAATTTATATTTTTTAAGATCTGATTCATTTTCAGAAAGATAGTGCTAAATTCTAGGACAAGAAATATCTAAATGTGTAAACTTACAACAGCTAAAAATATATGGAGCGTAGAATTTCTTATATTAATTAAATTATTTGATGTTAAAATCAAATAATGCATTTTAAGCTTAAATAATAATCATTTTAATTAATTAGCTTTGATTCATATATGAGTAGCCTCTTTTTATCTGAGCTAGTGATGTCATAAAATTTATAAGTTTTAGCTTTGTAATTTAGGTAATTTACTTATTTGATTAATTAATTTTAACTTCATTAAATTGTTTAAAATTTTTATTGAAAAAGAATGGAAGTTTAAAGAATAGATCAAGCTATTGATATTGGAAGATACTTAATTTAATTTTAAAATTTAAAGAATCTCACCCTTGAATTTTTGTATTTTATTTATTTTGAATAGTATAATAATTTTATTTAATCAATAATAAAAATAGTAATAACAGAATGAGTACTTAATTTGCTTCTACACTAGCATACTATATTTCTAAGTGCAATAACTTACTTATTTTTAGCTTTCCATAAAAGTAAATATTATAGCATTTTCACATCATTTAAATACTTAGGAAAAAAATTTTTAAAACAAAACGTATAACTTTAATCAATTGCTTTAATCTAAACAAAGGTTATTTAGAATGAAAATAACTTTAAAAAAACTCTTCTTTATTAATATTATATCTACCAATCTAATAATGAATATGCTTATAAAAATTGTTTTAATACAGTGCAAATAATTAATCAAATAAAGTAATTTAAAAAAAATTAAATTTTATCTCTTTATATTATTGTATTTATATACCAAACATTTAACTTTAATGACTAATCTAAATTGTTAAATCATTTTTTAAAGTTACCTAAAAATTTACAGTAAAAAAATAAATATATAAAATATTGTTTTTTTTTAAATATTTTTGATAGTGATTTTGATTAAATATCTATTAGTAAAAAGTTAAATTTTGTTCTTTAGTTAATCAATTATTTAATGAAAAAAGACATAAATATTTATTTATTTACATAAAAACAAACAAGTGGAATTTAAGTAGTAAAATTAATTATTTTAATATATTTTAAAGTAAGAATTTTTTAATTTAATATGAATTTTATTTTATTTTTAGAGAAAAAGAAACTATTAATTATTAAGAAGTCTTCAAAAATTCAAAACTTTAAATTCTCAACTAGCAGCAGCAGTATTCATAGGCTATTCAGAGTTTTAATTTTATATTGAAGGGACTACTTGATTAAGGGCAATTTCTTAGTCTACTTCAGCAGCAGGTTTAACTTCAGCAGTAGAGGCCACATGGTGAGCTAAATTATGGAAATTGGCTTTTAAGTTACGGTTAAATCCAAAGAAAGGAATAACTATAACTTCGTAATAAATTAGACAGCCAAAGACAACTATTATGTAACCACAGAATTACCCAACTCTAAACTTATCCCAGCCAATAGCGATTGTGAACATCCAAACAACAAAAGGAGAAACTTGAGAAATCATAGATCTTGATAGAGCTGATGCATATTTAGTGGCATAAAAAGCGAGACCATTTAAGATAGCAATAGCAATTATACCTAGAATAATCATAAAGAAGAGTGTTGGTTAATAAGGTCCTTCAAAAGTGAAGACAGTTTTGAAGAATTATGGAACGTCTTCCATCATACCGTTGGGACAGTCATCAGCCATGGATTAAGGGCAAGGTATATAAGAGAAAATATTCAATGCTATCCAAGTAATTATGATTCCAACAGATCCTTCATAACCTACCAATTAGTTTGGATGCAAGTAAATGGTTTTGAAAAGCTTTTCTTCCAATACAGATTATCCTGATGAGAAGAAGAAGGAAATGACAAGCAAAATAATACCAAGTAGTAATTAGTTAGGATCAAGACCATCTTAGCTAACTAAAATAGAAGTGATACCGATAGTGATAAAACCAGAGACAGCCAAAAAGAGACCTAAGACATGCTACCTAAATAGCTATTTCTTCAAAAAAATAACAGAGAAAACAGCAGTAATGACTATGTTACCACCTCTGATCATATAATAAATTGATAGAGGCATTTAAGACATAGCAAAAAATTGAATTGTAGAGGCAGTGAAATCACAAAGTGTAGGAATGCAGAAAATCCACTTACTTGGATTAAGATTGAGACCCTTTTCTTTAGCTATTTTTAATTCATGTTCAAAGTCAGCTGCTTAGTATTTTTTTTGCAAACGATAAATTAAATAGCAAAGAGCTTCACCTATAAACATGAGCATCGTCTGCATAAACGGGTGATTAAACTGAACTCCATTTACAACACTTCTTTGCTGCTACTTAAAGATGATACCAGTGCCAACACCTTCGAAGAGAAGGACTACCAGCAACAAATTAACTTTGAAAGTTGTCATAACCATTTTTTATGAGGGGGGTGATAAATATTCTTTATGAAAAATTAGAAGATTTGATTGTCGATTTTTATTGATTGTTAATTTTGTTTATTTATTATTAAATTATTTCAGCTAATTGGCCTTATTTTTAAATCAAGGTTTTTATGTGATGATACATTATTTGAAAAATTGAAAAAAGGTAGTTTCTATTTAAGTCTGACTAATAAATTACTAGAATTCAAATAGGTGTTTAATATTTTTATATAAGAAATTTAATTACCAAATCATCTAAAATTTAATTACCAAAACAAAAGAAATTTAATTACAATAATATGTAAAAAAAATTAAAATCCCAAATTAAAAAAGTTAAACAAATAAAATACACATGTCAATATTTATTCTAATTAATATTTTTAATCAAAAATAAATCAAAGCGATTCTTGGAAAGAACTATTATTTTACTAGTAAGTGACATATTCCTTACTTACATATTTATTTCAAATTTACAAATTTTAATTTAGTACTTATTTTTTTCCGCCATATGCAATAATAAACAACAAATATCAACAAAATATTTAGTTTGATTTTCATTTTATAATTTATGGTGACCATTACTTAAATTTATTTTATTAATTAATACACTTTTATTTGTTAATTCTCTTATCAGTTATAATTAAGTTTTATTTTAGTTGGTTGGTTATTTTTTTATTATTTATTAATCGAAAAAATTTTTAATTTAATTTCGAAGTTGCTTGAATTTTTTTACTTATTTATAAAATCGAATAAAAATTTATATGTTTAAAATAAATATTTTGATTTTGAATTCATATTATTTTTAATTTTTTAAAGTGTTTATGATAATTTTCTTGATAAAATTTTATGAAGTATTTTGTTGAACTATTTGTTTGTTAGGGACTGATATTCAATCAATCAATTTTTCATCTATTAGAAAAAATTTAATTAATTTAATATTTTATTCAACTTTGTCTTAATCAATGAAACTTAAGTTAATATTAATTAACTAGAAGAGTTATTATAAACATTTCCACACAAATAGTTAGTTTTCTTAGAGATTTTGCTAAAATATGCTTTCAATATGTTATTAATATTGACTTAAGTTCAATTTTTTATAATATATTTGTTAATCAAAACTTTGCTTAAGTTTATAAAATTTTTCATTTTTTGGAAGATATTTTAATCTAAAAAAATTTTTTAAATAAGTTGGTAGTATTTACTCATTAAGCGAAGAGTTTACATAGAATTAAATCAAAGTTAAAGATGGACGAAAAAAAGCTCAAGCCAATAAAGGCTTAATTAATAACATCTTTATAATTAAGTTAAAAATGAAAACTCTAAAAAAAGTTTGCTTTTATTTGAGATAATACTTATGTATATAAATAGTTATTATATGATGAATTAAAGAGAAAGATAATAATCAAGAAATATTATGTATGATAAAAAAGCTAATAAAAGATGTAAAATTTTCTACTATCCTTATACTCTTTCTTAATTTAGGTTGAATAAATTAATGACAGCTGGTTGAACGATTCTTCTTTTGAAATAGAAGTAAATTTAATTAAATTTATCAAAGATTATTTATTCTTTTATACAATTAGTACATACCAAAAAATTTGAAAACTATAATACATAAATAAATTAATGTAAATAATTTCAATAATAAATTCAGAATCTTATTATATATTATAGAATTCAAAAAAAATTCCGTCATTTAGATTATATAAATTATTTAAGTAATTCTACTAAAATTAGTATTTTAGAATTATTGAAGTAATTATAAAAATAATTAATTGAAAACAAGACTGTTAACAGTAAATTAATTTTTAGGATATTTTTAAATTGCATCATCGTCCAAATAATAAATTTGAGTATATTTCTAGTTATATGATACCAAAATATCAACTAAAACAAATACTGCTCTATTGTATTAGTGTAAGATAATTCATATACTAAAATCATAATCTCCTTTTTTATAATTTTATGATATAAACATTCTTTTATCATAAGTTAGTTATTGATAAAATTTACTTGATTTCTTTTCAATTTTGAAATGTTTCTGAATATAGTTTTTTTTTATATAAAATTCTACTTCAATGAAAAACACATATTTATAGACTGCAATTTTTATTTACTTTTTTTAAAATTATAAAAAATGAATGTCTTACCAAAAACTTTTTATTGATTTCTTCAATAGAAGCAAAATAATTTAATTTTAAATACTTTAATTAATATTTTTAAAAATTGAGTAAGCTAGCAAAAAAATTTATTAAGTAAAAAATATTAGTTAAATAAAGATCTTTTTTTTATTTGTGTCAAAAATGAAATTTATTGGTATATTATATTGAGCAAATCATTATTTTTAGATACTGATATTAACAATTTAAAAAGCTCTAACAACTATGAGGATATGAAAAATATTAGTAAATAAAAGGCTATGTAGTTTAAAAAAAACAATCAAAAACAGTACTACCCTCCTTATTTATTTTCACTTTTTTTGTTAGATTTTATTAAAAATTATTGTACTTTCTTAGAACTATTAAATCATATTTTATAAAATGTATGAATACTTTTGTTTGTTTTTTATTATACACACAGTAACCTAGCTAAGATTTGTTGTTAAAGACTATAGAATACACAAAACTTAATGCTATTGGAACCAGCTTATTTATCTTTGGTAAATTTAATTTTAATAAATTACAACTTCTTATTACTTTTATAGGGAAAATAGATTGTAATATGAAAGAGCTAGATGACTTCTTTTTAAATAAATATCAATTTAATTTATATTTTTTATCATTTCGCATTTCGATTATATTAGTTAATGCTTGGTGTTAAAGTTTGAATTGATGATCTTAAATAAATGAGAGTTTTTGTCTATTAGTCTAGTTCTAGTATTTGTATTTAGAAATCTATATTAAATTTTGTTTTGAAAAAAACTATATATTTATCAGTAAGAGTGTAAGACTGATTAAGGAGAAAATAAATACTTAAAGGAAAATGCTAAAAATAAAATACATTAAATACAAAATTTAATAAAATAATATGATTTAAATAAATATTTAAATCTATAATAAAGCTATTTAACTATGAGCTTTTTAGTTCTTTATTATTTCATTATTCAAGATATTATTACTTTTGATTTATATAATAATAAATCAAATTCATTTATTAAAAAATAATGTAATTATCTGAAATCGTATTATTTTATTTATCCATCATAGAATTTACTATTTTTGGTATCTAAAAAATGAAAATAGGCGATTGATTAATATTGAATGTTAAAGAAAATAAATAAATACATATCTAATGGACCTTTTCAAATTTTATTATACTTTTTATTGGAAGATATATAACAAGGTAAATAGTTAAATATTCTTTCTTTAAAATCGGATGTAAAAAACTTTTTTAAAATATATTTATTTTTGATTTAAAAATTAATTTACAAACTAAAAAACCTAATAAAAAGCTAGTAATTTGAGTATATAAAATATTAATTTAAAAGGCATTTATAATATTGAAAATTTGATTTACTCAATTAAATTTATTTTCCATTAACTAGAATTTTTATTTTCGAAAATGTGTAAATTTGAGAAGAGGCATTATATATAAACTTGTTAAAATCTGATAAAAATAGAGTGGTAAAAGCAAATATGCTACAAGATGAAGAAAATTAATTAAAAGGTTTAAAAATTATATGAAATATCTCAAAATGCAAGCAGAGTTGGAAATATTTTAATTTAGGATTAATGATAAATGGCAAACAATATTTTTTATTTTAAATTATAGTAAAAGTATAAATGAAAGTGAGTGGGAATTAGCGAATTAATTAAAGACTATAACATAAATAAATATAAATCTGAAGATTAAATATATACTAAAGCTCAGTTAAGATGCTGTTACTTATTGTAAGGTAAATCAAGAAACTCGAGGATTATATTAATTTAGATTTTATTTCAAGGACAAAATATTAGGCAATTAGCTTGTATTTTAATTTAGAAGTTTTTTAACTTGAATAATTAATTTTCTTTACTTTCAATACAATTAATTTCACATCTAATAATCTAATAGCAATCAATCAATAAAAACTAATCCTTTAAAACAAGTTAAAAGTGAATTTAGGATAAATAACATAATAATAAACAATATGTTTTTTTTAGTAAATATTTGGTTATTTTTTGTTTAAATTTAACAAATCCTCTCAATAGAGTGTCCCTAAATTTAGATATTAAATCCATACAAGTCAAGGACATGGATTATTGAAGGTGTTTAGATTCATAACTCGACTATTCGGCTTTTAAGAGGAGGAAGTTAGCCAGGTACATCTTAACCAATTAATAATGTGATGATTTGGGATATGAGCAACAATCATATGCTAAAGATGTTTGACATAGATATACAGATCACAAAGATGCTTTATTGCAAAAAAAAAAGAAAATTATTAGCTTTGGGACTGCATAAGATCTTAGAAATTCACCCTCAAAGTTTTAATGTTATTGACGAATACAATATTGGTGGAGTTTATATTGAAGATGTAGAAGATAGTGATAGTCTACTTCTTATTTCCAGGGATAAAGGAAATCCCTTTTTATATGATATCTATTAAAGGAAGATAGCAGAGACATTACCTTATGAGTATTAAAATATCAAAGGACCTGAATGGTCCTCGCTTGTATTTCTTAAAGATTTTACTGTCTTTATTAGTGGTAAATTAATACTTTTTGACAGAAATAATGGAAATAAAATAATTGCATTTCTTTTAGGAAATGTGTAAAATCCTAACACAAATAACTTGGTTTGTTCTTTCAAGCAAGCAAATTTTTTAATAACAAGCAATTTAACAAATATAATTTAGCTTGGTACTATTTACAAAGATTCGTAAGGACAAACTCAATATTAATATAATGGCTAGTACTAAGAACCTACATACCAAATATCATAAGGTTAAGATATTAAGTTTCTAAATCTTTACTGTATTACTCGTGGAAACGATTACTTTGTGATTGGTTTTCTTGGAAAAACTGACAATCAAAATATTTTATATAATGGAGCTACTGTATTAAAAATATAAAATAATACAGATCCTATTACAGGTTAACCCTCTTTTTCGTTTAAAACTCAGGAATAATGGAAGTATAGAAGATGGAGGAAGGATATGGAGTTCTTTTTGTTTGATGAAGGAACACATAGAGGTCATTCTATTAGTGAATACGAGCATTATTAATATGAATTTCTAGAAAGTGATGATGCGTAGTGCGATTTTGATGGAGATGGAGTAATAGATCCTCAATGCAGAATGGCTAAAACAATTAGTCATTGGCCTTGGAATTTGGATATAGGTGTTTATTTTTTAGGAAGTAATTCAGAGTATTTCATTCAAGCTAATGACAATTAAAAAGGATATTAAATTAGAGATTGGAATCAGACAGAAATAGCAAGAATAAAGTATCCTCGATTAATAGAAAAAAAGCAATTTTCTTTGAGAAGAATATTGCAAGATCCAAACAGCACATACAAATTAGCTTATGACACCTATATTAAAAAAATGAATTGGGTTTACGATAATTTTTCTGAGATGTAGGATGGCTTTTTTTTTAACGCAGGCTTTTACATTTATCAGCAGATTTCGTTGAGCTAAAACATTACAGACACATATAATTTAATTTCTTATATGAATCCTCCTGATTCTCCAGCAAAATATTTAAATCCGTATGATATAATCTCAGCTTTTACATATAAAGATTCACTTAATGTTTGTGTTTTCTATAGTGTTTTAGAGGTGAGCGTAAATCAAAATGGATAGACAGTTGATAATTAGGCTTCTTACCAATACTTTTAATATCATAACAAAGAGTGCTACAAGCTAAAAAATGGTGTAGTTTAGTCTTTTTATAAATTAAATTAAACCAAGGCAATAGAATATGGAAAAGGTTTGACTTAGTATTCAAAGTGCACTCCATATTTTTCTTAAGGATATTTAGTTTGTAAAAACATAGATCCAAGCTTATAGTTTTGGTCTTTGGACGATTACACCCTAGTTAAATAAGTAAGAATTGATGGTTGCACAGGAAATTATGATTTAGCTGTGCATAGAAAGAGAATATTTGTAGGATGTGATACCTAGATAATAATCTATAATGACAGCGATTAAAAGATAACAACTTTTACTTCATTTTAGTCTAAGGTTATTCTTTTTGTAGTCACTAACTAAGATATTTTGATAGTAGCTTATTCAACTATGGAAGTTAATGTGTTCGATTTACGACCTTTAGATGGATCAATAATCTCAGTTTTTTAATATTTTAACTCTTAAGATTGCTGTGTAATTAATTCTATTGAAATTAATCCAAACTCTAAAAAATTGATTTGGGCAGCTAATATACAAATCAATTATATAGATCTCTCTAAATGCTTTGAAAATCCTTAAAACTGTTTGACTTGTGAAATAAACTCCTATTTTAAGTTTGATCCTAACTTTTCTTTTCTTAATTAAAAGTATGAAAGAGCAAAATGGCCAATAGTATAACCACAGCTATATGTTAATCCTAAATTTTTAGATAGTGGGTAGGGAACTATTCAAAATCCTTATTTAACAGACATGAATATTATATAACTATATCTGAAAACATAGCTATACAAATAAGGTATAATAAATTTTAAAAGCATCACTCTGAACATTTATATAGATACAAGTAAAGAATTTGAGATGAGTCATTACATTTTTGATTGGGTTCATGATTAAACACACATCAACTTCTTACCATGGGATGGAACATCTTCAACTGGTTTATCAAAACAGAAAATAAATATCAAAGTTAATAGCCCTTAATAATTTAATTTCACTATTAATAGTTGGGAATATGCTGACTTGACTGATATTTAAGTAATGTGTCCATAGTGTTCTTCAAATACTTTAACTATATAAAATAGTGGATCAATATACTTAAAAAACTTTGTTTTGATAATAAATCTAATTGATTTAAGTCAACAATAATTAGAGAGTATTAATTAAATGAATACTATTATAAAAATAAAAGTCAATAATGTAAATATTTTTAGCTTAGAGAATTAATAAATATCAAATATAAATAATGTTGATCTAAACACTGGACCTTTTTTCAGTTTTTACTCCTGTAATCAAGTTATTTTAAAAAATTTGATATTTTCTAATATTATTAATCAAGAAAGTCTCTTTGAGTCTGTTAATAGCTATTTTATTTTAGATTAAATATTATTCACTAAAATAAACACTTGTTAAAAAACAGAGACTCAAAGAACTAAGTTTAGTTTGATTCCTTTTCAAAATTTATTAGCTTCAAATATTCAATTTATAGATAATCAATTTTGCGACATCTGCCTATTTTAGAACATTCCATCAACTAACGATTAAAATAAAATTCAGATAAGCGTATCAAATATTGAGGTAAGTGGAAATAAATTTGAGAAGTATGTCAATTCTAATGTTATATTCTTTAAAATGTCTCTTGTTTAATTAATTTCAACATCTTAGTATTCAGTTTAAATGAATAAAATTAATTTTTACAACAACTAAGGAAACTTAATACCTTATGGTACTGGTAATAACTACTACTTTGAATTCACAAAACTCAGCTCTGTGATAATGAATTATATAAATATTACTGATGAAAGTTTTGTAGGAATAGGAAATTTCAATAAAATATAATATTTAACCATCAAAGGCATTTATTTTATTAATAGTAATTATTTAAATACTTAAAACTCTGATCTAACCTACTCTTAAAATGTGATGCTTTTGTAAGAGATTGATAGTATACAATTATTTGACTCATTAATCCTAGGAATGAATACAAATGGAATTATTGTTGTACAGATAGAGGAGAGTGGAGCAGCTTTGTTTTAAAATTTAACAGTGAAACATTGCTCTTTTCATGACTCATTATTTACTTCAATCTAAAATCAAAATAATTAAATCTCAAGTATTTCTATCATAGATAGTATTTTTAATAACAACATATTAGACACTGAGTAATCCTACATTCAAATAGGCTTATTTTAAATTAAAGCTGAAAAATCACCAACTATTATCACTCTACAGAATACCACATTTACAAAAAATAGTTTAGCAGTCAACTAAAACACATAAAAGAAATCTTCTCTCACTATCTCAATAGAAAACTCAATCAGTAATATTACAATTACTAACTGCACCTTTCACAACTATTTGGCTAATGGTGTAATTGGAGATCTCTTTTTAAATGTCTAATCTTTCATTTCTGAAAACACAACTTTTCAGCAGTATATTGGTGACATAGTTGATTCTTCTTTAAGTTAAACATAAATATTGGCCTAGTTTGATAAAAGTAGCTTGAGAGGAGCATTTATGTAGCTTTAAGTTCAATAAGTAAGAATTGTTAATAACTCCTTTTCAAATGCAATTTCATATTAAGGTGCTATTTCTATCTAACCTAATAACAATTTCCTTTTAATAAGTGTTGAAAAAAGCTAGTTTACCAATCTTTACGCCAGCTAAACTGGAACGTCTTTATTCGTTTCTTCTATAAGTTCTCCCACAAACATTAGCATTTCTGACAGTCTTTTCTAAAACTAATGGCTTGGAAATCAGCAAAAATTAACTAAAGCTCACTTGTACTTTGAATCTAGCTCTAAAAACGAGAACTCAATAAAAATAACAAAAATTGAATTTTATTCTATTGGAAATGTGAAAATGCGTAACGAAATACCATAGCCTTCTTATTTTTTATACTCTGACTCTTTTAACTTGATAGTAAGCACCATTAAATTAATCAATGATAAAAAGACATTTTTAATGAGAAATCTCTTTAATTGTTTCTCCATAAATTCAAGGATAACCCAATAAAATACTGAAATTTCTTTAGCCTCTTTATTTGATCGATTCACATTTTATGGATCATCTATAATTTATTCATCTTAAGGAGTCACGAATCTCATAGATATTGAGCTGTAAGGATCTATAATAATAAATAACAAATATTTAAATATTCCTAATGAAGTCCAATCAGCAAATCTTTTAACCACACTATCAAGTACTGTCAATATAAATGGCCTAAAAGTATATAACTTAAATACAAATGTGAATGGAGGTTTACTATTAATTTAAAATTCTTAATTAGCCTAATTAAATAATATAGCCTTAACTAATTTGAATTCAGATGAAGTTTAAAATAATTAAATGTAAATCTACTAAGAAACTGACTCATCATTTGCATTTGTTAATTGCCTTAATTCAGATTGCTTAATCGATACCCTAATAGCTACTTGTAGTATCTAGCCATCAGCTTCGAAATGTTAAGGGAGAGTAATTAATTCGTAGAAGGGATCTTTATCATTAAAGAATTCTAACTTTTCCAATTTTATTTTAACAAATTAAAATGGTACAGCCCTCTTTGTATAAAATCCTAAGGAGAATTTAATAATATAAGACTGCTCCTTTAACAATTTATTAACTTCTGGCTATGGTGCAGCTATTTACTTATATTATAGCGATATTCTGTAACAAGTAAATATTAATATAAGAAAAAATCATTTTTAAAAGAACGTAGTTCAAAAATACGGAGGTGCAATGAGTCTTGAAGGTTCTATTAATGAAATCAAATCAGTGATTAACATAGAATAAAATAAATTTGTGTAAAATGAAGCATACATTAGTGGAGCAATTTATTTTACTTCTTATTATCTCAATCCTATTAAGTTTAAGGATAACATATTCGAGAATAACAAAGCTAACATGGGTAATGAAATATTTTCAATGCCTTCTCGCTTAAGTGTCAAGTTAACTACAGAAACTGGAGAAGAAATTTTTGTATCTAAAAGCGGAGAGTATACTCTAATTCATGGATCTGGCTTACAATTGCCAAAAGTTGAGGCAATTTTATAATATTAAGACTTTAATGGTGAGTATCAAACTGTTAATAATTCTTTCCTTCCAAAGCAAAAGGAAATTTTAGAGATTTCGATGAGTTAGGATAAAAAAAATTCAGTAAAAGTCTCTGATTCAAATTCATAAGTTAATTATTTTATAAGAGGCAATCTATTTTCTTCATACAACGAAGAATCAAACTCAATTTATTTCTCTAATATAGAATTATACGGATAAGAAAATACAGAAGTTTACTTGATGATAACTTCTCCTATAATAAAAAAGAAATAAATAGTAGAATAAAGTGGAAACATTCAATTTGAAGATTACAAATTCATTATTAACATTCGCTTTCGTGGATGCACAAAATATGAGATAATAACAAACAATCAAATTTCACAGTTAAACCCAAATATCAGTAAATGCTAAGTATGTCCTGATTTATCTTATTCTAGGAATAAAGAAGTATGTGATCAATGTCAAATAGGAGCAAACTGTAAGGCAAATTAAGAATTAATTATCAAGTAAGGTTACTGGAGAGAATCCAATTAAACCTACACAATATTACAATGTTCCTCAGGTTTCGAAGGTTGCAAAGGTGGATAAACAGTCGGTAACGAATTATGTGAAATAGGCTATATTGGTCCATTATGTTAAGAGTGTGATTTGTTCAATTCCAGAGGTTTTGGAAGCTATTCTCGTTTAGGAAAAACTTTATGCAAAATTTGTAAATTTGATTTTATAAGCCTAATTATGGTTTTAGGAGTACTTTTTATATCAGTATACTTCACAGTAAGAGCAATTTATTCAATTTCCAATTATCTTAAAGCACAAGTAATTATAAACTTTTAAATTTTATCATTATAAATTTTCATTTACTTTAGAATTTTTTCATTTTTATTGTTTAATTATTCTAAAATTGTTGCACTAATGTGCTTTAACTGAGAAAAATGAAAAATGCTCATAATTGAATAAATGCATTTTAAAATGTTAGGAAAATAAGCAAATCAAGTTTATTTAAAAATTATAAATATTTTTTTTAATTACCTTTAGTCCTTATTAATTAACTACTACTACTACCCTATAATCAGAAAATATAAATTTAATTAAAAAAAAAAAATATTTTTAAAGTTAATTAAATCCAGTTTAATTTTATGAGAAGCAGCAGTATATTTTTACTTAAAAATTAAATAAAATCTATGCTTTTGCAAACTAAACGCAGACAACAATATCATTAAATTATAAGTTAAATACTTTATAAACTAACTATTCAAAAAAAATTTAATTAAATGAACACAAAAATAAATTAATATATAAACATTTTTGTATCTAAAAAATTATATAGATCCTTGTAAAATTCATGAAAATTTTGAAGTTTAAGAGAATAAGAGAAGTAGATTAACTTTAAAGCTAGAATATTCTTATTAAAATTTTAATGACATACTTTTAGCTTATAAGCATCATTCGTACTATTGAAATTAAAATTCCAAACTTTTTACCTGAAATATCATTTTATTTTGGAAATCCTGCTACCAATTCAACTATGAACATAAACTGTCTGCTCCCTGAATACTTTTTCCAGATACATTATATTTACTATAATTATTTCATATCCTTATTTGTTCCAGTTTTACACTTTTTCTTCCTTGCCTTGTCATTAAAGGTACTGAGCTTATATAAGAGAGAGAAATTTAATATCAGTGATCTTAAGGCTGGAGTAATTTTCTTTTTTACTTATTTTTAACCTGAGTTTGTTTTTCAAGCAATCCAATTAATTACTTGCAAAACTTATGATAATAAGAAATATAATTAAGCTAATACCAGTTTAGAGTGTAGGAGTAATCCGGAATATATAACTGTTTTATCTGCTATAATAATTTTCTTAGGATTCTTGATTCCTTTGATGCTTTTTGCTAAATTAACACGTTTCATGAAAGACAAAAGATTTAATGATTACTCATTTTAATTAGAAAGTTGTTAATATGCATTCTTATCTATCAACTATAAAACAAGAAGCTACTACTGGGAATTTGTTAGGATGTCTGAAAGGTTATTATTTATACTCATAGCTAGTATTTTCAACTCTAATTAAACTCTTAAAATTCTTCTACTCATTTTAATTTCTGAGGGCTATAGCTATTTACTGAGAATCTAATAACCTTTCAAGAATTCATAATTTAACAACTTAGAAATATATTCTAACCATATAATTTGTATAAGCTTTTTGCTAGCAATAGGTATATACTCTGAAGAAGAAACAAATGGCTTGAGTATATTTTATTATGTTTTATTTTTATTCATAAATTGGTTAATAATTACTTATATCTTGCTACTTGTTATGCAAGAGCAAGTGAACAAAATAACAGACAAAATGATTACAGTAATAGAAAAAAACAAATGCGTCAGATGTATCTTTGAGTCATTTTTGCATTGTTTGAATATAATACCATTCTTTAGATTAAACTTTGATTTAAAGTTGTATCTTAACAAAAAGAAGAAACCACTCCTTTATGAAAAAGTAAGATTAGCATTACTTCAGCTGCTAAAACTCCCTCCAGAAGACAGAAATATTTTCCTTTTGAGTATTAAGGAATAGAAAAATAAAAGTAAGTTCATTTCAAATATGATGAATCAATTTAAAAGCCAATACTAGCAAACTAGTCCATCTAAAAATAATAATCTAAGTCCAAAGCAATCCCTTTAGTTTAAGTTAGATAGAATTGTAGTTACTTAGTCTGACTAAGAAAACGAAGCCTCTTTTGCCACTAAAAATAAAAATTAAATTGAATCTAAAACAATAACACAAATAAATCTATTCTCAAGTTTTAGAAATTATAATAATTAGTAAAGTTTTGCCAACAACTTAAGCCAAAATAGAGAAAAATCAAATGGCTAATCTTAAATATAAAATCCTCTTAATAAAAAGTTTATTACTAACTCTTTCGATTTAGAGCTATCTAATATACCAAAAGATCATTTTAGTAATAACTAATTATCACCAAACAGTAAAACTGATGTTTAATCCTCATTAAGTGAATTAAGATAAAACGAATAACAATTATATAAATTCCCTATCTAAAAAGTATAAACAATCACAGAATCTAAATAAAATTAAAAACATAAAAATGAAAATGACTCTTTCAATGGCGAAAACTATGTAGCATGCTAAGATTCTTCAATGAAAGATTCACAGATTAAATCAAGCAATATGGGTTCGATGAATATTTTAAACAATCAATAAGAACCAGAATAACCTTATTTGCTGTAATCATATAAAAAATCATTTTCAAATATTTTATTAAGCGAAAGAAAATATAACAATCTCAATCCATAATAAAATCAAAGCAACTAAATTTTTTAAAAAATCAATTACTAAGAAGATTAAACAAACAACAATGAAAACAATTTTAATGAAAATTCAGTTATATCTAATTTCTGAACTCACAAAAATAGTAAACAAATTCTATTTTAAAGCAATTTATAACTGATACATCAATTAAATTCTAAATATTTACAAACTAAACTAGTAGAATAAATATAATATATTATAATCAATAACCAATTATTTGCAATTACTTTTTATTAAAAATAACAACTAAATATATTCAACAAATATAAGAAAATTGTCTTCTAAAAAATTCTTCTATGAAAAGAAATTATTTTTTTTTAAATTAAGAAATATACTAATTTTCAAATTATATTATTTTTTTATTTGAGTCTTTAAATAAAATATTGAAGCTCTTCATAATAGGTAAAATATTATTTACAAAAATACAATTAAAAATAATTCATTTATTTATTTAGGTGAATCAATAAATGAATTAAAAATCTAAAACTCAAAAAAAATAAAAATTTTTAATTGTCTTTTTATATTTTTTTTTATTGTTGAATTTTTAAAAAATACCTTTTCTATTTGTGAGATTTCTTTTGAATTAAAATATTAATTATATTAAATTACTTAAAAACATTTTGATTGTATAAATGTTTTATTTAAAACTTTAGATTAATCAAATTTGAATAAGAAATGACTTTTTATTAGATAAAGAATATTTTAATTAAAAAAATGAATTGATATACCCAAATTTAAAATGTGTTTAATATTTTATAAAATTTAAAATTATAAATATTTAAGTTACTAGTTTTTTTTGATCAATAATGTAATTTTTTCTCATTTGATTTTTAAGATATTCTTTAAGAATTTCAACTTCATTTTATCTGTCAATATAATTATATTTAATTAATTAGTGGTTATTTATAATCATAAAAAACATTGAAAATTTATCTGTTAAAAGTAGCTTTTTTATAGCAAGAAAGGGCTGTTATTATTAAATTTTTTCAGTGCTTATAAACTATTTGGAAAAAGATATTTTAGCACCAAGATAGTTGTAAGCATAAAAAAGAGCATAAGAAATGAAGAAAAGTTAAATCTAAGAGGGATAAAAAGATCCTGAGAATATATATATGAGTGATATTATCCACATTTTAAAAGATCAGAAACAAAAAATTGACCATCTATTAAGATAAACTAGATAAGGGATGTAATAAAGCAATTCTAAAGTAAAAGGGTTTTGGAATAGCAGTAATCATCAAGCAGAGCCTTTTTCTATACCAAGTAAAGTACTGAACGATATCTAAGGATATGAAACAAGCGCTGGTAGAATAAATAGTATCTTGCATAAAAAAGTTAATCATTTAAAACGCATCACAATGAAAAAAAAAACATATGAAGAAATAGAGAAGAGAGAAAGAGAAAAAGAAATATTCGCAAGATTTGCAACTCCAGATGTTAGAATGAATATGAGGAGCTCTGTAGGATCAAATATTTTAGATTAAAAATAAATTTCTAATTCAAAGTATAGTAAAAGATACGAAACAGCAGCAAATACAAGAGCAGGTAGCGTTCAGCTTGATTTCCAATAAGAATGTCTAACCACTGATGCCTGGTCTAAAAGAATATAAGCAGCTAAAGAATAATAAAAAATTGATGAAACACCTTTGCAAAGCAATAATAATAAAACTAAATAAATTGGAATACTGAGAAGGCGAAATAACGAATAATTAAAAAGCAGCTTAGAAGAAATCACTAAAATTTACTCTCCAAGATCTCAGCAATCATAAATCATCAATAAGCAAGGTAAATAGCTTTTATAAATTTAATAGTTAAGCTTAAGATTATTTCATTCATTTAGCAAGAAAAATAAATAAATAAACATACAATAAAATAAATAAATACTTAAAAAATCATTTTATACGAAAAATAAAATAATTAAATATTTTGTGAGTTTTATCTAAAATATAAATAACCTATCACAAAGATTAAGTTTATTAGATTCGATAACTTCTTTGTAAAAAATTTTTTAAAGAATGTTAAATATTATATAAATAATTTGCAGCATTTATTTAATAAAAACACTTTAATATCATAATTTATTTATTTTATTATATTTTTATGATATCTAAGTTAAAACATCAAATAAATTAATTATTAATATGCTAACTTTTAGTTTCTAGAATTTCAAATAAGGTAAAAATAATAAATTCAAAATAATTATTCTTATGATTTGATTGAGGTTATTTAAGTGAGTTACTAATAATTTAAATTGTATCTTTCAAATAATGTTAGATATTACTGATTTTAACCTTTTTTAGCTTACAATTTTAAAAATGAAATAACTTTTTCCATTTAATTATTAAAAATCCAGATAATAAATCAAGTCAAAAATTGAGAGTTAAAGTTAATTAATTAATTAAATTCTTGCGAATTGTCTTTTAATTTTGATTTTGTAAGTTAAATTTTTTTATTTTTAGGTAAGGGATTTGAAAGTAATAATTTGGTTAATTAATTTTCAAACACTGATTTCAGTTACTCTGTCAATAGTTTTTATCATTTATAGGTATTTGAAAAAACTAAATAAAATCCTAAGCAAGCCATACAATTTTATTTTGAGTATTTAAATGATAAAATAGTAAAATAATTGATAATTACTATTTCATTATCCAGTGATTAGTATTTTTAACTTATACATAACTCTAAAAGCTTGTTTTTATCAATCTTATATAATATTTTGATATTTATTATTATAAATTACCTTTTAAAACTAATAGTTTTATCAAAAAGATCAGTCAGTTTCTATTTCATTTTTATTAGTTTTTTTTAATTTACATCCATCTAAAATTTATTTAATTTGACAGTTTTTTATATTAGTAAGTAACTTTATTATTTAGTTTTAAATATTCTTACGCTGAAATTTTATTTATTAAACTAATAATTAAAGTTTATTCAAAATATAACTTTTATAGATCATATACATGGACAAAGCATGATTTTAGATGATTAAAACATTAATCGGAGTAGCATAGATGCTGCAAGATAAACAATGGATTTAGGAGTTCTAAATTTACATTCCACAAGAAATAAAGGAAAAAGCCAGGAACTAGATATGCTGCTTCTGAAAAACTAATTTGTTGATAAAGAAAATAATTAGTAATATTTGCTAAAGTAAGTATAGCAATAAAATAGTATTCTCACACAAAAGTAAAATGAAATACTTTATAGATAGCTTTTAGAAGAGTCAAAGTAAAGCTAGATTAATTAAAACAGTGATGATGAAAAAATGACACATAAAGAGTCTAATAAAGGTTTTAATTAACAATAGAAAGCATAAAACGCTTAAAATGAAGAAAAGTCAGTGATAAGTGGTGATGGATTCTTCTTACCTTCCTTAAATAATAAAAAGCGAAAGTAATTCAAAATTTTAGGATAATTATTCGTCTATTTATTTATATTTTAAGAGTAGGGCAATTAATTATTAACTTACTTACTAACAAGCCACTTCAAATATTTATTGGTTATTACCTAAAATATTTATTATCACTAACTTCTATCAAGGCTGGTTAAGTTTTTATGCATCAAATAAATACAATCAATTATTTTGGTTAAAAATAATTCAGCTAAGAATAATGCAAAGTATAAAATAAATAACAAATTTAATAATTTAAATTAATTTCCAGGAATTAGCTTAATAGTATTATCATCTAACTTAAATTTATTGTTTTAATTAATGCCTATTACTTATTAAATAAACTTACTCTTTAATTATTACAATACCAAATTCTTTTAAAATAAATAAAGCTAATAGCTATAAAAAAGAGAATTTACACAAATCCATCTAAATTTTTTTTTATAATTGCTGTAATAGCCAAACAATTTTTAACCATTAATAAATATAAAAAAAGAGAAGATGATTAAGAATCTAACCATAGTAATTATTTAAAGGGTGAATCGAGCCAAGATATTATTCACTCTACCTAAAAGAAAAATGCAACCTATGCTTATGGTAATATAGCGACTCCAAATAATAGATATAATTAAGATTAAGTATTAGGCAGTAAGGATGCAAATTAATAAAATTATTCAAGATTTGAAAATGACGTAGAGGATCTTTCTGCCTAGATCAGAAATTTCAAGAAGAGTCAAAGAAATTAATTTTTGTAAGGAGGTTAGACAAGCAAGAGTAAAAGGTCATTATCAGTGCAGTAACAAGCAAACATTCAAAATTCACAATAACAACTAATTGATACTGAAGATAGATTTAACTTATACAACAAATATAAATAAGCTAATTTAGCTGAAAACAGTTCGTTAAGATTACCAAGTGAAAATGAGATTTACCCATTAAATATCATCAACAATAATAAGAAAGCAGATGGTCAAAGCTTTTTTAAGAGGGAGTAAATGTAATAAAAGCTTTTTAAAGAGTCTCTCAATAATTAAGAAAATGAGAGAAGGATACCAGCTGCAAAGAGCAGTATGAACTCTGTAGAGAGAAGCAAGCGGTACAGCTATGATTTGAATTGTAATTCAGTACCGCTGAATACAAATCAACCTTTTGAAAATGAGAAAGTTTTAAATGTAAACAATAATATTATTAACGAATCGAATACAAAAAATATTTAAAAGAACTAGGACCATGTAAATTGATCTTTTATTTTGCATGTAAGTAATTTTTTACATTAAAAATAGTTTAGTACAGTTAATGGTAATGGAAGCTCTTTGAATAATAATCATATCAATCTAAACTAAAAGCAGTAAAGGGAGTACACATACTAAGACACTAATTAGGCCATTTACAAGATTAATAGCACTGAGCTTAGTGGTAAAAAGTAAACCTTAGATGAAATCGTTTAGGAAAGATAAAAAAGGAATTCTTAATATAATTTAAATCAGGATTAATCAGAAAACCTGATTCTTACATAGGACCCTCACAATAATTATATTGATGAAGGACAGAAATAAGGGTATCCTAAGTAAAGTTCTTAATAAATGTAGCATAAAGCTGAAGATTAGTATTAGATTTGGAATGAAAATGAGTAATAGTAGAAGTAGATATAGGACAATAATAAAGATTTAAGTGATAAAAAAAACTTAGGATAGAAAGCAAGAGAATAAGAGCAAGAAAACCTTGATTATGAATTTCTTCCAAACTAAATTAATTTTACAGTCAAGAAAGAAGACTTAAAATTAGATTTAAGCAAATTGGCGCAAAAAAGACTAAACCAATAAGATGTTGCAACATAAAAGTCACAAATTTAAGCAGAATAATTTGACAGTTAAAAATAATAACCGATTGAAGCCATTTCTAACGAATAAATAAATCAAGATCTAAAAGAAAAACTATAATAAAATTTCCTACAAAGATTAGGAATACCAGGAGGTTTCTTACAAATATAGCAGTCATAAAGTAAAAATAACAAACCTAAAAATAGAAAGAATATAAATAGTAATATTTAGAATAGAGATGGTTTCTCACCCTCAAAATAAAGTTCTGATGGTGATAATCGAAAAGATTAGGAATCAACATATAGGCAAAGTATTAAATTTAATGATCCAAATCTATTCAACTATCATAAATTGATTGGATGTGCAATTCTAGATGATAAAAGTAAGAAAATAAAGCCCTATTAGCATTATCATAGCAATGAGAGGGAGAAGTTAGAGAAAAGGTATTACGAAATACTAAATGAAAAACTAAATTACTAAATTGAAATAAACCTTTTATTTCTAGAGTAATCTTTATTAAAATCAAAAAGTCAAACAAAAAAGCAACTTCTAGAGAAACTAAAGGCTTTCAGGCAAGAAATTGTTGAAGCCTCCCAATCGTAGGAAAAGAGTATTCAAAATCTCAAGAAACAATACAAGCATTTGAACAGTTTTAATCTTCCTGATAGTCTATTTACAATCTGAAAAAAAATGTGTTATTGGAAGGACAGAGAGACATTTATTTACTTATTTATTTTGTCATTTAATGATTGATTGATTGATTAGTTGGTTGAAATAATCAAAATCAAAAAAATTAATGTTTCTCCCAATAAATATCATAAAAAAATTTAAAATAAATTATGATCAGGAGAAGTTTTAAATATAATAAAAACAAATTTCTTTTTAAGTATTCAATAAATAAATATCAATCAATTTATCAGAAAACTAATGTCCTACAAAAAAAAAATAATCTTTTTAATATTTCCTTAAAAAAATGAATATTAGTAAAATGAGCTTTTATAAAAACAGCTAACAAATAAAAAAATTAGTAACCCTTACTAGTTTTTAATGCAAATTTGAAAACTCCTGAATTAAAAATAGTGGAAAAGGCAATAAGGAAAAAAGGAATGATAAATACATTGATATATTTTTTGTAAATATAAAAAGCTTTGCTTAAAAGCAAAATACTTTAATTAATATTGTAAAAAAATTAAATAAAATCAATCTGCAAGATAACCAATGGATAATTCTTTTATTTGTTAATTCTTATATATATAATCCCTTTGTTTTGTCGATTTCATTAATATTGCAAAAAGTAAAGAAAATTTAATTGAAATTATTTGAAAAATTAATAAAATAGTAAATCAATCTTTTATATCAAAACAAAATTCATTTATTTTTTCAACTTTAAATGTTAATTTCAAGAAATAATAATTTATATTATTCTTAAAAACCATTTTCCAAACAAGAGCGCGGTATTAATGAATGCTATTTCTTTGTTTTTAATTCAATTAATGTATATTTTGATTATTTATTCCCTCCTTTGGGCTGCAAGTTCGAAATTGCTTCTATTTTTTTCCTTATATGTTCTCTTGAATAGATGAAATAGAAAAAGTTGATAACATCTACAAGATTAAAAAAATTGTTGTCTATGAAATAGAAAGCATGTGTGTTCTGGGTTATTCTATAGTTTGATTTATAATTAAGAAATTCTAATCTTTTTTAGTTTTAAAATACAAAAAATGTTCTACTTTATCAAATCTGATTATATTAGATTTGTTTATTAATTTATAATAAATAGAATAGAGAATATAAACTTAATTCTATCAGACAATTTCTAACGCATTCACCAATTTAGTTAGTTAGCTATTATATTAATTTTTCTATTAAAGCTATTTAAAGTTTCATAATTTGCATCCAAGTAAAAAGGTTGGCCCCCTCATTAAATAAATATTGACCTACAATAAAATCACCAACTTAATAATAAATAAATGTAATTCTTTTAACAAAGTATTTTTTTATACTTTATAAAGGTGAGGGGTCCTTGCTTATCAAATTACAAAATTTGTTAAATCATTGGTTAATATAGTGCGATTTTTATTATCAATTAAATGTTAAAATAGATGTTTTTAAATACTAAATATGAATAATCTCATTTTATTGTTATTTATTTATGTATTTAATGTAATAACTACTCACTTTCTGCAAAATACATTATTATTTATTTTATTTCAATCAACTTAGTTTCAAAGTAATTTAATATTTTTTTGCTTCCAACAATAGAATGTTATTGATTAATGAACAGTTCTCACCATCAGGTTATCACTTTATTCAATTATTATTGTAACTAAAAAGCAAATTTTTTTGGTAGGAACTTACTTATATAAATAATCTAATTTACTTTAGCAAACTAAATGGATGCATTCTTTTTATTTTTTGGAAATAAAGAACTTCATAAAAATTGAATTGGGACTACCAGGTGTATGTTAAAAATAAAATAATTAATCAGAAACATCAAAAGTCTTTTATAAATAAGTGGTTTATAAAGTTTCAAAGCAAAACCTTCATATAAACAAAAGATTTTAAGGAAAGACTTGATTTCTAAATTAATTATTGTTCTTACTAAATATTTGAATTTATTTCCATACAAAGTGGTATATCAGTAAGAAAGATATTCAGTTTTATTAAACAAATTTATATTTTTCTTATTTAGAAAATAATTTAGATAGAAGCACATAATTTATTCCTAAAAAGAGCTAACTAGTTAATTTTTAAGCTTTTATTATTCTTATTTGTGATGCTTTAATCAATAAAAGGGGGGTGAGTTTTTAAATAGAAAAGTTGAGCAGCCTTTCTATTTTACAAGGAAATTAAGCTAAGGGGTAAAGCTGATTTATTCCTTGATTTTTTTAATTAACTATAACTTTCGAAGGTAAGGCTGTGTGCGAAAAAAGTGTAAGATTTTTAATAAAAATTTAGATAATTATCTGAAATAAAATTCATCAGAAAAAGAGAGGATGAGATTGATTAATAATGAATTTGCATTGAAATACCATGGGGCTTGCAAATCTAATAATTTAAAAAGAAAATCAACTAAATTATTAATTAATATTTAATTATTAAAAAATTTAAAAGCAAAAAAAAAAGGTAAAATCCTCATAATTACCTATCCAATTAAACTATTAAACAAATAAATACAAGCAAATTTCATTTCTACTTGGCTCTCGCCACTAACAAACAGACAAAGATAAAAACATTCACTAATACTAAGATCAATTATTCTTATTTAACTTACACAAGAATCCTCATTTAAGATAAAATGATTTGCATTAAGGACTTTGTTCAACCCACTTAACAATAACGTTTCAAGTATACAGTAGTTACTGTCACAGAGAAGTTCGAAAAAATACTGGATGATGTTACTAAAATACGCCAAATCATCTACGAAAAGTATCTCAACGAAAAGGCTGACAGCAAGTCATGGTGCCTTGACTCCGATCTTTGCTCCATTAAGATGGCTTTAATGAATTTCTCTTCCTAACAACAATAAGAAATAATTCAATTCTCTTACTTCCTCAAAGACCTCTTAGAGGAATTCGAATAGCTTGAATAATAACAAACTCTTATTAAGCAAAGCGTTCCATTCTAACAAAGAAAATTTGGTATGAACCTTCACCTCTATAATTAAATGCTTAAGAAGAGAGAAAGACTTGTTAAATACTTCAAGTAAGACGAATATGTTGAAGAAATCTACTGAAGAAGAGTCGATTGAATACTTTACTAAACATTTTAATATACCTTACCTAATCTATCTATGAAATCTTCTAAAAACAAACCTTTTATTTCATAAAGCAATCAACAAACATATCTCACATTCCCTAACTCATTCATAATTATCAAAAAACTTTTATACTATACCATTCTAATAACAAATCTTATATAAACCAATTTATTATTAACAAAATACCATTATCACAAACTAATTAAAGATAAATCAACATAAATAAATAAAATTGATCAACAAATAAACGCTACTAAACTTCAAAGATCAATAAGAGACTTTTATTTGCAAAAGTCTAATTGAATAAATAAATAACAAGTTAGAAGCACATGAGTTAGTTACTACTAATAAAGAACTCATTCCTTCTTACTTAATTGTTTATTTATTTAGTAACCTATCAGCAAATATTAGATAATAATTGCATACAAACTAACTATCTTTTCAAAATTCTAACTAAAACATTAATATAAATAGTCAAATCTTTCTACTATCAAATCAATTTATTTGTAATCTTAAAATATATTTGTCAATCTTCTCATTTATCCTCATGTATTATACATATAATTAAATTAACTTCTTCTAATTCCAAAAGAAATTCTACTTATTTTATTGCTTATTTTTTATATATCACTATATGCTTAGATATGCAATTAGCAAGCACGAATTAAATTTTTATTTTAGTTAAGTTTACTATTTTGATTCTTATTTAAGCATATTACCTTTTTAAATAAAAGTTACTTCTTTAAGCAATTCAAACACATTTTTTTCATCATAAATTATATTTAATAAAATAAATTCATTTTGCATTCCTTAAAATGTAAAAGAGAACCATATTTGTACTATTGATTATAAAATTTGAATATTTTTATTCTTAAAAAAATTAGGAATGAGTATGATTTTTAAAGTATCTGATTTGGCCTTTTAATATTCAAACATTGAAATAGAATGAAAGAAATAAAGTAACAAAATGAATATAAGGATTCTATTTATTACCTCAATTTAACTTCTAGAGGAATAAATAAATGGTTAGTTAGTTAGTTACTAATTATGTTAGATAATTTATAATTTTTAAAAATAAATTAACAGATTAAAATTTGTTAATAGTAAAACTGCTCTGAAGTTGAGATTCTAAATCATCATATAAATTATTGATCTTACTGTCGTATAGATAAACTCTAATAAATTAATGTTTGTATAAGGTAATTTACTTTTAATATCAGTAAATTAGAGTAACATGCTTTAATTTTAAAGAGAGAACTTTTGCTAAAAGGAGAAACAAAGTTTTGATAGAAAAAAAGTAAAAAATATATAGCTAAATTAACAATTTATTCCATAATTATCTAGTTATTAATATTAAAATTAGTATTACTAAAAATTAAATCCTCTTGTAAAAAAGCATAATTCAAGAATGTATTCATAAATAAGTATTTGAGTTACACTTGGTACCTTGCTAATTTGCTAAATTATTTATTTGCTCAAAGCTATAGCAATAAAATACTTTTCAATTTGATGTAACTTAGCATAATAAGTGAAAAAATGTTAGTTAAACCAGACAAAAAGTCCATCTATTTTTATTTTATTATGTATCGCAAGAATCTTAGCTTTTTTAATGTTTTTTATGTATATTTGAGTCTCCTAATTGAATAAGTTTTAGGGCGCCTTAAGTTTTTAAATTTCTTAATGAAAAGATAAAATTGAAAAATATAGCTAAAAATATTTCGAAATTAGGAAAAGATAAATTATTAATCAGTTTATTGATTGATTCTACTCTAAATTTAAAAATTAAGGATCGAAGCAAACAGATACTTCCTTAAATATATTAATAAATAAATAGATTAGATAAAACTAGCTCAAAAAATATAAATTCAAAGAAAATCTTAATTTAGATTAATTTGTAAATCTGTCAGAATTGATTCATAAAAAATCAATTAATCTATAAATTAAAGTAGAGGCCTTTCATAATTGAGATTTTGAGTGACTATGAGTATTAACAAGTGATTATAATAAAATAAAGAAAGATTATTGGCATTTAAAACTGAGATTCCTCCTCTATTATAATTAAGTAAAGGAGCTACATAATATTAATTAATGAAACTTATTAGTATTTTAACTTATTCAATTTAACCATTAGATTCATAAACCTTACACTATGCTTAATTTATTTATTAGTGATTAAAAAACATTCTTTAAATATAATTTGTTGCATTTTATGGTATAATTAAACTCATTTCTAATTACTTTGTTAATTTTCCTATCCAATTACTATATAATATACATTTAATGCTTTAGATTTTTGGTTAAATATGCTTCATTAAAATTATTGCAGTTGTGATAATATATTTTAAGGGCACATTGAAAAGGTTAAAAATATGTTAAATATACTCTTATCAAAAGATAAAAATACATAGCTTAAAAAATATTATATATTCATTAGTAATTTTAACGCATTTTACATATTTTGAATACAAAATTCACGCTATAATTTAATTGCTAAATATCATATAAAGATGACAAAACCAAAGAAGTATTTAAGTAAATACTTACCCAACTAATTTAGTAAAGCTAAGGATAAAATTAATGTTAAATTTATATCAATTATTTTAAATGAAACTGCATAAAAATGATATATAAACATAAAATAAAAAAACTATTCTACGAAAAAATTGTAAGTACTTCTTTAAAACCTAAAAAAATACTGAACAGCAGGGAAAAAGATTTATTTATTTTTGATTGAGTTACTAAAACTCAGTGTAAATTAAATATAATCATTTGAATACCATAAAATCAATCAAAAACTAAAAAATAAACTGTGATGAAAGTTAATTAAAATTAGAAAAAGTGGATTTTTTAATAATTCGATATCATTATTCAAATAACAAAGAAAATTTGAGAAGTTTTCTAAATTATATTTTCTGATATTTATCAATAAAAATTTTAATAACAAATATTTGATTTGTCTATTCAATTTATTAGTCAGTTAAGACGAAAATAGAAGTTTATTTAAAAAAAGAATTTTATTATTTACACAGTTAATTAAAAAATGAATGAAAGAATGAATAAATGAATGAATGAGTATATAAAAAAACTGTAGTAATTAATTCAATGAAAATTTAATTTAATTTGGATATTACTAAATCAGAAAGAAATTATTAAGTAAGAAATTAATTTTTTTATTTTTTATTTGTTTTTTAATGATGATAAAATATATATTATTGGTTAGATTAGCATATACTTCTATATTTACTTATTTTTAAATTTTAGAATTAAAATAAAGATAGAATTTAATTATAAATTCAAATGATGGGCTAGCTGTATTTTTAAAATATAATTTATATTTAATCAATAATGAGTAACTTTAAAGCTATTAAGAAATGATGAAATAACTTTATATTTATTCATCTCGTTCTTTTGTATATTTTTTATTATAACTTATTAATTATTCCTTATTTGGAACCTTAAAACTTTTCGTTTTTTTATATAATAATTTGTTTTGCAAATTTTACTTATAAACATATTTTAGCCACATTCTTTGGTCATTGTAAATATATAAATACGTCAGAAATAATCAAATTATTTATTTATAGGAAGCATGGCCAAAGTGTTTGAATCCCACTTTCGAAATTTGGGCTAGCCTTCATAATTCTTAATTTCTTAAGAATATTTAAATTCTTCTATTGTTCATATAGATTACAACGAATTTTCAATAAATTACAAATAAATTTCTCGTTGTTGCCTCTTATATGTAAATGAGGTGAGAATCTAACATTATAATACTTTATAGAAATTAAAAATATTAGCTCTATTATTAATCTTATTTTTCATTTTCAAATGGATTAAAATCATAATCAATTAGTTTTTATTATCTAAAATGAATGTATTATTGAAAAAAATATGAAAAGAATATAGTTTATAAATAATTCGTTCGTTGAATGTAAAAATGATATAAGATAAATTACAGAAAAATTAGCAATTTCAGGTTTTGAGTATTATTAAATAACTATGCAAAGTATAATTATAATAAGGATAACCACAAATAATTTGCAATTAAGAAAGTATTTAATTGAATTAATAATAAATAAATAAAGTTTTCCTCTTAAAATCACCAAAGCATTTGCAAATTGATATATTCAGAACAAAATTATACAAATTTCTTTCATAAACTATAATAAAACTAACCAAGATAGAAAATTCATTCACACAATTATGATTTAACTTGTATAATTTCATTCATTCAATTAATATTTTTCATAATTAGCTTTGATTTGGTTGTATTTTTATAGGTGAAGATTCATTTGTGCCATTTATTATGAAATAAGAATAAAAGGCTAATGGTTGTAAATATGTTTATTATTTTACCATAAGTAAAATTATTAAATATTTATAGATTTTGCAAGAATTTGCAAATTTCTTTAAAGAGGTAGTACTATTTATCTATTAATTTACTAATATTAATTATTAATTTGCCTTTTTGTTTGTTTGCTTGTAAAATTGTTGCTTTTATTATTTTTAAGCGTCTTTCTTTTTCTTTTAATTTAATTTATGAGAATGAATGAACATATAAAGTCTGTTTGTTCGTTCTGTTGTTAGATTTATTTTTTACTGATTGTTTAATAGCCATAAAATAGTATTTCAGCTTATAAAACAATAATTACTGATTAGCAAACAATTAATTTAAATGTAAAAGTAGGAAACAACCACTCATCAGTTGGCTAACCCATCTTAATCGAAATAAAAATATTAAAAATTTTAAATTTACATTTCTTTATAATTGATTACTTACATAAAATTTTATTATATATAAATTAATATTTCTTTTTTCATATTAATTGATTTAGATAATTCTAATCCTTTTACCTGTTTTTGCTCTCTCACAAGCTAAATTTAATAGAAATAAATAAATGACTTTTATGTTTTCAAAAATGTAAAAAGTTGTTATTAAAAAATGATGTTAAGCCTGATAGCTATTAAATTTCTTACATAAATTAATTAATCTGCTAAATTTCCATATTTCGCAATAAAATTGCGTAACATATCATAATTTATTTAGTTAAATTCAACATTATTCATTCTATTTCTAAATACTTAATTAAAGTTGCTTAAGGTAAGTTTAGAATACTTAAAAGTTAGTGAGTGATTTCATCAAATCTAAAATCATAATTACTTATTTATTAACTTTCTATCTCTAATTTTTCAAACCATTTTTTATGTTATTAAGGTTTACTATATTTATTGAGGGGTATTATTTTGTATTTAAAGTGAAATACTCTAATTTTTTCTCATAAAATTCTTTGATCCTTTCTAGAATGTTTTGTTACTTCAATAATTTTTCTAACAAAGGTATTTATGTGGATTAAAATGAAGTGTTCATCTAAATTTTGAATCACTTGTGTAAAATAGATACTTTTGTTGCTAGAACAGTTAGGTGTAACAAATTTAAAATGTTCTGTGGCTTTTTATTATTCAAGATTAATTCAAATTAATTTCAAAAATTCATCATAATTTTTTTCAACTTTTTGATCTTAACCATTTCATCTAAAATTAGCTTATCTCTTAAAAAGATCAGAGCCATAAGTAAGTAAAGTCAAACTAATTGCAATAAATTACTAAGAGCAGTAGGGTTAAAGGATGGATTGAAATCTAAATGCTCACAGTAGATCTAATAAGTTTTAAGGTTCTATCAATCGTGTAATTGTGTGACTATTAAATGATAGCAGAATAGAATGAAAAAATAAAAAAAATATTAAACAGAGACAGATTGGTATATAGATTACTATTTTATATTTGAATTTTTCAAAAAAAATTTATTCCAGAATTTTATTAAAATTGTATTGATTGAGTAAAGAAAAAGTTAACAAAAAATAAATTAATAATAATTAATTAGATTAAATTTTTTTCAAGTAATAGTAATATCAAATTGGTAGAACATTTTTAAAATGTTCAAGATTGTTTTATGGATATAATTTATTGTTTGAAAAATAAGAAAAAAAATAAAAGTTGACACTATTCAATGGTGTTTAAGTTAATCAAAATATTGGAGGAAAAATATTGATTGAATGAACTATTAATTACTCTTAATTTAGATGCGATTATAGTTTTCAAAAAAATTAATATTCCAACAATAAATAAGTAAACAGAGTCAATTAAAATCAAAATAAATTGAAATAGAAAGTTAGCTATTGAATATGTTAAAAATAAAAATTATTCATTCATTTTTTGATTAATTTATATTGTCTTCATATATTTTTAATTATATTTTTACAAGTAAATAAATTAATATGCATTGATTCATTCATTGAAATGTACACAAGCAAGCAAAATAATATATAAATATGTATCTCCTAAAAAAATCAATTATTCTTTTGTAAAATTACAAGTTTTGCAATAAAAAATAAGTAAATTAATCTAAAAACTTGTAAATTAATTTAGCAATTATCTTAAAAAATTCTTGAATAGATAGATCAATAAATTTCATTTATATTCACACAAGCATATTATTATACTTTTACTTGAAAATTATAAGCTAAATGAATAAAAATCTGTGAGATTATTCAATCATTTCATTTACATAACTTTATTTTATATTAGTGTTTAAAGCAAAATAGATTATCTGATGATACACTATGACTGAATGAAATATAATAGCCTCTAAAATGTCATACTGATATCTTAATTTTATTCTTCATAGAAGAAATTATCTCTATATTTAGATATAAAAAATATTGAATATTTTAATAATATTTTTAGATATCAGAATTAAATTATTAAAAAAATCCTCCTTGTAAAGCAATAATTTAAGTATAAACTTTATATATCTTTTTAATAGAAAAAGACTGGCTCAATTATTTTCAAAAGGCTTGCCTAAAGTTTTTGCTGAAAAATAAAAGCAAAAAATTTACCCATCAAAGATAGTGAATGAGAATTCAGTCAGGTACTCACATTTAAATAAAGGCATAAATATATCACTGATGCAACATTCGTCTAAAATATTTGATCTTTAAATAAAATATAAATATATTAATAAGTATTTATCAATAATCCTTTTAAAATCTTTCAATATTTTTTATATTTGTATATGCATTAATAAAATACCTATGACTATCTAAAACAAAAAATAAAAAAAATCTATTAATAAGTGATAGAATGATTGAATCTATCAATTAATTAATTGTTCGATTACTATATTTGAACTTAGTATGTATTATTTTAGAAAAGAAAATTCAAATTTAATAAATAAATAAACACACTTGAACGATACGTCCAGCTTGATCAGTTATTCATACTTTCGCTTAATCATATAATTCAAATATTCACCAATAGCTGACGTCAACGAATTCTCCCTTTTTATTTTATTTATTTTAGTAAAAAATAAATAAGATATTAAATTTTATAGCTGTGTTTTAAAACTTGTCTCATTTAAAACATATCTTGATTGTTAGTAAGAAAGTAAGTTATTTATTAATTACTCTAATTTTAAAGTTATTGATATCAAATTTTCCATATGAGCCATATTGTAAAATAGCTACTGAGCATCTTAGTTCTACATAGAAAAGCTTTTATGTTATATTAAATGGAATATTATTTATTATATTAATTTACAAGCATTATTAAGTAATTTTATCAAAATTTAAACTGGCAAGCTTGAATTCTGTAAAACATTCTTTCAATTTGAAGTCTTACTTTTAAAAAATAACCAATTACTATTATATAATAAATTTTAGTAGAATATTTATTGAATTATTTAATAGATTTTTGACTTTTATCTCATTCTAATTCCTAATTTTTGATACTCAATTTAAATTAAAAGTCTTCTTTTGAGAGTGTAATTAAACCAAATTAGCTTGAATGATTTTTTTAATTTAAAAAATTAAGTTACTGCAATGGGCCAAACACTAGCTCAAAAATATAGCTATTCTAATTGAAAGATTAGCCCAGCCAATTCAAATTTTATGGATTTCATAAATCTCTAGTAAAATAAACAAAATTTAGAGCTTTATGCTTACTCTTTAACAGCTTTAGCTATCGAAGAATATACATAATATTATAATATTGAATGGATGAATGTTTTGTTATTATTTTAAGGAAAGAGAAAATAATTATTCTTTAAAAGATGAATCAGAGACTTTATTGAAATTTAATATTCCAAAGTATTTATTATTTTTGTATCTAAATTACATTGCTTGAATTTTATGTTTTGATAATTGATTTTATTTGTTCATAAAACATATTGAAGGGTAGGGCTTTTTTATTTTGATATTAATATTCTATTTTAATGCTTGAATTGATTATTTGAATTATTTATTATAGGATATATTCTCTATGGTTAGATAGAGCATTTAATTATTTTCAATTAGCAAATTAATTAAATAAGCATTGAGGGTAATAGATAAAAGGTATTGTAACAAATAAGCGGAGTTATTAAATTAATTATCTATTTGATTTAATACTAGTAAATATACAAATTTTACAGTAGTTCTCAGATTAAATGTACTTGTTTTTATAATATCTCAACCATTCTATTGATTATTGATTATATAAAATATATCTATTTATATCTTTGATTTTTATCAATCTAATTTATTTTCTATCATGGAATAATTTTGTATTTTAAAGTAAAAATACTTTTTAAATTTATTTAAAGTAATAAAAATCTATGTAAATTAATCATAATAAATGTTTGGGTATTTATAATTTTAAGCTGCCATCCTAATCAATTATTCTTATTTTATATAATAAGAGGTATAAATACTTTAAATTTTAAACTCAGTTAATATTTCTTACCCCCGAGTATAAATTCTAACTTCTTTAAGATGAAACAAATAAGGACATATCAATAAATTAAGATAAGGGGACACATATTTTTGGCTTTTTATTATAAAATAATTATAAATAGTTGAAATAGTTAATAACAAACAATTTTTCTCTCTTAAAAAAGCCAAATTTTTTTTAAAAAAACACAAAATAAAATTGGTTTTGGCTGATTTAAGTTTTAATAAGGGGTATTCAATTCACTTAGATGCTTAAAATTTATTTATTAATGAAGAGCTCAAGTTGATTGCATTCTTTTACTTACTTAAAATCTAAAAATTTGTGTATTTTTTATAGGAATATAATCTTTACTTTTGTATGTTTAAAGAAAGGCTAGTTAATTCATTTAATTCTTTCACATATTATTTTAGATCAATTAAATCACTGCTTTTAATCAAACAGTATTAGCTGATTTTCTCTTATTCTATAAACTGACTATGATAGTCAAAACTCTCTTCGAAGGCTTCATCATCAAAAAACAAGTTGTTAGAAGAAGAGGGAATCCTTTTATTATAATTTAAAAAAGTTTTTAAAATAGTTAACTTTAGTTAATTTTATGCATTTTCTGGTAAATTTAGAAATAATAGCTGTTATTTGTTATAGAAAGTGTAGTGCTTGAATTTAAAAAAGTTAAAAATAGAAATTAAAATTCAAGATAATTATTGGTTTAATTTATATCTGAAAATGTATGAAAAAAAATAATTTAATTCAAATTACTGTAACCCCAGATAAAGGCTTTTCAGTTTTTTCATGTTTCTAACTTCAAACATCACATCCTTTAATTCTAAGTTATTACCTCTATTTTTTTTGAATTGATTTCATAAATGTAAAATAAAATTGACTAAAATTTAAGATTTTTTTTAATAATAGCTTCCAAGCTACCTAGTAATTAACATATTAAATTTTACTTATTCCATCAAATATATTACATAATAAAAAGTTATTAATTTACCCATACGTTAGCCCCAGCTCTCTGAGATAATTCATTTGTTTTAGGCTATAAAAGAACTCTCTTACACCAGCTTTAGTTATCTAGTTTTAACTATTATATTAATTTTTCAATTGAGGCTAAAAGTAAGTTAAGGAAATTAAATAATATAGCTAAAATTTTAATCAGTTAATCAAAATTTGTACATGTATTATGAAAAAGTAATCATCGTTTATTTTTTTTGATTCAATTTAAATTAAAAATGCATTCAAGTTATATCGGTATATCAATAATATGTTTAGAGATTTATAAAATAATTATTACTACATAAAATATATTTTTTGAATATTTTATTAAAAAATACCATTTAATGATGCATATACTGTATTTTTCTATAAACCATATATCAGAAATTATTTATAATAATTAAAATATCAGTTTTTATTGATTATAAAATGATAACTTAATATTTAAAATATCAGATGTATTTTTTGATAATTTATGGTAGTAAATATTAAATTATTTGATCTTTTAATACTAAGTTCATAATTAAAAATTGTTAAAATAGTAAATATCAGAAAGATGGAGGATGGATAATGTTGCTTCAATTATGGTTTTAATAGTTAAATTGTTTATACAATGAGTTAGGAATATGTTGAGTTATAAAAAAAAAAGGATAAAAAGTAAATTACGATAAATCTATAAATAGAGATTAAATTTTAGTGAAGCTCTCCATAGTTTTTGAGATGTGTTTCAAACAAATGTCAGTAATGTTTGCACTTCTATGTGGTTATAATATATTAATCCAGTCAATAATTAAAATAATGGATTGTTAATGATTAGTTACTTGAAATTAATTGAGAAGTGAGTTAAGGTCTTCCTGATAGAGGATATTATATTATTAACATCTTTAATGGAGAAATCAGTACAGTAACTTTATTTTATTATAATAAATGTTAAATTTAGCAATTTTAATTGACAGCTAGTATATCTATCTATCTATTTACTTATTACTTAGTTTTGCATTTAAATATGCATACGAAAATGAATAATTTATTCCATTACTCTAATAAAAAATTTAAATTGAGTAGAATAAAATAGTGAAATGTTAAATTTATCTGTAAGGTGTGAGTGATAATTAAAAGTAAATAATGTAACATAAATTTCAGAAATACTATTCACATTAATTGATACATCAAAAATACCTGATGTTAAATGCGTTATGCTAATTAAGTATGTTAAATTCATTATTTCCTTTGTTTACTATATAATTAAAAATTTATTTGTTCAGATGATTGTAATATTTTACTACCTTATATCTAGATCCACTCTTTCCAGAAAGAAATAATAACGCATAAATCTTCCTATGATTTCCGAAACTTCACTTGTGACTTAATTGTGACTTTATATTCAGTAACAAAGATAGATATTATTAATTATTCAAAAAGTGTATTTTTCAAGATTACCAATAGTATAATTGCAAGCATTTACACATTTCTGCTTAAGCTAAAGCATTAAACAGGTTTTGAAGTGTTGTTGTCGAGTACGCTATCATACTATTTATGAATTAATAATTTATTTTATTTTAATTATAGCATATTTATTTTTAATTCTAATATTTTTGATAAACCCATAAAAATTTTACTTTAGTGACAAAGACAATTTTTTAGTGGAAAATCTGTATGTTGACATCTTCTTTCTGATTAACCCTACCAGTTCTTATGATATACATTATTTACTACAATAATTTAAATAAATAAAAGGTATATTAGTGAGTTAATTGGCTTGAACATTTGATAAAAAAATCCTTCCAGTAATTATAAATCAAAGAGTAGGAAGGTATGAATGAATCAAGCAAATAAATAAGTAAATAAATTAATTAATACATAATGGACCATAATTAAGAATATTTTACTCTAAATTTAATGCAAAATCAGAAAGTAAGTAAGACGGTATTTATTCTAATTTCTTAAAACTCCTTAAAACTTGTCGAGTACTAGATTGCTCTTATATTTATTCTTATTTGAAATTTTAAGATAATTCAAATAGGCCATATTTCTTTAAGTTATATTCCAACATTAATAAGTGTTAATTTAATGGAAACAAGCTATCTAAATTTAGTATATTTATAAATTACTTTGCTACTTAGAATATTTTAAATTAGATATTCAATATTATTAATTTATCAATTTTTGTCTTAAATATGACTTAGAGTCTATTTTTTGCTTATTGTAGTGTGAATCGACATTTACATTACCTAAGTAAAATTTAGTAAAAAATAAAAATTAGCTAGCTTAGCTAAAAAATAATAAACATTCTCTAGGAAATTTAGAAAATACTGAATTTATATTATAATTCGTAAAATTAAACAGTAAATAAATGGCATAACTTATTGTGGTTAATGCAGTCTTTTAAAACCTAAAAGTAATTTAATAAAAATTGAGAATGATGCATCCATATATTTACACATTTTTTATTTATGGTTTTATATAAATGACATCTGATGGAATTAAAAATTTAAATTGAAAAATAATAATTGTAATTTACAATTAAAATGTAAATAATATACTCTATTTTTAGATTTATCACATTCAATTTAATTAGTTCAAGTAACTTATTCAAAAGAAATAAAAAAATTAGGCATTTATTTGCTCTCTAATAACTTTATTCATTTACATTAAATTATTAATAATAACTGATAATCTTAAATGTAATTTTTTTATTTATTTTAAAACTTCTGATAATATCTTTCATTTCATGTAATTTTAGATACCTATTTTTTAGTTTCCTATTAAAATAAATTCAAAAATGCTTTTTAAAAGAATTGTATTTGTAGGAGTAATTTAGAGTTAAAATAATTTGTATTTTTATTATAATTTAAGCAATAAGTTAATAAATGACAACTTTGTAAATAAAGAAATCAATACAGTAAAAAATTTTAAGTATATTTATTTATTTATTTTAATATTTTTATTCATTTTAGTTTATTTGAAATGTTTATTTTTGTATTTTTTAATTTAAATAAATGGATTGTTTTTTTGTTAAACATTCTAAATAATTTTGTTTGTTCAAAAGATAGTACAATACCTAACATTTACTAGTACTATTCAAAATTACATTATAAATTCATTTGACATTTTTCATTTCAATTCTAGGAGTTTCTAAAGCTTAAAATAGGTTCTTCATTAAAATTTACACTTAAATTATGCTTTAAATTGGTGTTTTATTGCTATGCATGAATTATACTGTTTAGTTGATTTTAGTTTAATGATTTATTTACATTCGGGATCATATAATGAATACTTTAAGGAACTCTTCGTTAGTTCTATTTGAGTTAGTTATAAGATTATTAACTTGAATTTAAGCTAGTTTTGCTTATAGGTGATTGTGATAAATTTTTTGTTTAAATTATATTACTATTGTTGTTATTGTTGAAATTGTTTTTATATGGCGAAGATCTTAAGTAAATCATATCACCTTATTAAGTATATGATACATTATTTCCATAAAATTGTTTTTATTCACTTAAGAAAAAAGGCTTTTAGTTTTCATCAGATATAATATTTCTCCTATCTGACAACTGATTATTAACGTTTTGTTTATCATGCTGGTATCTATTATTATTACTAATGTTATTTATGCTATTATTATTACTTGTGTTTTTGTAGAAATTACTATAGCTATTCTATAAAAACTGATTATTATTTTATGTTAAGAGATCGTTATTATTTAAAATACTTGAATTCATCATATCCATTTACTTTTTTTGAGAATACGTATTTAAGTTAGGGTTTGTATTGATGTAAATTCCTGAAACTTCCATGGATTTTTACCTTATTTTTTTATTAGACTCCTACCTAGCTTTACGAATATTTTATTAAAGTTACTCTAGCTCTTCTCTAAGTTACCTAGACCTCTATGTGTTAACAAACTCAACCTTTTCAGGACTACTGTAAGTATTTTGATTTAAATTTTATTAATAAAATTGAGATTTATTTTAAAGAGGAGAATATTATGTATTTATTGGAGTATGTTCCTAGTATATTGAGGGTTATACTATTGAGCAGTCAAGTGATTAATTCAATTAATTCATTCTATTGTCAATATTTTACAAAATGTATTCCTTAAGCTTTAATCGCTACTACTCAGATTGTAAATATTTACCTTAAACTTACTAAACTTGAGCATAAAGTTACTGCTCAATATTTGCATGTTCCTCTTCTATTTAAGTTATTTTTCTTTTCAAATTATTTATCCTTTCTTCATATATATTGTTTATTTCTTTCATATTCTTTTCATGAATTTCTTTCAACTAAATTTGATCTTGAATCTTGTTCTGTTGCTCATGTTTTTAATTCTCATTTAAATTTCTTTATGCAATTTTTAGTTATTCGTTTAGCTTAATGTTGCTCTGCTACAAACCAGATATTTTTTTTTCATTTTCTTCTACTTTATTTTAGGAAACTATGTTTATTCTTTAAAGATCAATAATTTCCTACTTCCTGCTTTCTAGCAATAAATCTAATTGCTTTATTTAATGAGTTAGCTCGTCAATGAGCTAATCTTTATCCTACATTTAGGTTAAGATTTTCTTAAATTCAGTTTACTATTCAATCTGTGTCACTCTAATTCTATCATTTACTGCATTTTTTATAAGCAGCAACTCTTATTAGAATGATGTAAACTCACTTTTAGAATTATCTTACATTTCTAGCAAATCATCTCTTATTTTTCTAACTATCTCTACCATACTTTCCCCTATTTTCCTTTTAATTTATTCTAATTCGTGGCGATAAAGCTTAAATTTATACTATAATTCTTCAATTTCTTTCTATTTTTGGGCTATTATTTCTGTATGCTATATATTCTATGTCTAACTCAAATCTAAAAGTTATTATAATTCCTATGTTTTAATATTATAGGCATTTATAATTTATTCCTTCTCTTTTTCTAAAACCTGAAATGCACTCTACTAATTTGTTAACTATTGATCTTACCTTTGAATAATTTTTTCTTATTTTTATAATTACTGTTAATGATTCACAATAGTCTAGTTAAATTTTTACAGTTTTTCATTCATCTATATTTCTAAATCATTCCAAGTATTTTATTTTTCTTCAAAAACTTTCTATAATTTTTAATGATCCCTCTATTCAATAGCAAATTTTTCTGTTATTGAGTTTAAATTTTCAGATATTAACTAATACTTCTAAGCCTAAAGAGTCATTTCTGATACTTTTTCAATCAGTTATTCATTTAATTCTTTCAACTATTAATTCAGCTAATTGTTTAAATATTTAACTTAATTTTTTTCTCTTTTTTCAATCTCTAAAAGGTCATCTTTTTATATTAGCTTTTCCTTGAGATCTAGCATCTCAGCTTTATATTTTTCCGACATATTCCTTATGATTTTTAATTCATTTTATGCTTTCTACTCACTTTCTTTTAACTCTTCAACTTAATTTGCTAAAGCTTACTTTATTTCCATGTATTCCCTTTCAATTTATGATACATTAGCTATTTTTTTTCTCAAATTCTCATCTTTTTCTTCAACTTCTGACTAAAAACTTCTTTCTAGCTTTTATTAATAGAAAATTTAGTATTAATTTGGGCTTTCATATGCATAAACTTATTTACCTTGCTCATTTACTAGCTTAGTGAGTCTAGCTATTAAGAAGATTCCTGTTTTATTTTTTATATGATTTACTTGTGCTCTTAAATCGTTATAAAATTCTATTTTGACTCTGCTTTCATTGGCTTTAATTTATATTCTTTTTTAGCTAATTTTGAGTGAATTTTGTAATCTAAACTAAACTAAAAAAGCTACTGTTATTCAATTTAACTTGATTAAAATTTCTATGAATTTATTATTATTATATTTGATCTATTTCTTAACGTTTTAAAAAGAGTATCTAACACTCGCTATTAACTGATAAATTAATAATAATTTTTACATACTTTATAAATAGCCATTCCTTTGGAGTTTATATTTTTATTCAAAAAATATTTATAGTTAAAAAGTAATCTCTTTGTAAGACAATAAATAAATAAATTATAACTTTTCTAATTTACATTTCATTTTAATTAGGTAATATATATTTTTTTAACCTTTTAAGTTTTCAATTGCATTCTAATATATAAACTATTTTATTTCTTTTAAAAAAAATTTATGTTTATTTAATCATTTAAATACAATTAATATTTTTATTTTTGCTTTCTCTCTACCATTTATGTTATTTTGCCTTCCAAAAATTTTTTATATTATACAATGATTTTATTTAAAGTATCTATAGTTTTTTTTAAATTAAGTCTAGATTAAAATAAATTTAATATATTTATGAATTGTTGTAAATTCAAAGATAGATACTCTTTAATATGGACATAATTAGTTAGTTATACATAGATAGATAGATAAAAAAATATTTTGATTATATGTTTTTATATAAGAGGTTTTTAATATTTACAATAAAATAAAAAATAGGAAAATTGATGGTTGAATTTCAATCAAATGGGATTCTACATCATAAGATTATTTTTGATAGTTAGTATATCAGAAGCCATTTCTCCATAATAACTCATATTATGATTGTCCCTTATACTCTTAATTCTTTATATTATAAGTTACAAATCTTCTTTACCTTACAAGAAATCTTAGTATGTAATAGTTTTATGAGAAAGGTCACATAAGCACTCGTTGAGATAATTACAATAATTTCTTAGTTTTGTTTAATCATTATTTTCTTTTTACTGCTATTGTTATTATGAATTTGGGTTTGCAAATGTTCTTTAGTTTGGTGATTAGCTCTGTAGCTTTCCTTTTAATGGTGAAGTACAACAATTTTTTCTCTTCACCAAATATGCAATTTTGAGGATTTTTTAATTTATTAGTTCCATTTACTTTTTTTTATCTAAGAATTTAAATTGGCTCATTTCAGTACATACATTATAATGGTTTTAAAATCTGCTTTAAGTTATGAATTCTAAACATTTATCACAAAATAATTCCTGAGAATCCAAGTGAAAAACTCCTGAAGTGTTATTTTATATCCCGTTAATATAGCTGAAATCTAATTTTTCATTATTTTTTTGCTAAGTTGATTTAGGAATATTACTTAAGAAGCTATTATTATTTGATGGATTAAAGAATGGTGGTGCATTTTCTTATTTTTCAGCTTATGTTTACAGATTATTATTTAAATTAGGATTCGAGATGTTATTCGCACCTGAATTTTATATAGGATAAACAGGATTGTTAATATGATTTCTATGAAAATCATGACTCTAATTATTATTGTTTTTATAATCTGTTGGATCGTAGCTAACTTTTTCTACACTATATTAAATTGGAGATTTACTAGCTGTTGTTTAGTTGTAAATTATAATTTTAAATAAACAAAACTTTTCATCAAATAAATATATTTACCATTTGGTCTTTAATAAAATATTTTCTATGGAGAAATATTTGCTCTTTTTACCTGCTCTTCTCTTTCATCTCTAAAGTAAGGAGAGCGAATAGAGTCTTGATTAAATGTGAGCTGGGTCAGTAGTGGAGGATTAGCCTTTTAATCTTCCTAAGTCTTAAAATTTATCAGAGTCGATTAGACTGTCTATTCTGGAATAAATTGATCCTGCATTTATTTATTTATATGATTATTTTAAGTAGGTTAATAAGATTTTGACAAAGGGTAAGCAATTTCTTATGGCTAAGTTTAAAATGTGTGGAATTAACTTGTTTGCTTTTATTATATTGGATCTTAATTCTAATTATTTATTTAATGATGTAATTGATCAGATTCTATTATTATGTTATTTTCTGTAGATGTCTAAGTATCTCCACAGCCGAAGCAAAGTAAATCATTCTTTTATTTTTTATTTGCATTTTTATTGCCATAAACATATTCTATAGATGACTATAAGTTATTTTAAGGTTATTATATCTAGCTCACTGATCTATATCTATCATTCACTTATGGGTCTCCTTTTTATATTGATTACTTATTAGAAACTATATAGCTCGACAAGTTAATTGGCTAGTTGCTGTCAACGAAGTCATTAGTACTAGCATCGTTTTAATATTAAAATTTCATAATTGGAGAGCTAAAGTTTGACTATCCTTAAACCATAGAACCTTTGTCTATAGCACTGATAGGAATACTTTTAATATCACTTACTGTCATTGTCTTTTTAGTATTTACGTCGCTTTTAGGAGAATTCTTATTCTTTTAAACAAAATAAAATTATATATTTACTGTAAATACTCCAAATAATTTGCAATTTAAATTAAAATTGATTTAAAAAATAAAATTTATAATTTTTATTTTAAATATTTGTTTATTAATAATAATTATTAAAAGAAAAATCTGAAATTTTACAATAAATGATGCTCTATCATAAAAACTATTTTCATCAACTTGTATACCAAATTCATGATAATTTGGACTGATTTTTATGTTATAGTTATTTTTTGAAAAGTATGTTTGGGGTGTTGAAGATCTATTTTTTTAGCTATTTGGAGAAAATATTTTTTGCTTCTTAATATAGTAAGCGTTTGGGTTATTTGTATCTATCTAAAAGGGTTAAGGAGGATTTAAATTTTTAGCCATTAATTCATTTTATTCATTATTCTTTTGAGGAGTCATAAGTTCAAGGATTAAAGTCTCTTCAGTCCTTTCAGGTGGTGATTAGTTTGTTATTTGAGGCTATTTGTTTTTTTAAGACAGTTCTTTTTTCATAGATAAAGGTAACTATATTATTTTATTGTTGTATGGATTGTTAATATTATTAGATTAGTCATTATGGGAAGATTTTTTAGTTTTTTCTTAGTCTGTTTTAAAATAATTTACTATGTCTTTGACATTTCTCTCTTCTTCTGCATTCATATTAGTATGGAAGCTTTATTCTAAATCACTTTTTTTTCTCTAAAAATTTTATTCTTAAGATATTTACATTGCTTTTTACTATTAAAACTAAAAAATTAAATAAGCTTGATTTAAAATACTAAAATATTAAAAATACCTAATCAATGTACTAAAACTACTGGGTAGGTTAGCTATTTTTAGATGCATGTAGACTATTTAATGTATAGTAAAATGGATTAGTTTTTTTGTCTGCAGATATTTTATTCGTTTGCTCAGTTTAATTAAGAGTCTACTTCTGCTCTTCAGGTGCTTAAGAAGAATTATTCATAAAGCCTAATTTATACTATGAGTTAACATTCTAGCTGTCTCTTATTGTCTTTTCATAAATTTTATCTGTTCCAGTAAATGCTTGAGTGTTCTACTATGATTTTTTACTAGATTTTACTGATTCGTATTACTATTGTTGAGAATAATTTTTATCATCAAGGTAGAAGTTACTTTAATATGGTTGAGTGTTCATATAATTTTATAAATCTAATGTTTTATCTTTTGGTGTTGTAGCCATATTTAAAGGATTGTTACTTGAGCGAGATGGACTCATTTAGGTTAATTATCCTTAGCTTGTTTCATAAAATATTTCTTCTTCTTATTCAATAAGCTCTTTTTCTCTTTCTAGAATTTCTCTTTCTTTTTAAAGAAGTTATCTTTGCTATTCCAATAATTCTCTCTTTTTTTAAGGAAATTCTTACATCTTTTTAATATCAGACTAGTTTAAATTTTAGTTTATTGCACTGTGGTAGCCTGCCACTTTAGAAGGAGTTTGCTTGGATACTTATTCAGAAATATCACTTAAATTATTAAGATCTGAAGAAGGTATAATAGGTCTGCTATCATAATAATTATTATAAGGATCCTTCACTTTTTTAAATTAATGAAAATTATTTTGATTGTGCACTTTATTGCTTATAGGTTCATTATAATTATTTTAATTATTGAAATTATTTGAAGAAGATTTGACTTTGTAAAGACTACTATATTTATTTTCTTATGAATATTTTTATTATTTTTATGATGAAGCAGATTACTATTGACTTTAGTTCTAACTAATACTTATATTTTATAAAGAGTTTTAGATTGAAGGTTGACTGTATTTATCCATATGCTCAATATCTATTTAAGGAAAATTAGCGCTCCGCTTTTCACTGATATATCTGCTGCCATTTGAGTTTTTAGTTTCATAAGAATATTTCTTAATGTTACTGCTCGTGTTATTTCCTCTAGGTTGATTTAAGTTTATGCTTTCAAACTAACTAATTTAACTTTCATTATTCTATTACTGTAGCAACTGTTACTATTGTTGCTAACTTGGTTACAAAATAGATTGATTTGCTTGCATATTTTTTGGTGAAGGCTTTTTGATTTTTAAAGAGGCTGGATTATTTAAGGATGAGTAAGAATAAGATGCAGGAAATTATGGTTGTAAAACATTTTTGCTTATCTTAATAATTTCTGGTGTATCTTCAAAAGTTTTATTTGCAGGAGTAGTATTTTTTTCTACTGAACCACCTTAATTTTGTTTTTATTCTGATTATTCAGTTTAAGGGGTTTTAAAGTTAGATTAATTAAATCCAAGCTAAGGCTTAGTTTTTTAAGTTAAAGCTGGAGACCTAATTTAAGTTATCTTTTTACCTGTAGAATTTAATCTATCACTAAAATCAAGCACTCTTCTCTCATCTTGCTAATTATTTTACTATAATGTATCATTTTTATTAGCAGAAGTAAAATATTGGTTGTTACTATATGCTGCTTACTAATTTTATTTAACTGAATTTGGAGATATCTATTAGGATTTAATCTAAAATCCACTAATGTCAAAATCTTTTTTTGTTGGAGCTAATTTATCATTTTCTAAATACTCTTAAGTAACAAATATATTTGGTTTCGTTATATTTTATAATTAATTTGTGGCTGAAATTTATTTATCTGAGTCTAATTTTAGTTCATACTGCTATCCTTTGTAAACAGGATCTAAAATCTTACTATTAACTTTCATTATGCTTTTTTATCCACTGCTTGGCGTTGGTTCTAGCTAACTAAAGTTAATAAATGGGCTATCTTATAAAGGATTATAATTTGAATCAGTGTACTCATATAAATTATTAGTGTTGAATTACTCTGCTTTACTACTGAGTCCTAACAAATTTGTTAGATTTGTTGGAGAATTCTACCTAGAGTGATAATGAATTTTAGAAGGCAATTAAATAGGTTAACTGTTTATTTCTGCCTAATTTTTTTGAGAAGAAGAAGGATATTGTTGATATTGTTGAAGTTATGAATTCATGGTAACAAAACAAATTTGTAAAACTAATTGGTATGCTAAACTAAAAAGATGTCTTTGTATTCTAACCTAACCTAAAATTATATATTTGTTGCTATGAATTTTATTTTGATATTTAGATTTAATTGATTAAAAAGTTAGTTAATTATTCTTAATATTTTATTATCATTATTAAATTAGCTTGAAATTAATATCTCTCGATTTTTTAATATATATAAGGATATAAAGCATAACCAATCAAAAAAGTTGATAAAAATCATGTAGTTCTTTAATTAATATTCAAAATTATTAAACTGATTATTATTATTAAATAAAATTTAAGTGTTTGTTTTATTCTGAAAGTTAATATAATTTAATATAATAAAATTCGCCTAAAACAAATTATTATTATTATTTATTTATTTTATAATTGAGGTATAAACCAATATATTTAAAATTTGTTGACTATATGAATGCAAATATCCAAAAAAATTATATCATCTTTAATTGTATTTTAGATAATTACTAAATATTAAACATATAAAAATAAAAAAATATAAATATTTTTAATTAAAGCATGGTCTATTTTCAATAAAGTCTAAAATCCTATGGAATTTCTTTACATACGCAAGACCCATATGACCAATTATCATAGTCTAGGGAATATTCATCAGAAAATCCATTTTATGAATAATCATCTTCTTAACCTTCTTCGTCAGACCAATTGTTTTATTCTTTATATCCATTATTATCGAAATTTTCATATAATTTTTAATTATTTTTCTTGCTTTTTTTTAATGGAAATCTTTCAAGATTCTCTTTAATAATAAAATTATTTTTATATTATTATTTTTATTTATTTATTTGAATCTTTAGTTTTAATAGTTTTTCAGATAAATCCTTTGAAAGTATTTAGTTTTTTACTTATTTATGTATTAAACTTATCTATTCTTACACCTTTTCCATTAAAAGAAATTTATATTCATCAACTGTCTCCTCAATAGATGATATAATTTTTTGATTATCATCATATACGCTAATGTATAAAAATGGAGACTTTTAACTATACACTGTGTAAAATTCCTTACTATTACCATATTGTATTTTAATTAGCTCTTATTTAATTTATAAAACTTATTCTTCATTTAAGTTATTATCATCTGTATCTATATTTTAAATATTAACAAATCCTCTTAAATGATCACATCCTAAAATTTATTATATTTTCTAATTTAATTTTCTACACAAGATTTAACCTTAGTGTGATTTTATTATTCTCTTTAGCTGTATTTAAGTTCTTTTAATTTTATCACAGTAGTTATTACCTGTTTTATATATGTATTCGTAATTCAAATTATGATTTTTTTAACTTTTTATTTCTTTTAATGGCTTTTTCATTTTGATTTTTTTTTTTAATTATTTATTATAAAAAGTTTAATGTAAAATAATCTTGATTTAGGATTTATATAGGTCTGTATTTAATCATTTACATACTAAATTATTTTAAGTTTTATTTTAGTGTATTATTAAAATTTATTTAGCGACCTGCTTAACTTTTTCTTGGTTTAATGACATTTTTTTGAATGTTTCAGAATATTTCTAGTAAATTTGATTAATATAGAATAATATTGAATGATATTTATTTAATGCAATAGCAAAAGAAATTTAATATAAATATATAGATAAGTTATGATATGTATTCTAAATATACTAAAGATAAAATATGTATGTACATGCTTTATTATTTATAATAAATAATAATAAAAGAATATATTTTTTACTTATATTAAATAATTCTTCATTTCACTAGAAATTATGAAAGGTTTTGCCGCCAATAAAAAATGAGATAAATTAATTTTATACACAAAATTTATTTTTGAAGTTCTAAACAAATTAAAATAAAAATGTTATTTATCATAATTTACAATAAAACTGTCAGATATTTCTATTTAGTGTCGTTATTTTATAAAATTGTTATTATGAAAAAAATTAATTGATAAATCTACTTTTACTGTTTTTTGATTAATGATTGAACTCTTTCTTCCTATAACAATACGCATTTTAAAAAGTGTTTGCATTTTTCTCTATTTTTATTAATTATGTTTTACTATTTAAATTTATTAAGATATGAGATAAAAAAATTTTATTCTCAAAGTCAATTAATTTTTTGAAGCTTTTAATAAATTAAATTAGATCATAAAGCTATTGCTCTTAATTTTTAGAAGGCAAGTAAAATAGTCGTTTCTATTAACTAAAGGAAATTTTTATTATATAACTATTGTTGTTAAGAAATTTGTTGATTATTCTACTATTACTGCTATAGGATAAAGGATTGAACCCTTTCAAATAATAGCATTAAATCTTAATAGGTATTTTACATTTTTTCAACATTTTCATTATTTTATAGTATTTCTTTTAAGTTTTCATCATGGAATTCTGTATAAAAGATTAACTTTTTAGTTGTTAAAACTTGTAAAAGAAAAGTCTAAAATTCTTAAACATTTTTTATTCTTGAGTTAATGAATGATATTTGCTCGCTTTTTTACATTAATTCCATCTATTTCATTTACTTACTACACAAAATTTCATGTTAACTTAAAGAATCTCTTGTAAATATCTAGCAAAATTTGCAGTAAAAAAATAATTATTATAAATTTTTATCACTTTTTATCTTATTTATTTATTAATTTTAATTGGTAACTGTATTTAATTACTATGGAGTACTCTAAATACTATTTTTTTTTTCAAATTCATTATGAGAGGTTACTCTTGGAGTAAAGATATTGTTATTGTTAGGATTATTAGAAACACTGACTTAAACTGGAAAATTTTTATTATTTCTATTATATTTTTAATCAAGATAATTATCTTATGAAGTAGGAGAACCTAGCATTCCATTTTTTTTGTGATTAATTGTGTTTACTATTTAATTATAATTTGATGACTCTTTATTATACATCTGCTTAAATTATTCTGAAACGACAAGAGGATATATTTACTTTTCGAGAATATTATTCATTTTTACTTCGTTTATTTTATTTTCTGCTTCTTACACCTGCTAATGTTGTTGAATTCCATCCTTGATTTTTTTTGATTAAACACATTAATAAAATTGAAAACAAAAATTATATTTAGTTACATATTTATTTTCATTCTTCACTTTAGAAAAGTAAGTCTAGGTTTTGTCATGTTTAGAATCTAAAGTTTATTTAGGTATATTTTAGTTAGCAATGCTTGCTTCAGAAATATCACAGGGCTCTAATTGAGTAAGTGAATCTAAAGGTTACTTTTACATTAATTATATAGGTTGCTTTTATGTTTTAAATTATGGATTTTTAGAAACAAAAGGAGAGTTTCTAAGTTCTATGCTATTATTTGCAGAGAGAATTCCTTCTTTTTCGTCTAAATCTCTACCTATAGGGCTTTTAGAGAGGTAAGGCTGATTGAATATCATATTTCTGTTTGGGCTTATATCCTTTTTATTTATTTTTAAATAAATCAATGCTCAATTAAAAACACAAAAAATATCTTACTCTTGATCTATCTCTGTTGAATGAGTGGTTTTGAGAAGTTTCATGATCGAAAATTTTCATTCTTGGAGTTTTTTATTTCTCTTTATTGGCTTCATTATATTTGCTAACATGGTTAAGAGAATTATTACCGTTAATTTAATTTGGATTGCTTAAATTTATTGCGAAATTATTTCTTTATATATTATTACTATTTAATTTACTTTTAACTAAGTAATTTTAATAAAGTAAATTTTCTTCTTGTTAGGTATTTTAATATGTTGGCAAGCTTTTTTTCTTTATAAAGTTATCGCTATATTTTGTTATTTTATTTCTCAGATCATGATTAGTTGGAAGGGTAGATGAAGCCTTCTAATTTGCTTGAAAATAATTCAAATTTTATTAAGAAGGCTGATTTCTATTAATTATATGCTGAGGTGTAAAGCCTGAAATATTATAACTATTGCTATAGAGTTGCTGTTTACTTGCTTTTTACATTAAATATTCAGCAGCTGTTTTTTTAAGAGATTTTTCTTAGTTTTAAGATAATTAAATAGCGTTGTTATAGGCTACTTTATTCACATTTTCCCCAGGTTTGATCTTGTTTTAATTTAATACAATTTCTTTTGAATTTTTTCTTGCATCTTTATAATTCTATAAATTGATGGACTTACTTTCTTCTTTCATTTACTTTACTTCAGTTTAACTATTGTTAATTTCATTCTATAATTAAATATATTTTTTAAGATTATCTTCATCTGATTTGAGTATTTGAGCACTATCCACTTGTATTTTTTAGTTTATTTCAATTCCTGAAAATAAAAGTTAATTTACTTTTGGTGTTTAATTCTCTTCTTAAAACTTCTATTTTGTTTCATAAAGCTTATTGTCAACCTAAAATGTTTCGTTTGACATTAAAATAGGAGAATTTTATAATTTTTTATTTTCTTTTTAAATGTTAGGGGAGTTGCTGAAGTTTTACTAATTGAATATTTTCTTCTTATTGACTAATCCAGCAGATTAAGATCTTCCTAAATTATCTTTATGATTATTAGCTACGAGGATATTTTCTTTGTTAATCGGATTGTTTTAGTTTGAGGAAATAATCTGATTATAATTTTTATTAATCTAATGGTTCGGAGAACTAACAGTTGATTCTACTCTTTTAAATGGATGCTCTGCGTTCACAGACTTAGAATAGTTTAGGTAAGTACTATTAAAATTACTATTTTTATTATTACTTATACTTAAAGGATTTTTTTGATGTGAGTTTTCAGCTGAACCATATTTATTAGAATTGTTATTATTCTTATTTTGATTACTTTACATTGTACTTCCTAAACTATTGTTATTATTATTCTAAGTATTAGCATATATCTATATTTCATCTTATTTATAAATGTTCTTTCCGTTAAATTCTTATGTTATACTGTTCTTGTGGCTAAAATGCTCAATTACTCCAGACGGAGACAAAGGTGAGCCAATATAATGAGGTTAGCTGTCCAAGTTATTTTCTTTTGTTAAAATAAGAGAGTTATCTTATTGACTTGAATCTTTTTTACCACTTGTATTTATCTGATCATATTTTCTTTTTGAATGAGTTGGATAATTGATATAATTACTTTTCTTACTAGCTTTTCTTGCTAAAAAGCTATTGTTATTAGAATTTGGGTTAGTATTTATACCATTTTAATAGCTATTATTTGATAAATTTATTTTTTAAATAGATTGGTCGTTTAAGCTTTGAGGGTTATTATTAATGTTTTCAGTGAAATTAAACTCATTTTCGATACTTGGATAATCATTCTTTTATTTTCTTCTTTGTTCTGGATTGTTAGATTGTGGTCTATTCAAAAATTAATTATTTTTCATCTTTTTAAATTTTATTAAAAATTCATCTTCTGGTGATAAATCCTGATTAATTTTTCTTGTGGAGTCTTTAATAAAATCCATTTCTTTTGTAATAGAATTATTGTTAAAACCACTACCATTATTATTGTTGTTATTGTTGCTATTACTATTTGGTTATTGGTTAGTGTTTGATTTATGATTATTTAATTTGTAAGTATTAATATGAAAAACTCCTTGTTAAGATTGGACAGAACTATTTTAATTAAAAAAGACTGAATCAGATCTTGGAGAAATAAAATATAAACTCTAACTATTAGATTGATTATTTCTACCACTATTAATTGAGCTAATCTAGGATTTATCGATTGATATGTACTGCTTTTCTTATGGAGGCTAATATTTTTATGAATTACCATTAGTCTAATTAATATTTTAATTAAATTATTATTATTTTTAAGAGTTATAATTACTATGATTTTAATTATTGCTTTAATAATTATTTGATTATTGGCTATTAAAGTGACTTTACTATGCACCTTAACTTATATAATCTTATGACTGATTTTAATAATGGTGGGTTTAATTTATTTTATTTTTCTGATAATGCTATTCTTGTCTGCTATGATTCTAGATATTCAATATTTGCTATTGATCAACTTAATTTTAATCACTTTGATTTTTAAAATTTTGATTATGACTGTTATTAGCTTTCTAAAAATTTTGCTAAGCACTATTCTAATGTTAATATTGGATATTGTTTGTATTATTGCTATTTGAATAAACTGAACCTTGGATTTTCATATTATTTTGATACATGTTTTATTAAAGGGAATTCGATCTCATATGCTTCTACTATTAGTTTTTATTCAAGTTGTTTTCTTCATAAACGTAGTTATTTGTTCTCTCTTGCTAATTATTATTATTTTAATTATTTTTTTAGCTTAAATGAGGATCTTAATTTTTAACAGCTTAGTTGGAGTTGTTGAAGTTAGGATAAGAATGTTAGTTTTCTTAATTTTATAGTTGTGTATTGTTTAAATTTTATTGAGAATTATTATACATCTTAAAATTTTGATGATGATTTTGCTAAGTACCTTAATTAATACCAAATGATTGGCTAACTAATTCTGATTAAGCAGTTTTAATAGTATGGTTAATAATGCTCGCATCAGAATTATATCTATGATGCTAAGTTTATCTAAGGGTGCTCTCAATTTATGAGTTGGATGATTCTCTTTCTCTCCTCATGTTTGATGCATTTCCAAATGTTTATAAAGAAGAACTAGGATTATAAGGAATACTCTATTGACTACACTAACTCTATCTACCGCTTTAATTAGGATACTAGTTGAAAGAGTAAAACTAATTTTGTTAATTAATCGGTGAATGATTTTGAGAAATATTCTAATTTGTATTTTATCCCTATTTGTTTGCTTAGACGCTTTCTTTATCATATTATTCGTTATTCCTAGAGTGAAGCGAGTTTAATTTTTAATTTCTAAATGAAAACATTCCTATTTAATCTTAGCTACTTAAGTTATCTTGTAAATTGCTATATTGATTTACTTCGCTATTTGTCATATAAATTTCACCTCCTCCACCGCCGCCACCTATAATCTATAAACTATCTGAGTTTACTTTGGCTCTGCTCATCTAATTTAATTAGTTGTTTTGATTAATGCTTTTGCCTTTAAACAATTTAATAAATTACTTTTTACTTTGTTAAGATAAATTAATTAAAAATCAATATTTAACAACTAGTAGGCTAAGAAAAATTAGTTAATCTTTCTCTATAATTTTTTTTCTGAGATATTAAAAGAAATGATTAATCAATTAATCTCTTATGTTATGTTACTTTATGAGCACTTATTTTAACTGATTAAACTTTTATTAATATTTCATAACAGATATAATTATATAGTTAATTCTACCAAGAAAAGATTTTAAAAGCATACTTTTTACCTTTCTTTTAATGTTTATCAAAATTTAAAATTAAAATAGGCTTTTTATTCAAAATGAAAAATAAACTAGGTGAGATATCAAAGAAAATATTTAAATTCTAATCTCTAACAAATCAACATACATTTTCTATTAAAATTAAGCATAACATTTTTAAATAATTATGCTTATTTATTCAATTTTTTTTAAATATTATTTAAAAATTTAGGAATAAGAAACATTTTAATTGAAATATATTTTTTTATTTTACTTTATTATTCTATTAATTAATTTGAATAAAATTTATTTAAATATTTAAAGTAAAATAACAATAAATAAATATTTTAAGCTTTCATATATTAAAACCATTCAAATTTTTTAATTATATTAAAAAGATAAATATTGATTTTTCTTGAATATTTTTTGATGAATATTTATTTTTTAAATAAATTGATTGATAAGGTAAATGAAAAACTTAATATTAAATTAATTGAATAAAATATTACTTATTTTAATTTAGTAATTTTGTCAATTCGAAGAAAGTAATTAAAGCACTTAATTTGAAGTGATTTATAAACAATAATATATTTTATATAAATAAATATCAATAAATAAAGAAAACCAGTAATATTTAAAATTTATTTATTTATTAAATTAATTAATTAGTTAATTAATATTATATTTTAGCTATTAAATATTATTATATTATTTCTTTTTTATCTCTCTTTCTTGCTTAATTACCTTCTTACTCACTAACTAACTTGAGAATGATTTGATATGATTGTTAGTTCATTTAATGATCAATTATTTGAAAGTTTTATTATTAATTAGAAGATTCTTTTTAGTGTATTTTCTACTTAAAGTTCATTTATTTCTTTGAGTATTTTAGATATCTCTATTACGAGCTTCTAGTATTTCTTATTTTCTTCTTTGTATTTCTTCATCATTTACTTTGTAGACTTCAGCTTCTTCCATTTCTTCAATATGACGAGAAATAAATTTTTTAGTAAATAATAAAGTAAGGGCCATTACCACATGTAATACACCAACTATGTAGATATATATTAAAAAGATAGAAACAAGCAAAGGTATTTTTTACCATGTTTCTACTATCAAGCTTGTGCTTAAAATTAAATACACGAAATAAGCAATATAAAGAGTTGAGAAATAAACTAATGGGAACCAACCTACGTTGCACCAGGGAACTTAATCTAAATTATTATTAACAGTCCTAAAGGCGATCACACTATGTTCACTTTCCATTGATTGATTAAGTTATTATGCGTTATTGCTATTATAGTTATTATAATTATTTGCAAATATTAAGTTAGTTGCACTGTTATAGTTAACATTATTTCTATTTAATTGGGAGTTATACATTTCAACATCATTATTTACTGGATTACTACGGTTAGTGTTTTAGTGGCTAGGAGGATTTTATGCCTGTTATTAATTTTAGTTTTTATGAAATATTTTGCTTCCAAACCAAAATATAATCATAATGATTAAGCTAAAGAAGAAGCACAATATACTTATAGCCATATAGAAGATGACTAAATAAAATACTTTTTTGTTAATAAGATGAATCTCAGGGTAGAGGGTTAAACATCCTATACCAAAAAGTAAAGAAAAAAAGATATTCACAATTTAAAGAAATCTGAATGTTTGATTTGCTTATGATTAATTAACTTTTTGTAATTGTAGCATATGTTATCTATCTTCTATCTTCCCTCTTAATTCGCTTTATTGTCTTCTTAGATCTCCTGCTTCATATTCTAACTCGTCATTTACCATCCCATTTTCATCTCTTTATGCTCTCTAAGACTTTTTTGGCGTTGTAAATTACAAATTATTTTCCATAATCTTAATTATTACTTCTAATCTCTTTATTTGAAATTTAATCTATCTTTGGAAATATTATTAAAACTTAAATATTATTAATTAGTTAATTAATTGAATGAAATGCCTATATTTTATTTTTAAATTTTTTTTTGCCTTTGATATAAAAAATATAATTTATAATTAGATATATTTTTTTACTAAATATTTTTAATGCTTTCCTAAAAACAAGTTATTTGTTTGTATAATTTCATATATAAATACAATTATTTGTAAGCAAATTTGCATTCACAAAATATTATATATTTTTGATTAGAATAAAATTTATAAATTAGATTAAAAATCTATGCATTTATGAAATAACCAGTTAAATATTACCAAAAAAAAAATCAATGAATATATAAATAAGCTATCTTCGAACTAATAGCATATTATTATATTTAATAATATTTGAAACCATTATTTAATTGCTTCATTCAATTTTTAAAAAATTGTTTGGCTTTAAACGATTGTGAATAATTCAGAAGAAATTTTATATTTTTTTTATTGCTAAACACCTGCAAATTTTTATGACATTAGAGTTTAAAAAAAGAATATTCTTTATTAACTAGATACGATAAAGTATAAAATTAAATAAAATATATACAAAAAAATATTGATATATTTTTAGAAGAAATTAAATATTTACTAAAGGAAATATTAGCAATTAAAATATTTTCATAATAAAAACATTAAAATTAAAATAATAAACACTTTAATTTGTAAATTGTGTTTTTAAATAATTATTATTATTTTGCAAATCTTTTGGTTAGTTTTTATCTACATTTACTGGATTTTTAATGGATTTGAATATTTATTTGTTAAAATTATTATTTGATATTCTTTATCCTTAGTAATTTTATTCTACTATTTATAAATTATTTTATTGGATTTCTTTTGGTTATATTTTTTTTTTGGTATTATCAGTTTTTAAAGAATTACTTAATTATTCTAATTTTTTTAGGATCATTTTTTTTTATTTTAAGTTATGTTTATTTTTGATAAAATTCAATTTTAGGTAACAAATTTTTTCAGCTTATAGGAGTTTAACTGACTTATATCAAAGCTTTAGAAGTTGTATCAATTATTGAATGACCATTTATTTAAAAATCAAAACCTTGACTATCTTTTAGTTCTTTTTAAGGTGTTTGATTGGAATATGATTTTGAAACATTCATAAAATAGTTTTCTTAAAGTTATTCTTCTTATATAGAAGGTTACTTATTTAAGTTAATTGATTTAATTTATCCATTTATTATATCTTAAATTAAACCTTATAAGTTTTATATAGTAAAAGTTAGATTACTCATAGACTCTTCTAATTCTCTATAATCAAAGTTCTTCAAATTAAATCTTTATTTATGCTAAATAAATTTAAAAAAACAAATATTTTAAGAGATAAATTAATTATTTTTTAGATATACTGTTTAAGGCATTTTTTTTATTAAATCTGTTATTCTCTGATGAATTCCATTTAGCAAAATTTCTGCATGATTTTCTTCTTTAACCATTCTATCAACCTGTTAATAAATATGTAAATTAATAAATTAAGTAAATTTTTATTAATTAACACCCATTTATGTTAATACCAAATTATTGTATGAAAAATTTACGCCCAAATAATTAGAAAAATTTATTAAAGGATGTAGGTGTTAATACATAAGAATAAATATATAAAAATTTTTATATTTATTTTAAATAACAAAAGATATATTTGTTTACTCTATTAGCATTAAAGTGATATTTTCTTTTGTTTTCAATATACTCTTTTTCGAATTCTGGAATATTGATAAAGTCATCTTCTCTATTGAATTCATTAGGATGTCTTTGCATGTTGTGCTATATTATAATTTAATCGGTCTTTGTTTCTTATGAGTACTTCAAAATTTGTAATTCACTTTGTAGCTAATTGACTTCCTCTTAAAGTTGGTTATTTATTTATTTGTACTCTTTTTCTTCATTTTAAAGCATTTATGTATTTTATCTACACATTTTTTTTATTTAATTTTTAATGGAGAGAATAAAAATTCTATTTACTTGACATGAACACAAAAGTCTAGCAAATCTTTATAAGATGAAACCAAAGGATAACTTTAATGAAAATAGATGAAATCATTGCTAAATAAATCAATTTGTTCTTATAAATGAAAAGCAAGTGCATTTTTTTAAAGCTCCTCTTAGATTTTCTTTTATTTAAGATCCTCTGCCCTTTATTTTCTCTATTCCTTTTAATTATTTTTTACAATTTATCTCATTGTGCTTTCGAATTCAGCCAACCTTTCTGCTTCTTACTCTTTTTATTATTTTATTTAAGAACTCTTCCACTATTCCTTTTATACTTATTCTTATCTTTTTTTTTCATGAGCTGCTTCTACCATCTCAATCTAAATTAAATTTATAAAATTTATTCTTCATATAAAATAAATTAATTCGTTTTACAAAAAGTTAAGTGATTTTCTTTGCATCAGTTTAGAGTTTATCAGATGTTTTATTTAAAAATCTACTCATATGTTAATTGATTTCTAAGTGCAATAGCAACGGTTTTGAATTTATTAAGCTGTCTTTATATCTTACTTCTTTCATATGTGAAAGAGACTCCTTTAGTCTTTCTTGCTCAAAAATTTGATCATTTATTTAATCTATTTCCTTTTACAAATTTTTAATTTTCTCATTTAAGAATATTGACTAGTGTATTTCATTAGTATCTAATTTATAATTGCTCCTAAGCAATTATTTTAATTTATTCTCTTTTTCTCTAATATCTTACATAAGCTAGTTGTATTTATCTTTACCTATAATTAACTCTTCTTCTAACCCAGGTGTGATAGTAGAACAAAATTTGCTCATATTGATTTATTAGATTATTTTTTATTCTTATTCTGGAACTGTAGTGAACCTTTCAGTAACGGTGCTATTTAATAAAAAAATAAGTTTTTATTTTATATTTAGACCTAAGCAAGTTTGTTCTCACAAGAAAAGAAGAAATAAATTACTTTTAAGAAGTTGTATTTAGATTATTCTTATTAATTTAATTACGAAACGATTATTAACTATTATTATTAATTTAATGAGAGAGAACTTCCTAATTAAGATATCCTTTCATATCCCTTATCTGTGAAAATCCATGACTAAATGAAGCCTTGGGAGTAACAATGCTAATTTTTTTCATACTTTCCATTCCATTTTTTATTATTGAAGGCTTTACAAAATTTTAAGCTTCATTTGCTTCCTGATCTTTTAAAAAAAGTCTTAGCTTCTTTGAGGCAGCTTTGTACTTTTATTTTAAATAATGAAAATAATAAATAAAATGGTTGAAATAATTTACATAACAAAATAAAAATAATATTTTATTTTGTATAAATAATAAAAAAATTATTGAAAAAAATATAAATAGTTTCGAAAATTATAAATAGATATTCTTTTATCTTCTTCTTCTATGTTTAATTTTAAAACTAAATTATTTGAATACAGATTCTATTGCTTGATCAGATTTTTTTCTTGAAACTAGAGATGCTGTTGAAATGCTTCGAGACCCAAATTTAGATGTTGTTTTGTTAAAAAATCTTGGCTGATAAGAATCTCCATCATCATCAAATTATGTAGTATGGAAATAATTGCTATTCGTTGGCTCATCGTTCTCATACCCATTCAATTCTGTAACAAAAAGTTTGGATATTTTATTTAACTACATTGTAAGCTTTTTAGGCAGTCTACTGCTCTAAGCTATTTTTAAAAATAATCATTAGTATAATTTATAAAAATTAGTTCAATTATTCATATTTTATAGAATGAATCTCTTATGCTTTTTTTCTTATCAGTCTTATTTATGAACTTAAAAAGCTTTAGCTATTTTTCCATTTTAAATGTATTTAATAATTTACTTCCTTGAGTGCTTGGCCTGAAAGAAGTTTGTGTAGTTTCGTTAGCCGGAGTATAAAAAGTTTTTTAAAGAAGATTAGGTTATGATTTTCTAGGCTGAATTATCCCTCTAGGAGAATGAATTTTATTGTTTATATTCAACTGAGATTCTGCATTATTCTAATTCATTATATTAGATTATGAAGCAACATTTATATAAGAAGATGTAGGAGTCTTTATGGCTTCAGAAAGAACTAAATCTTTTTTATACATCCTCTATGAAGACAGCATATCTATCGATCAATAAAGAAGAAAGATTTAACTTAAATAGAAGTGATAAAACTGATAAATCCTATAATTTTAAGCTAAATAAGAAGTTGTTTAGATTTTAAGTAAATCTAAGAGCAAATCTAAATATTAACTAATATTTTTACAAAAACAACAATATCAAAATATCAATTAAAAGTTATAAATTAATTAATTAATAATTAAAATTTACTGAAAAAAACAATAATATAATAAAAAATCAAATAATCCTAATCACTCAAAAAAAAATATAAACTTTTAAGTTATTACAATTTATAAATATTAAAAAATCAAAAAGTTATCATTCAAAATATTTTTAAAGCTAATTTAAAAACAAACTCATAATTCAAAATATAAATAAAATTATAAATATTTTTATTAAAGCTATAGATAGAATAAGAGTTGAAATATTTTAAGTAATATTCTTTTTTCTTTTTAAATTTCAATATAATGATTATTAAAAATTATGTAAAATAAATAAATATTTAAATAATAGATGATGATATTTATTTTATTGCCTTTATAGAATAACAAACAAAAAGGAATTACAAATTCATTTTACTAGAAATCACATTTATTTTGATTGATTTATCATATTATCCTTTAGCAAACTAAGAAAAACTAAATGACAAATAAATTATAAAAAAATAAAAATATTTTTATGAATTATATTTTTAACATCCTCAATTTATGCAAATTTTTATTATTTATAAAGAGATAGTAGTCAATCTTAAGCATGTTTAACACAGTTAATACAATATATTTAAGTTTTTTAAATGTAAATCATTTACAATAAAATTTAATAATTTATTCATACTTTTCATCTGAAGAAATCAATTCTTTTTATTCGTATGAGATTAAAGGGAAAATATGATTTAGCACAAAATATTTAAAAAAGAAGGAGTTAAGAATTTGAAGCATTTCATTTATAAATACTTTATCAAATTCAATTCTTTCTATTTTAAAATCAACTTAAGTGAAAACAATAAAATCGCACCAATTTAGTTAAGATAAATACATAATACCTTAGCACTAATAATAGTAATTATGATTTCTTTTGAGCATTATTTAATTTAATTCTTTATTATACTCTAAAAATGGAGTCTATTAATAATATTCACTTATCTTTTAATCTTTGATACTAAATGGACATTTTATTTCTATACAACCCTAATTTATTAATTTTAGAATAAAATTAAATTATTAAATTATTTTACTATCGGATTGTTATTTTCATAAACTATGCCATCAGGGCTACCTGCTATCCAGTTATATTTTTTATCAACTATTAAACCAAATTCCTTCACATTAATTTATGATCCATACTTGGCTTACATAATTTCTATATATTTAAGTCTAGCTACTTCCTCAAAGTTATTTCCATATTATATAGCTTCACATGTAAAAAACTTTGATTCAATGATTTAATTTACTATAGTATTTCTATTTTAAACAATTAAATAATAAAAAATTATCTATCAATTATTTAATTTATTTACTTGCTATTATCTTTGGCTTTACAAATTTTACCAAAGTTTGAAGCAGTAATTCTTAATTTCCTCTCTTTTTCCCATTCTTTACTTTTTTAATTGTAATTTACTACAAGGAAATTTTCTATTGAAGATTATGCCTACTTTAGCTTTTCAACATATTTATTAACTTTTTAAAAATATTTATTGAATGAATGTCAATCAATAGAATTAGAATAAAAATTTCATATTATTATGATAAATTAATTGATACAGTTAATTTATTTAATTTTAATTAAAATTTAATATTATTAGTATTTATAAAAAATATTTATTTATTACTTTATTAAATTGTACTGATTTTAACAATTTCATTTAGAATTTGATTAAATTTAATAATATTTTACTTTGAAATTCGGCAAATTATACAAGAGATTCAATCTAAGTACTTTTAGATTCTGGTGACATATTTTATACCTTTTAATTTGCAGCATAATCGTTTTAGTTAAATCTGTTTGAACTATATATTAAAGAAGATTAATTTATTAAGATTTATTTGTTTTTACATTTCTTCAATTTTATTTGGAACCGCTATAAAATCACCCTATCTTTTAGTATCCATTCTGACTTCATTTTTTTCTTTTTTGTTTATTTTTAATAGATCAAAACGGAACTTGATATCCTGAAAAAGATATTTTTCTTTATCTAATGCACATTTCATTAATAACTAGTAATTATCTAAAAAACATTAAGCCAATTTTTAGTTTTTTAAGCTTTCTCTATATATAAGGGCTGTTTTGAATATTTGTGTTAGATGAGGATCATAGCTATTAAACTGTTAATTTGACTCTCCGTTTTTAGCTATTTGATATAAATTATTTTCAGTATACTTTTAAATAATAACTCTTTGCAAATTATTTAAACACTTTTCTAATTCTTTGTTTTTGGTAGTAATAGTTTTGTTTAACTTTATATGTAGCTTATTTATATATTCCTGCAAATAATTTTTGATCAAGTTTGGATTTTTCTTTATATCAATTATTTTTAAAAAAATTAACTCTTTCTTAGTATAATATGTAGTTAAATAAAAATAGAGATTTAATTATTCTAAGAACAATATATAATAAATGAATAAATAAATTATATTTACCTTTTCGTAAATCAACTCTTGCACAATTTTAGACAATAATTAACGATACTCTTAGCTTATTTTATTTAATTTTTATTAGATTCTAATGAAGACATTTTCTTTTTCGAGAATTTTAAGAGATAATTATTGAGGATAGTAAAATTTTTTATCTTGATTGTTAAAAGTCACCAATTTATAATGTATTGAAACAGGATTTAGAATATTCTCAATGCAAATTTAAACAATTTCTTAAACAAATTTCAAAGTAAAATAAAGTATAATATCATCATCTGAAAATAGCTAAATTAGAACATCAAAATACTATTCGCTCAGAACATGATAGCATTCCCCCTATTTATTTTATTTTTAAATAATATGTAAATTAATTATTTTTTAAATGGATCTAATTTACCAAATCTCTAAAACTATTATCTTCAATTTGATAATGATGGATTTATTTTAAGGAAATATCTTTTGCAACTAGATAGATGTTATTTCTCTCAATAAATTCTTTTAAAATTATATCTCCTTTTTCAAAACTTGATAAATTGCTTAAAGATGCTTCGCTCATAATTTATTTATTAATTTTTTTACTAATTAGTATTTTTAATAGAATTAATATATTGAAAGAGATAAAATCTATCTACTTTCTATTTATTAATAATTATTTTTCTATTGCATAAAAGCCAAATAAAATAATTAATGGCCAAAAAATACTTGTCTAAATTATATATAAATTATATATCTATCTTAAAATAGTAAAATTTAATCACCTAATTTTAATAGAACCAAAGTAAATTACATATTATTTTAAACATTCTTCATTCAATAACTTACAAAATCATAGAAATATTCATAAAAAAAGAAATAAAACATTGAAAAAAGTTAGTTTTATATATAAAATATGTCTTTCAAATTGCTACAAACACAATAATGCCTTTCTCCATTGAATTATTATAATTAACTATTTTGTAATCATTTAGAAGCTTAAATATTATTGCTTTATTTCAAAGCGGAATGGTAGAGTCAATTTACTCCTCTTCTTCATTTGTAATGCTCTCAGTTTTAGAGCAATCATCTATTTCTTAGCCTTTATATTCATCTTAATTTATTTGATCTTTTTTTAATTAGTTATTCTTTTCTATTATTATATAGTTATTATTCTTTATTTCTTCGAATTATTCCTCATCCATTTATTACTGCTGGATATGAATGCTTTAGCATGGGTAAATATTTTCAACTAAAAGATGTTTGAAAAAGTATTCGTGTAATTGTATGTAAAATTTATTAACAAAATCTGAATCATATTCAACTCTTATAACTAAGATATCTTTTTTATTGTAAATTACGAAATCGCACCAATCAACTTTACTTAATTTCATAATTCCCTAACACTGATAATAGTAAACATGAGAGTCTTTTAATTTAATTTGACCTTCTTCATTTTTCAAGAAATCTAATTTTTGATGGTTGATTTTTTCATCATCTTTAATTCTGTGAGGACATTTTATTTCTATGCATCCCTTTTTTTATTAATTATTTTAATGAGCAATTTATTTGTTTATGGAAATTTTTTACTATTTTTTTATCATCTTGAAAAACTATTCCATCAGGACTGCCTGCTATCCAAATATAATCTGGATCAACTAAAAGACCAAATTCTTTGACTTCATATCTATAATCTTTTTTCAACTCAATATATTTATCTCTAGCTGCTGATTCATTTTCATTTCCGTATCTTGTTGCTTCATTTCCAAAAAATTTAGGATAAAGTTAATCTTAAACTATTTTATTTCTAAATAATTTCATTAAAAAAAAATAATTCTATGTAAAAATAAATGATTTACCTTTATGACTAAGCAGACTTTGCAATTTATCCATAATTAGATGCCGTTATTCTAAATTTTCTTTGTAAGTGCCACTCTTTAGATAACTATGGGCATTAAACAGTTAAGAGATCATCTAATTAGACTTAATTTTCTTAGAGAATCTCTAGATACTCTATTACTATTATTTTATTTATTGATCTAAAATTAAAATCAATTTATTTTATATAAATTTAAATTACTTTTCTCTTTAGGGATTTTCACCTTTACTTCTTTGGCTTATTCAGAATCATATAATTCTACTGTTTTCTAGTTTAAATCTTCAAGCAGCTTGTAATAATAATTAAATATTATCTTTGCTAGTTTATGAAGGCCAGCTTTTTTATAAAGAAAAGCATATCTTTAAATTTTTAAAAATTCAAGAGAATCATAGCTTTATGGTTGAATATATTCTTTATCCTTCAAATGCTTAAAAATAACAGAATTCTAATATTAATTTTATTTGCTTTCTAAAAATGAATTCAGCTATTCTTAACTTGTAATTTAAATAGACTAAGAATCGTTCTATTAGTTGTGATTATTTTCCTCTTCATCTATTTTATTTATGCTATTTGTTAATTCTGTTTCACATTGGCGCTTTATTATTATTATTTAATTTAAAAATTAGTAGAAATTAACAGAAATTTTTGATAAAAATGTGTCTTTATTTGATAATAATTTACTAATTGTTTTTCATTAGATAGTGATAAATAAGCATTTGAGCTTGGTTTAATTATATTGTCTATTAGTTAATATAACTATTCCTTTTTATTCCATTATATATCCTAGTTTTCATGAAGGTATATACTTATAAATCCAAAAGCATTTTGCTCCCAAGAAGCTCTAGTCTCATTAATAAGCTATTTTGGATAAGTAAAGCAATTAGTCAAATGGTTAAATGTAACTCCTTCTTTGAACATACAAGATGGGTGAATTTTTAAATCTTAGCATATCTTGCATAATAATATGATTATTTATTCAATTATTTCATAGCTCGGATTTTTCAGTTTAAAGTAGTCATCCAATTAGATAAAATTGTAAATTTCCTATTAGATAAATAAATAAAGGATTAAATATTTTTAGTGATCAAATAGTAAGAAGGCAAGCTAGTTAGCTTAAAATCTCTTAATACTGGATAAAGAAAGCTTGAACCAGAGTATTTTAGGACAAATACATTATCTAAAATTTCTAATCCTTTAGAAACAACAAAGATATTTTCGTTGTACTTAAATTCATTTAAAATAATATATTCAGAATGTATCTACATTTCAATCAATTGCTTTTTAAATAGATATCTCTTATTTTTGTGCTAAATATTAATCTATATTTAATTAATTAATTTATAAAAAATAAATTGTTATCATTTACTTTATATTTTATTATAATACTTGTTTTATTTTGTTTTTTCAATTAAGCTTTTACTAATTTTCTTAAAAAAATTTTGTATTTGTTAATAATCGTTTTAGACTGAAACATAGGATATGAAGGAATATAATATGTAAATATCATATAATTAATAACTCAAAGTCATTTTTAAAATTTAATAAATAATGTAATAAAATAATATAAAATTTAATGGAAATATAAATACTTTAAGAATAAAATTAACCACTATTAACTCATTTCACTATTAATTTAAATTTAATAATACAGAAAAACAATCAGATCTACTAATAGGCTTACAAATGTGTGCATCCATACCAGCATCAAAACATTTTTAGGATTCAGATGCAGAAGAATATGCTGTAACTGCAATAATTTTAACGTCTTAATAAAATGGATCTTTTCTAATGTTTACAGTGCACTCAATTCCATCCATAATTGGCATATTTATGTCCATAAAAATGATTTAAAATAAATCTTCGATTTTTCTTTAACCTTTTTAATATGATAACTTAGCTTAGTTTAGTATATCTAAGGCTTACTAGCCATTATAGGCTTCTTCTATAGTTAAGTTTTTTATGCTTTTGAGCATTAATTTGAGAGCAATTATATTGAAGTAAGTGTCGTCCACTATTAATACTCTGGTAGGCATAGTAAATTATAAAGAAGGAGGTAACTAAATTAATTCAAGTGAATTTTGATTTCCTTACTAGCATCTAGGTATATTCATAACTTCACCATCTTTAAATTCTTTAATATCTTGAAGCTAACTAAAGCTGCTTTTTGTCCTTCTGTTTTTATTGATAGTAAATTTTTTATTTAATTATTACTCTTGCTGATCATAGTTTTATGTGTTTTATATATCTTAAATATTTTCTTGGTCTTTTTCTTCAAAATTACTATTAGTTGTTGGTATTTTATCTAAGTCTTCTTAATTAGAATTTTCTTTACCTTCAAAACTTTCAGTAACTTTTACACAAGTATCTAAGTTATTGTTATTTTTATTCAATTCTTCTGAAATACGTCTTGAGCTATTTTGCTAATTTTTTGTGTCTACCTCTTCTTTAATATTCAAAGAATTAGCTAATTAATATTGCATGAAATGAGAGTATTTTGACTTTTAGAATTAGTTAGGCTAATTATTTTAAAAAACCAATTAATAAATAAAATTAAAATTATTTTTTAAAATTAATTAATACCCCATTTCTAAATTTATTTAAAAATTTCAACAAAGTAGAAGTATTTACTGTTTAAAGTGGGAGGGCATAAAATAAAAATTATTTTGAAAATTAATAAATGAAATTTTTTAATTAGTTAATAAATTGTAAATTTTTATAGAAAGAAAATTTTTTACACTATTTAACTAAAGGTAATTGTTAAACTATTATAATCTAGGAGTTATAAAAGGAACTTCTGTATCAAAATTTTCGTTTGTGTTTATTATCTAAGAATTTTTGATATCGGATTGTTATCTTTAAACACTTAAAATATTCTAATCATTTGAAAGTGGATTTGATAAAGGAGAGCTTTCTAAATATTCATTTTCTTTAAACTAGAAGGGCCTTTCTTTTTTATGTGATAAAATCTATTATTCAAAATTGGATTGAAGCTTATCTGTTGTTGTTGGGTTCAAAGATATATTCGATTAGTTTTTATTTAATTTAGAAATGCTAGTTGGAGAATCATATATTTAATTTTTTTGATTTGTTGATTTAGATTTCAAATTTCTGTAAATATGAAAAGAAAATTCAGTTCCTATTTTTTCCTTGCTTTAAAATCTTAAGGAATCTTTAGGACCCACTTAGGATGCTAATTTTTTAGTGATTACTAAACCCAAACCTACACCATGTTTATTTGATCCATTATTGTGATCATATGTACCATACAACTTAAAAAGCTTAGGCTTTAGAGTATCTGGAATTCCAACTCCAGTATCTTTTACTGTAATTTTAATTAAGTCATCAGTTAAAATTTCTTTTTTTATTACAATTACAATTTCTCCCACAAAGGTAAATTTTAAGGCATTAGATGTTAAGTTTAACAAAATTTGCTTTATCCTTCTTCCATCATTTTCAATCACTCGATCTTGGCGTGAAAGATGATTTTAAATGTTAAATTTAAGGTTCTTTTGCTAAGCTTAAAATCCTATCAAATCATTAATATCATGTAAAATATCTTCAATATCAAATTTTTATTAAATTAATCTCATTTCTCCTTTAATAATGGCACTATAATCTAAGATATCCATAATTAAAAAGTTTAGCAAAATACCATTTTTGTGTACTATTTGAATTAAATTTTTAATTTCATGGATATCTGTCAATTCTTAGGCAACCTTTTTTATAAAATATTAGATAAAAATAAAAAATTTTTTTATGGTTGAAATAACTTCCATTATTTGAGTAATAAATAATCAGAATGTTTTTGTATCAAAAATAAGTAGTTTTTAAATCTTTTGTATTCTGTTAAAAATTATTTCTGCAAAATCAAAAAAGAAATATGAAATTATTATTTAAACTATTTACTTCTAAAATAGAAAGCATTCCATTTAGAGGAGTTTTTAAGTCGTGAGTAACAGTAGCAAGTAATTCGTTTTTGTAAGAATCTAAATCTTATAATCTCCTTGCTCTTACTTACTGAGAAATATCTGTCATTACAATCATAATAGCAGGCTCATCAATCCACTGAAATTCAACGATATGTATATCTAAAGCCTTAGCGTTTTTCTAGTTTTTATACACACAATTAATAAAAACATCCTCTTTTTCTAGGTCAATATTTTTGTATTTATCTCTAAATAATAAATTAAAACAAATATAAATATTTCAAAGAAAATAATATTAAAAATACTCAGCTTGAAAGCATTTAGCTGTGCAATTATTTTTTAATTTTTGATTGTCTTGATTGACTTTTTAATTATAGTGGTCATTGTTGCAGCATTTTTAATGGATATATTTTTAATGAAGCAAATTGTATTTTTAGTTAATGATATCTAGTAAAGAAGTAGATATTATTATCTTTTTACTATTTACAAGCGAATTAATATTCTCACTGAAATCATTAATTGGCATCCCATATATGTTCTAATTATAAACAGAATTTCCTAACATGAACTAACTTAGATTCTGCTTAATTCCAAATTACTGCATATTGCTTTTATTCATGCTGTATTCACTTGTTTAAACTTCTATTAAAGAAAGTAAGTTAAAAATTTCATGCTGCAACTCCTCTGGCTCTTAAAAATCTTACCTAATAAAATCTTTCCTTCCAAAATTTTCATCTCCACCTGATTATTCATTTTTCTTTATTCTAAAAGTATTCAAGCAAGTGTTATTTACAAAATTGACTTTTAGTTAAATTTATTATTATGATGACTAGATTTAGCTATTTTTTTTAGAAGGTAAGCGATTTAAAGTATTCAAAACAACGTTTTCATTAATATTTGTTTTAGAATTAATATAATTTGTTATTGAATTTAAATTATTGTTAAAATGATTTTTATTTATTGTATGACTAGAATTTTTACTATTAACATAATTATAGTTATTATTGTTTACTTATGGATTACCACCATTATTGATGTAATTAATATCACTTATTATTTGGTTGTTGTTATTATTATTATTATTATTATCATTTAATTCGTTATTAAAATTAATCTATATATTATTATTAATTCCATCATTTTAAACTTAAGATTAAGGATTGATGTAAGATGCTTAAATGTTGCAATCATGAGGACTTTAGTCATTTTTAAATAGTTTTAATTAAATCTATTATAAGTCTTCCGATATTTGTTAATTTTCTAAGTTATCTTTCATATCTTAGTGATTACTCTAAGTAAAAATATTATTATTTATCTCAAATTTTAATTGTTTTTTATTTTAAGATATGGATTTATCTTTACCCATGTGCAACTGTCCAAGTTAAGAATGCGATTTTTTTAATTTGATTGAGTTTTTTTAGAATCCTTATCTCTAAAAAGAATTTACAGAAGGTCGATTAAATATATTATTCAGATTATACTATTAAAACTCTTTTTCTGTATTAGCATCAATATGTTATTCAGATTTTAGCTTAGTTAAAAAATGTTTATTAAAAGGACTATTGTCAAATTCTTCATTACTGCTTAGGACAATTACTGAACATGGTAATGTATGTTCAAGGAGCTTTTGTGAAGCTGCTAAAGTTTTTTACTGGTAAAAATAATCATAAAACAAGAGCTTACTTTTTTTTTAATTGAGATAAACAATAGCTAAAAAGACTGGAAAAATAATAATCAGTGGAATCTTATCTTACTCAAATAGGTTAGAATGAAATGAATATTCATTTAGTATACTAGCCAATAGAAGAAAACTACTTTTAATCCAATTATCTAGGACAAAAAAAATAGGAAAAATATGGAGAAAAGAAATATCTATCCTCCTTGATTACTGAGTATTGTAAGAAACAGCATTAGTTATAATAATATAAGCTAGTAAAATTATAAAGAGCAAATCATTTACTTAAGACATTTTTTTGAAAACATTCATATATATAATTAGTAGAATAAATAAAAAGATAAAAATCCCATATGAGAGGATTTCTCCTATTTTTTACTACATATTTGTGATCGAAATAATCATATAAATAATATTTATTATCACTTGATAAAATAATACTAATTTTAAAGTTTGCTGCTTGATTTTGTGTTGTTCATTTTTGTATCTATTATTGATCTCTTCATTAACATATTTTAAGGTAAATATATCTAGCTTTTTCTTCTTTTTTTTTTCTTACTTCATATCACTTCTCTCATTTAGCAAATGCTATTAATTTATCTCTAAAATGTTTTCTTAATTTTTTATTTTGCTTTAACTAACATTATTTATTCCTTAACTAGTAGTCTACTACATATTTGATTAAATTATTGATACCTTATTCAATTTTTATAGTTTTCTTAATTAATCAAAAAAAATATAAAAATCAAAAAAAATAATTACCTTATAAATATAAAATAATCTTTAAAAGTATTAAAATTTTTAGATTGACTCTTTCTTTATATTTATTTATAAATATTTTTTTAATCAATAAATGATTGATTTTAAAACCTTAATTAATTAACAGACTCATTTTATATTTTTAAATACAATTTATATTGTTTTTATAAATTAACTAATTAGCATATTCTATTAAAATAATCTATCAAACTTGACAAATATTAAAAGTATTATGCTTTTTAAAAATATAAAATGATAATATTTATTGTATACTTAATTTCAAAATTTATTTTCATTTTTCAATTAATTAAAAATATTTTTTTCATTTTTTAATTCATTACAACATTAATTTTAATTAAAATAGCCTCCATTTAAAAATTTTATATCTATTTTAAAAATTAACACTAAATTAAAAATATAAAAATGTTATTATAATGGTTAAAAACAATAAAAAATTTGTTTAATAATAAATAAAAATAAAAAGAATGTAATTAAATTAATTCAAAAAAGAAAAGTAAATATTATTAAGTAATAAATAATTATAAAAAATACATATCCTATAAAACATATTTTATTAACAAATATAGTGAGAGCATTTATAAACAATTTTTCTCATCAAATTAATTTAAAGTTTCAAAATAATGAGTATTATTTTTTAAGTTAAGAATAATAAGCAACAAGAATAGTTTAAAGAGCAGCACTTCCTAAAAATTTAACTGAAGTAATAGTTATTCCTCTATATAAGCTTAAAGCACCTTCCTTATCCCAAATCTTCTTGAAACAATCCCAAGTTCCTTTATACATGAAATTTCCATTATATCCATTAATTTAAAGTCTTCTCCTAAATTATTTTCGATTTAAAAATTATTATTAAGAATAAAATAAAATTGTTATAAATAATACTGTTGTTGTTGTTTTGAATAAAAAAATAATTAATTACTTGACGGTGTCTAAAGGATATACAACAAGAGTGCTGACTAAGCCAGCAATAGAAGCAGGAGCTAAATATTAAAATAGCTCTGAATTAGAGACTTCACTTTAATTCATGGATTTGAAAATCTATAAATTTGTAAAGAGGGTTAAATAATAAGGAATATTGGTGAAGTTAGCAAGCCAAAAGCCTTTATATAATCCAGTGAAACCACCTCTTCTTCTAGTTTCTCCTAAAGCACTCAAAACACCAGTGAACTACTTATCATATTTATTTTTTGCAAATTCTAATGATAATCTTGTTTTAGCTAAATCAAATGGGTATGCTAATGAAAGAGTGCAAAAACCTGCAGTTAAAGCTGCACTAAATTTTCTTAAAGCGTATTCTAACTCCTAATTTTATTTATTTATATATTCATCTTAAAGTAAATATTTAAAAGTAGATATTTATAAAATATAATATTTATGTCTTAAACTATTATAATTACAAATATTGTTTATTTTTATAAATCCTTCATTCATTGAATTAATGAAGAAATCAATCATATGAATGCATTATAACTAGCTAGAATAACAAATACATTTTTTAATTTTAAAAATGATTTTAAAATATTTTTTAAAGTGATATTAATAATAAATATCTTACGGTTATATTCTTTTCACCTGCAGGGAAGAAAAAGTGATTAATATTTTCAAAGAATGCAAACTATGCTATAGTACGGGGTATAATGTACATAATATTGGCAAAATTTCCTCTCCAGTAAGCCTTAATACCTTGCTCAGTAGGTATTCCTATTATTTAAATATTTTATTATCTTAAATTCAAAATGAAATAGAGTATTTTAAGTTATTTTAAGTTTATTCATGTTTATATCCTTACTATAAATTTATTTTATAGTATATTTAATTCTATTTCTACAATAATTTATTATATGTTAATTAACAATAATCAATAAATTACTCTAAAGGAATTAGAAGAAATTCTTAAATTTAGCTTTTTCATTTATATAGAGAGCATTTTAAGCTTGATGTATGATCTTCATTCTTTCTAAAGGAGCGAAAATTGTCTTATTAACTGCTTAAACTACTGCAGGACCTGTCATATATTTACAAAACTCAACAAAGGCTGAGTGCTTATAATCAATTTTAATTCCGTCCTTTTAAATATTATTTTTTTGCTATAGGGCTTCTGTTATAGCAACGTGGTTTTAAACAGCTGCTTAGTTAGAAGTAGTTGATGACATTGCTTGAAATATATGATTTTCCTAATTTAAATTCTTAATCCCTTTTATAGTTTAAAATCTATTGAAATATAATTCTGTCAAAAATTTATAATCAAAATAAAAATTGATTTATAGATAGATTGATAGATCGATAGATAGATAGATATTTTGATTTTTTAATTTTTCCAGAAAATATTAAACTCAATTTATCTCCGTAATTAAATTTAATATATTCTTATCTAATTTAGTCATAAACTAACTATTAAATCATTCTAATAGAATTAAATTACAAATTTTCTAACGATGAACTAAAAAGAAAAGCTCATTGCTTTTTAAAATGATAATAAACTATAATAAACATAAATATGTTTTATATTTTTCTGTCTAAATTTCATTTATCTTCTATTGATCAATAATAATATAAATCATGTTTATGTAAAAATATTTTTCAGATCAAACCTACCTAATCAATTAAGTGGAAAAAATAGTAAAAAAATAAATAAAAATTAAATATTTTATAAAGGTATCTAAATTTATGTTTTATTTATATTTAATTATAAAAGGAACAAAAAAATAAAAAATAATTTTAAAATTAATAATAATAATACATATAAAAATATACTCAATAAGTTAAGTAAATATATAAATAACAGCATTAAAGTCGTTATTATTAATTAGTTTTACATTTTTAAAATAATTTTTTTAACTCATTTTAGGTTTACTATTTATCTATTTTTTAAAAATCAATTCTTAATATAATTTTAATTAATTATTATTTTATATAATTTATTTATTCATTCATGCACTTTATTAATCTTTTATTTCTTCTACAAAATTAAATGGAAAATATCCAATTTTATTGTTGCACATACCAATCCACCATCCATTTTTTGTTTATTTTAGAACTTGTATTTTTTCTCCTTGTTTGAAGCTCAAATGACCATCCTTTTTGTAAAAATTTATTTAATAAAACATAAATTAAAAATATTTATTTACCTATTGACTAATAAATTCTTCTTTTGATAATACAAATTTATGCTATTCTTTTGTAATATTTGTAGTAGCTTAAGTTTTCTATTCACTAAAAGGCTGTTTAGATTGATTGCTTATTTTAAGAGACTATTCACTGTTGCAATTATTACTGTTTGGGCATTTATTTTCTTTATCCTTTATATCTATAGGAGGTTTTTTACAATTATAAGTATTACTAATTGTACTTTAGTTTGCTGCCTTTTAGGGTTATTTTTCATCAATTAATTATTTCTATGTGCTACTTTTTTTAATAGAAATTTACTAAGAATTATTATTGTTTTTGTTTTTAAAGACTCTAGTTGATAGACTTTAACATCTATTTTCTGATTCGCTATCACTAAAACTGCTATTTAAACTTTTATTTTAGAGTATTTTTTAACTTTAATCATCTTCAATAACTTTAGAGATTTGTTCTTCCTTATTTATTTTTTTATTTTAACTGAAAATCCCAGCTTTTTCAGATTCTTCAGCTATTTCAAAATCAGTTATTGATTGTTAATTATAAATATTTTTATTTTAAATGGGGATAGCTGCACTATGCTCAAGCAGTTAAGAATTAAAAGCCGTATTTTAAAATGTAGAATCATCATTATTAATATGCTCTTCTAAATTTTATTTGAATTTACTATATTCAAAAGAACCTAATGAGCTATTTCTTCCTCTATTTTTATTTACTTCTTTATTAGTATTAATTTTTTCAACAGTCTACTTCTCCTAGCCATTATTTTACTCATTTTATTTTTTAGATGAGCTCATTTCAAAATCAAATGTTAGTGTTTCATTATTTATCAAATTAACTTCATTTATTTTTTAAAATGTCTCATTAAATTCAAGATCTGCTAATTATATTTTGTAAAATAATTCTTATTATTATTTAAGAGTATTAATAAATTATAAACATAAATATATTTGTTATAAAATTTACTTTATAGTATTTATTCTTAATTATCTTTTTCTTAGGCTTCTGATTTTATGATTATCTTTTGAACCTCACATTTATCCTAGACTATATAATCCTAATTTTTATTTACTGATGCTAGAGGTCTTATTTGATTTAAATCTTATACTTATTTTTATATATTGCTAGTCGAGTTATTTTATGAAAGAGATCTTTGTTGATTCATAATATTTGATTTGTTCATATTGTCTAAGCATGATCCATTCTTGTTAAATCTGTTAACAGAGGGAATATAAATGGCTTTTTTATAAATTAATTATTAAAAGTGCTATTTAGAACAAACAATTAGAAATAATAATTTAGATTTATAATTTTAAGAAATTTTAATTAATGGCATCAATTGATTTACCTTAATCTTCTTGGTCTTGTTCTGTGCTTTATGTACAAAGTATTTTATTTTAAAAACTAGACTATTTATTTTAATCTATTGATCCATTAGCTTTAAAATTATTTGATGTTGCACTGCTCATATTTATAAGCTAATTTTAATTTTAAATATCTTTATTTAATACTTTTTTTGTTTCAACTTTTTAATTCATTTATTTATTAATATTAGTATTGATACCTACAAAATTTTAATTTTATGTTGTAATAGAATATTTTCCTTAAGATAAAGAAGTTTATTTGTTATTTTTAATTTAACTTTCTTTATGTTTGAAGATTTTATTAACTTATTGCGGAACTTAATTAAAATCAGTAATTTATCTTGGCATCTCATTAAATGATTTATTTAATTTGGAAGAATATGTTATTTTTAATTCATTAATAACCTATGACATAGAATTGATATATTTGTCGAACTAGCCGAGTAATAAACTCTTAAAATTATCTAATCAAAAAAAATAAATTAAAAATTCTACTTGATTCAAACTAAAATTACTTAGTCCCTCTGACTTCTCTTCAAATGAAAAACTATCATTTTACTATGAATCTTTTATCTAATAATAAATAAAACGAAAATTGGTTTAAATATTTTATGAACTAATTTTTTAAAATATATTTTTACATTGTTATTTTAGAAAATAGAATCTCTCTATTCTAATAGGAATAAGATAGAATTTTTCAAATATTATTTAGTATCAGCAAGCTCTTAATCTTTTAAAATTAACTCTTTTTCCATCTTTTCGCACATTTATTTTTCGTTTTAGTATAATAATTATATATTTTTAAATTTTTAAATTTAATCTGAAAACTTAATTAGCTCCACTTGATAATTATGCTTGCTTTAAGAAATACTTTATTCTAGCTGGCTGCTATATGTTTCAAGATTTATACACTTTTTTTTATATCCGTTAAGCTCGTTTATCAAATTTTTTACTGCCTCTATATATCATAAAAATCGTTAAAAAAATAGTAACGAATTAATTAATTTTTTTTGAAAAATAAATAAATAGATAAGTTAAAATCCATAAAAAGAATAATTAATTTGTTACCTTTTAATTAAATATTTTCATCTCTCCAGTTTTAATATTACTCTTCTTTATTTAAAATGTTTTCAATGATATCAAGCTGTAATTTGTTATTATATAAACTTGAATCTTCATCAGTAGCATTATTTTGAATATAAAATTCTTTATTTTTATTCAAAAATGTACCTTTTTCGTTACTATTTTTCTACTGCATATATTAATTAGAAGAATTGTTATTATCATCAATATTGCTACTTAGTTAATTTATGTTAGAACTACTGGATCTCACTAATCTACTTTATTATTATTAACTTTATAACTAATTCTATTGGTTTCTATTACTGAAGATTGAATTGCTTCTTTATTATCTCTTGTCTGCTGTCTGACATTCATTTTTAGTATTCTTTAGTGGCATTTAATTACTTGATGATTTTTATAACATCTACTAACTATTTAGTTTATAGTAGCAGTTATTTCTAACTTATTTGCTATTTTACTGCTAGCTTTGGCAAGGCTGCACTGGTTAATTCAATTTTTTAAGAGAATTAGCTTGAGAGTTTGAAGATGCAATTTTACAATTATTTTATCTTTCTTATGAAGAACCTGAAAAAAATTTGTTTTAAATTTTATTATTATTTCCTACACCATCTAAAGATTTTTGGTTGTATGAATTAATATTTTAATGAGATTGCCTTAATTAATCTTAGCTTTGAAAGCATGAGTCTAGTTCATCTTCTATATATGATAGTTGCTAGTCATTACTTGTACTATACTATTATTCTGTCATTTAATTATTGCTTAATGTATTTTGTCTTGATGCCTAAGTTGTTAGGACACTATTATTCTTTCCCATTTTTACGTTCTGTATGATATCTCTCTATAAAATATCTGGTTTTTTCTACCAGTTTTTCTTTGGAGTAGTCTTTGCATGAGAATTATTACTAGTCG